CTCTTTAAGATACGATTACTTTTGTTCTTTGAATGTACTTATAATTCTCAAGTACTTTTTTTGTGAGAGAGATATTTAGTAACGCTTTGTAAAGGTTCAGTTTCTTTAGTTTCGAAAGTGATCTTTTAGTAAGAAATATCTTTTAGGCCCTTTCATCAGCTTATTTCGTAAAAGATTCGGAATTTCTTTCATCTAAAACTACTCCTAATTTTTTCCCTGTGTACCCCTACCCTCGTCGAGTGGTTCCGGTGCTGTATTATTGTATCTGTGGCTCTGGAGGTGTTGCTATCGCTGGCACGACGTTAATTAGCAGAAAAGTGCAAACGATGCGGGCCGGCCGGCCGAGTGGTGGTGTGATGCAGAGGCAGATGCAGATGCAGATGCATGCGGTGCGGTGCAGTCCAGAGCGGTGGAGTGGTGCCAGTCCGAGGAGATTTACCCATTACCCATTACCCATTACCCATTAGCGGAAGCGGGACAATTTGGTTTGCCCATGCACAATATGCACGAGTCTCCATCTCCGATCGTCCGCTCTGTCATGATGCAATAATTTGTGCCATCAACCCGCCGAACAATCGTACGATTTTCAGTCACTTCAGAGACATTCATAGCCAGTATGTATGGAAAAGAGTGACGGGGCACCTCACCTCGACCTCTTGTTCCCTCCCCGTGCTATGTGTGTGTGTGTGTGTGTCCGCGGTGAAAACCAGCCACGATCGTTTCTAGGAAATGGAACCTATAAATCTACGCTTCGCACGAAAGACTTCGATGACAATGCCGCTGGGCCATCCACCTGAGAGATCGAATGGGCGTTGATAATCGGAGTTGGGAGAATGGTTATATTGGTGCCGGCCGGTGGCGATCTCCCATGTCGCCATTGATGGCCACATGAATATGTATGCCAAGCGAAGCTAAGACGGTTCCGATTCCGATCCAAGATGATCTCATTTCGAAAGGCCAACGGATAACACTTGGAAAAAGAAAGGGGTGATTTCTATAGTTAAAAAGATTTTCTTTTTAAAAATCCATATCCCATATTCAGCGAGTAATCAATACTTCTCCTTAAATACTTTTTGTAACTGATCACAGAGGAATAGTGTACAGACCCTGTTTTGTAATTAAAGTTCTTATAATTCCCAAGTTATTTTTTTTAGAAGAAACGAGTTAATATGAATAACGTAAAATATAAATCTATTTCCTTTCTTGATTCAGTCAATCTCATTCCGAAATTCCCTTCTCCATGAAGTCTTTTGGTTTCTTTCCAAAAACCTCCTGTAATTCCCAAGTGGCTTTTCAGCACAACTAATATTTCCTTAAACTTGATTGAATTAACCCTTCCGAACTGCTGATCAAGCTCCAATTTGGTTGGGGGTTCAAAGACTACGGATGCAATCTGTGTGCGGTCATCTAGGAAGTGCAACCCCTGACCGCGTCACAACTGGCGAATGTTACGTGAGGGGATCGGATCGGATCGCTGGCCTGTCGACGTCTCCTATCGTCTCTATTATAGAAAGTGCTCCCCGAGTCGCATCAAAAGGCCATTTCAATTCAGTGCCCCTTACGTCAGCGTTACGATACTCTGGTATATCGTTCGTTGCCAGCGCTTTGAGGTGTGCCGGCCAAGGCTGACGAGGAGGAGCTGGCTGGCGGTGGTGTCCCGGGGGAATGGAGAAGCTGAGATAGCAGCAGGAGCGGGATAGCGGCAAGGAGGAGGCATCGGCACGAGACACAATTTCAAGCACCTGCAAGATTTTTTTTCTCTCAATTGAATTTCGCTTTGTGGCTGCAAACGATGCCGCTGCCAAGTGTTTCCACCGAGGGGTGGACCGAGGGCGGAACGCGGGGACCAGTCTGCTGCGGTCGGACTCGGACGATTTGTGTAACGTGCAATAAATAAATTACTTGTAGAATTGAATCTAGTTGTCGCCGTCGATGTGGCTTGTCGATAAAGCGAAGAAAGAAAACTAGTCGCGGTGCCCCTCAGTTGCCTGCCTGCCTGCACCTAGAGAAAAGGAGTACTCTCTAAAGGAGAGAAAATTAATTTTAATTTTGAAAAATTTCAAAAACCAAGAATTTTTTTCTTAATTTAAAATTAAAGTCAGAATAATTGAGACTTAAGTGGTTTCATTTTAGAATCTTAAATAATCCCAAAGGTCCCGTCTAAAGTGCGAATTTCTGCGATCTTCTAAGCTCTTTGTAATTCCCAAGTTATTTCTCCGAGTTTGTCACGAACAGAATTGTTCATATTGATGTTATCGAAAAAATCAGACTAGAAGCAAATATATTTAATCCAAGAAAATAATATATTTTAATGATCAGCTTTGGAGATATTTTTTCCTATTTTTCTAAGTGTAGCTCTTCCCGTCTCCCCCTTATTAACCGCCCCTGTCTATCCCCCCCTCCCCTTGACCGCAAAGTGGCTGCCGCCCGGCAACAGCGCGGAAAGCGAACACGCGATGTGGCTGCCAGTCTGTCTGCCATTTTGGCTGCACCTCCTGCCCTCCGGCTCCGCCAAGTTCCCGGTTTCAAGCTCCCGGCCGGCAATGCCAGCTCAGACTAGTTTTGACGACACCCCTCTCGACGCCTCTGACACCGCAAAACCACCCCCCTCCACACACACACACAACATACACTCGCATTTACTGGCAGGCAATCATAATGCACTTGGAGAAATTAGGGGGAGACCAATCTGGTTAAGAATAGTCTAGAACGAATGCTTAAAAGCAACTTAAGGAAGCAAAATACAATTTATAAAAAATATAAAGTAACATGGAAAACTCCCACTGAGTTCTCGAAGGGTGTGGGAAAGACACTTTTAAAGTTCAAATAAATAAATATTTTAATGGTACCCTCCTAAAATTTTAAATATTTTAATAGTCCTGCCTAGAGTGAGTTCTTCAGTGGTCTTAGTCTTTTATAATTCCAATTTATTTCTTTACATTTCTGATACTCAAGTTAAAACCCACTTAAGATAGAAATCGCTTTCACATTTAACTTCTCTGAATTGCCATCAATTGTTTCTCCCACTGTAATTTGTGGTATCGCACCAGTCCCTCCTCCACGCCCTCTCCTCCCCTTGACCAACCATCCAACCAACGATCGCCGCAGACAAACTGGCACTCACACTTGATTGCAATGAGGCGATCGGACGGACGGACAGATCAGATGGAAAGACAGACACCGGGCTCGGAATCGGACTCAGACTCGGTCGCGGCTAATGGAACCTTGCACCATGCCAGGGACCCGCGTCTCTGCGTCCCTGAAGCCCCAAAGACCCCCAAGACTCCAAGTCAAAGAGACTGGGGCGCAGAAGAAGTGGTCTGATCTCAGCCAGACATTTGAATTCTGCTTACACTGTCAACCGGCTGTGGAGTCGAGTTATGGATCCTGCCGGTGGTTATTAAATTGGCTGATTGGTTATGGGTATAAAAATCCAGTATTTATAAAAATGAAACCTCAAAAAACGAAAAAAAATAACAATAATTAAAACCGTTGAGATTTGTGAAATGAAATCAGCAGATCAAATTTATGATACAGTCAGGTTTCAGTAAGGGAAACTTGGCTTAAAGAGAGGTTCTATATGATCATAAGCTTAATACAAGATTTCTAGAAATAGAATTAAAATTAAGAATATTTATTTACATTAAATCAAGGAAACCTTAATAAAAATGTCTCTAAAATATGGCTAAAAAATCAAAAGACTTTAGAAAGTGGTATTGGATACATTGATTCCTGGGAGATAATTATAAAATAAAACAAAATTATAACTATAAAGCTCAGGGTTTCTTGAAAATATATTCATACATAAAGATTTAAGGATCTGAAGAGTTATTAGCTTATTATTTTCACAATCTTATAAAGAAGTTTAGAGATCCCTGGACCAGAAAATGGTATAATAAGACTAAAAGGTTATAAAAATAAATAAAAATTTCATATTATCAAAAGTAATAGTAGTTTTTGAGCAATTTTTCAAAACTACAACCATAGGCTCAAGTTTGTAGAGATTTTCCTGACCCAGAAATGTCTCTAAAGAGTGCCTTCAGTGGCGAGTGATAGGTTCCCTGCTCAAGGAGTCTACACTGTCCATATATCCACTGCAATTAAGCAAACGAAAGCCAGGGCAACATAACACGAATCCCCTTGGCCGGTAATATCCAATTTTGTTCCGGACTGTCCCGGTGCGGCGGTAGCACAAAGAATTACGAGACGAGAAACGAAGTAATTGAATTCTGGTCGCTTGTCACCCGTGGCCAGGGCGGGGAAGGGGCTGGGCTGGCCGAGGGGGAAGAGTCGGAGAGAGGATCGAAGACTGAAGAAAGAGGCACAGCGCAGCACAGCACACCACCCAGAGAGAGGGAGAGGTTGAGTGAGAGAGAGATCGACAGCGGCAGCGGCAGCGATCTGCGCCTGTGTTAGTGCCGGGCGTCGCATATAAATGGAAGAGCGCAGCGGTGGCCGAGTCAGTTTACAGCACAGTTTCCAGCTGTTGAACACAACTTTTTCAGATCAGAAAAAAAATCGTTCCAAACCGATCCACACCGATCCTCGCTTACGTGAACACGAACACAGCAGCCACCAACCACAGACCGCGATCGCAGCTTAAACACCGCACCTTGACTCGAGTGTAATGTCGATGAACCGTGCGTATTCAAACGAGTGTCGCGCCAACAACCAGACCAAGTCCAAGTCCACATCCAAATCCAAAACCACGAGAGATCTCTGATTCCTGCCGAGACTCTCTGCTAAATGTGCCAAAGCCGTCAACTGGACATACGCTACGCCTTAAAGTCGCTCTGAAATTGCTATTCAGCACGCTCCCAGCTCCCCAGCTCCGTAACCCCAACGTTCCAGGACGTCCACCACTGACCACCAGCAAGCTCCTCCTTCGATCACAGCTCTACAGCTCTCGCAGGCCAAAAGCAGCAGCAGCAGCAGCAGCCAAGATTCCGCCAAAAACACTGTGCTGCCCAGTTACCAAGACGGCATCCAGCGCCGGACCTATGTCAGTGCTAAGCCAAATTCTCCAGAACTTCAACCAGAAAGCCCAGACCAGGAGCCACCACAACATAGAGCTGATAAATTCGTTCATAACATAACGACAAGCCAGCCGCCGCCGATAGCAAGCGATCCAAAGTTATCCAAAGTTAGGGAGAAATTTGCAAACATTTTTTACCGGAAGAGCAGAAAAAAGAAATCAAATCAAGAGGTGAGTTTGGGGTCTGGGGAGGGATGACCCATTTGGGGGAATTCGTGGAAATATAACCGGTAGAAAATCCCCATAACGTTGAAGGGCAAACCGAAGTCGATGTCAAAGTCTGATGCAATATTCGCCAGCGATTGGCGAATCTACATAATATACCCTCGAAACTATTTGAATAATTAATCGGTCACGCAGTTTGTCCGGTCTAGACTCTAGACCCATTATAATACATACACCGCAGATCAAGGGCCCCCATATTTGTGGCGTGGGTGAATCGAGTCCGAGATCCCAAGAAATTGACGTCACAGCGGTGTCATTCCGATTTCGATTTCACGTTTTTTTTATTTGAATAATTATCTTAAGTCTTCTGTCTTGTGATGCTGCCCACGCTAGATTCCTCTTATATCATTCTTATATTCATTCTTCTGGCGTCGTGGCATTGTGAAATTCGTGAATGAGAGCGAATAAACGAGGGCTCTGCTCGGGTCGAGATAGAGGTGTCTGGGTACGAAGGATTCCTCTTCGGATATTCCCCCAATTTCGCAAGTGTTAGTAATCTTCTAGAGCTCGCCAGCGAGTGAAGGTCTCCGCTTATCGGGAACGGGACGGGAGATAGTCTCACATAGAGAGACCTCCCCGTGATTTATAGCTACGCCGGGGGCATAAGTGATGAGTGATAAGTAAACATGACTGGGCGAAAAGCCGTGACTATAAAGTTTATTAACCTATATTAGGAGTCGTATGACTCGTGCTCGCTGAACTTTGCACTCATTTCCGATCCTCTGATCTTTGGTTTTCCAGAAAATGAATTTACATGTGTGCGCCTTAGCGCTGCTGCTGTTCGGCAGCATCGCGAGTGTCCGCGGCAGGGCCGTGGACATTGTGGACGATAGCAACGATGTGGACAACTCCATTGAGACGGAAGCGGAGCCGGCGCAGGAGGAGAAGCCCCGCAATCGAGCCTTCGATGCCGATTGGCTCAAGTTCACCAAGACGCCGCCCACGAAGATGCTGCAGGCGGAGGGAGCCACCGTTGAGATTGTGTGCGAGATGATGGGCTCCCAGGTGCCCAGCATTCAGTGGGTTGTGGGTCATCTGCCACGCTCGGAGGTAAGTCTATCGAAAGTCCTTGACTCCTCTAGGATTCCCCTGATTTTCCCCCTTTTTCTCTTTGTTTTTATTAGCTTGAAGACCTGGACTCCAATCAGCTGTCCGAGGATGCACCCAGCGCCATTGTTCGCGTGCGTTCTGTGCATATCATCGATCATCCTTTGAGCGAAGCCCGCACCTACACCTGCGTGGGACGCTCTGGCTCCAAGACCATCTATGCCAGCACTGTGGTGCATCCGCCTCGCTCCTCGAGGCATGTGGCGGAGAAGACTTACCCGGGTGCCCAGAAGCCGCGCATCACCTACACGGAGAAGACGCATCTGGATCTGATGGGCTCTAATATCCTGTTGCCCTGCCAGGCGCATGCTGTTCCCAGAGCCGAGGTCACTTGGTTCAACAATGAGAACAAGGAGATTGTGGCAGGACACCGCTTCAAGGTTCTGTCCACGGGCCAGCTGATGATTGCTGACATCAAGTGGGAGGATATGGGCAACTACAAGTGCGTGGCCCGCAATGCTGTGGGCTTCGATACCGCCGATACCTTCGTGTATCCCGTACTTGTAAGTATTCTGAGAAAGAATTTAAATCTTTACACAACTAACTCCTGGTTCTTCCTTTTGTTTTCTTATCCTTGCAGAAGGAGCAAGACTAAAGAACCCACCACAAACCACAGAAAAAGGCTATTGGATTGACGACGGGAAATATTCATCTAGTTAGTTAGATAGATCAAATGCCTTCGAAGATGCGCGGAAAGGAAAAGAAAAGAAAATATGCTTAGAAAAAATCACAAAAAAAAATTAAAGGATGATGGTAATTGAGAGCGAGAAGGGTCATACGATTTACAATTATGTACAATTTAGACTTAAGCTCCATTTAGTTGGTAATCCAGGTAATTAATTAACCGTATCTAATGCCGGCTTAGACACTAAACTTTCGTAATCTTAACCTCGAATAGCAGTCAACACACGTATCGCGTTCGAATTATCTCTACTTTATATGGTTTCTTCTTCAATTATAGTTTTAACCTTAAGTAGCAATTGATTGTTCCTAGCGATTCAGGCGAGCTCTAGTTAACGTATTTAAACCAATTGGCCGTTTTACTTAAGCAAGCGAAGCACTTGTAACCAAACTCGAACCACAACACACACACTCAATCAATCAATCAGTCAATCACCCAATTCGTATTTTATATTTATTTGCACCCCCCAATCATTTCTACAATTAATTTATTGATCCACCAAAAAACAAAAAATTCATCAAAGGCATCGCAACCCCCCATCCAGAATCACGGAGAAGTATTCAAGGAATTAATCAGTTTCATAAGCGCTACCCCCCTCGTATGTTTTACATTCTTAAGTAAGCTAATCGAACTGACATATGGTTTTCTTTAGTTCTTAATCATTATACTTTGAATAAATATAAGAAAAGTAAGATGGAAAGAGAGTTGCTTATTGGGGGAATGAAAATATCGTTTACTGTGTCTTCACATCACTTTATTATATGGGGTTTTTTAAGATCTACAAACTACGGATAGTCACATTATCTACATAAACTCGTACAGTTACGTACATTGAACGGCGAAAACATTTTACGATAAATACGTTACGATCTTAACAACAAATAACGAACGTACACAGATGATACATAGTCTAATATATTGCTGGTGAGTAAGATATTGATATTGATAGTTACGTTTTGAAAAAAGAGATTGGAGTGTGCGCTGTGTGTGCAAAGCGAGGTTCCTCTACATCTGGAGTAGTCAAAAAATATATGTATCATCAATTCACCATTTGATATTGTCGCTTGTCTTTGGAAATTCAGAAGACTGGGAAATGGGCATTTTCGGAAGAATTCTTCTTGTGGACGGACTCTAATCTTGAGGTGTTAATACTTTCAATTGGAAATGAGTTGGGACACCACCATGTTATCCAACGATTGTGTGTCTGCGCACTTAATGGGACAAAGATCTCTGGGCTCTATTTTTGGTTGTGTCTGCAGGCAACAGGAGGAGGAGCAGACGGAGATGGAGGTGGCGGTGGCAACGAAAGTGTTTCTCTTGATTACTCTTGAGCAGCTGGATGCCGTCGAGATCCGCCAGATCTCACGTTGCCGTTGGCATTTCGTGCCATCTCTAAGCGCCTTGCCGCTGTTGCCGGGCAGACTTTTTTTCGTCTTGGCTGCTTTTTTGTGGTTTTTTTTTCGGTTTTTTTTATGTTTGGGCCAATTTGAAAGTCGCTCGTGAGTCAGTGAGCAGTGCGTCGGCAACCAGTTTGCACCGCCACGCTCCGTTTCCGTCTCCAAGCCCCAACCAAGAGATATCTCCTCGCGCTGCCTCGCTTGATTGATGATTTATATTATTTAGATGTTTGTCAATCAAACACAAGTGTGCCATCCATCTTTAAGAACCAAGGACTCCTCCTCCTCCTCCTCCATCATGCCAGGTGTATCACGGTTGTCAGGGAAATACTGCTCAGTTGGCAATGAAAATTCTGGGAATGCAATCGTTTTGGAGTGCTCAGGGAATATCTCTCTATATAGACACACATTGTCACAAGACTTTCGGGGAAATATACATAAGTTGGTCAAAGGCTTTGCTTTTGGCACGTCACGTAGTGTGGGAAACAAGACAAGAAACGAAGAAAAAAAAATAATATAAAGCATATAAATCATGACAAATCACAAGACATAAATTAAATCTAGCAGAGGGGATGAGACTACGCGGGACTACTTAGGTTAGGGAGTAGTGACTTAATTTTGGGGTTTAAAATTCGGAAAGTCCAGCTCCTGAACTCGTCTAAACATTGAGCACGGAATGCTTCTTGTTGCCGCCGGATGGCAGCTGCACGGCGATGACCGCCAGACGACCGTCCCGGAGTGGCGCCAGGATGTGGGTGTTGCCCGGCGTCACCACCACCGTCTGGATGGGCACGTGCAGCGGAATGTCAAAAACGGGCTTCAGCCTGCCGAAAAGGGAAATGTTTTATGAATTATATTAAAACTGTAATGTTTTATGAATTCAATTAAAATATTATTTTTTTATGAATTAAATTAATATATTAATGTTTTATAAATAAAATAAAAATATTAATATTAAGTGGTAAACTCACCCGTGTAACCTGCTCATGGTTATATCGCCGGCATCATCGGCCACCACCAGGTAGTCCGAGGCACTGGCCAAACCCGTGACCCGGCCGGACACATACTTGGAGCCCAGACTGCAGCCATTAATGCTATAAACATGCACCGAATGCGAGGTATCATCCAAGGCGCTGAAGGCAATGTGACCTAGGGATAAGGGGGAGAGAAACAGAGAGAAAGCATAGCTCATAAGTAGTACTCTTTTGGCATTTTGGAGACCCATCGCTAGACATCGCCAGAATGTGGGGCAGCCTGATCTACGCAGTGGAAATGCCCGAGCTAATAGACGAGGTCCGGCCCACTCGCCACGCCATGCCACGCCACTGATAACCTGACATCGCCGAAGAGATTATCACACATGGCGACATACTATATGCTCCCTCTACGCCGTCGAGCAATGCGTAGTAGTTGCTCCAATCTACAAAGAGAGATCTCTATCTGTATCTGTATCTGTATCTGTCTCTGTATGCCAATGCCACCCAGCGAAACTCGTTCTCCAATGGATTCTCCGCTTCTCTGATTCTTTTTCGACAGAAGGAAGACCCACTAAATACTGTAGATTGGATCTGAATGAACTTCCGAATGTGACCCGGCCGCTTCAGATATAACTAGTTGGAACCGTGTCTGGTTGGTTTTGGCCAACCAACGAAGTTCATTCAGTAAAAAAATTGAAGAAAAAAATCCCCCAGACACACACACACACTCTTTCTTGATCTTTTTATTGGGGTCTTTCTACTACAACTATTTCATAAAAAAAAATTGTATGCGCTGCGTCTTTGAGAAATCAAAAAAGTGAATGAAACGCTGGCGAGGAAGGGGTGTGGCTAGAGGGGATTCATGATGATGAAGATGAGTGTGTATGGTGGCGATGTGTCGTGTGACTCTGTGTGACGCGATTCGTTCGCGGGGCTCGTTCGCCACTGATTTGATTCCATTAACGACGCTGCTGGGTTAATGCCAGAGAACCGATGTCTCCGCGTCGGAATATTCGAATATATGTGAGTATGTGTGCTGCGAACTGATAGTCAGTCAATGGATGCCACCGGACACTGCTCCGGAGCGGCATCGGTGGGGTCTATGTAATTGATTGGAGCTGTGAGCTCAGAGCTCCAGCAAAGAACGCAATTAAGTGCCCCGTCCTGCCCTGCGAATCAGTTCGATTTTGAATATTTCTGAACCAATCACTGCCGGATGTAGCGAATTTATAATCAGAATGAATATTTATTCCCTCGATAAGCAGCCGGCCGGCTGCACTTGCTCGCTTATGCACACACACGGGCTTCGGGTCTCCTGGAAGTGAGTCTCATGTGAAGGGGGTCGGTCTTGAATTCAAAAGTCCAAGCTGATTGCCAGAAAATCGAGTGGCTTGGAATCTATATGGCTGAATATATTTCAAGAACTCGATATGCAAGCGCTGGCGCCATCGATTGACGTATTTCCATGCCAAACGAAATGCAAAGTAAACGAAAATCGAGCCTTATTTACCGCCATTATCATTATCACATGCCAAATATTGTATAACAAATAAGAACGAAAGTCAAAATGTAAGCCGAAAAAAAATTCTTTTGAATTTTAAAGAACGTAGTTTTATACGGCGTTGGCTTTCAATCAGGAGTATTTTCATGTTTAAGTGGGTTTTATTGGTTGAATTTGAACACCTTTTACAGTGTGTTCTAATTTATAAAGGTGCTGATGAATAATATAGAATTCACAGGTCCTTTGGATATATTTTACTTTAAGAATTTGCTTGATTTATTTAATCAAATAAAAGCCTAGCTAATAAATAAAACTTCTCTCGTAGTTAGAGGGTTTTTTTCCTATGATTTCGCTTTATTTATTTCTCTCATTCGCTATTACTTGTACATTGCAGGCAAATCTTGAAAGAGAGAGCGAGAGAGGTAGGGCAAACACAAATGTGAAGAGAGCGAAATCTCCTTTTGAACTTAAAAAAGGGAATAGAGTTGAATAGGGATTGTTTTTTTTTATAAAATATATGTATATAAAAATATTAAATAATTCATATAAACATAATTTTAAAATAATATTCAATTTAACTATTCATTATCTAAATATCTCCAAGGTCATATAGTACCACTAAATGGTTCCACAACACATTTTCATAAAATTCACAGCTTTATACATATTTAACCATCAACCTAATAGTAAAAATATTCATTCACATTCACGCTTCTTTCCAATTTCCAAGAATGTTTCCAAGAATGTTTTCTTAATAACATGTATTCATTTCCCACTCGCATTTCTCTTGACTTCATCAGAATTTATAAACAATAAATGCCAACCCACAGTCATAAAAATATTTGATTAATCAGAACCACTTAAGAATTTTTTCGTTACTATATGCTAATCTTTGAGTGCTTTTATGGAAGCATTTTCACGAATCAGCGTCTGCTTAGAGCCTAATAACTAAGTAATAGTGTGTTAATTAAGGCCAATTAGTATTTGTCAACGAATAATCGTAAATATATTGACACAGGTCGCAATGGCGAGTCTACGTTATCAGGCACGTACCGTCGATGATAGTTTTTTTGGCTAAAAAAGAAAGCCAAGTGCGCTAACAGCCAGCCAGTTGCTATGAGGAACGAGGGGAAATGCCCAGAGTCACAAATTTAATGTTTGCCAAAGCTGACAGCTGGTGACAAATTTGTAACCTTGCTTGGGGTTCGCTGGTATACTTAACGATGCTTTGCTTTAATTTGGATTAATGCCCCTTTGTCGCTGCCTCTCGACTGCAACTGGCGCGATAAGATACGGCTGCATGGGCCAAAGTCGGACATCGTCCGAGGCGGAGAAGGAGGAGGAGTATCTACGACGACGACGCACATGGCCACGCCATCACGTGATTCTCATCGTCGCCTCACTTATGTGGCAATTGCCGATAGTCAGGGCATGATTAAATTGTTTGATTGCCTTGCCGCTCTTCAAACATAATGGGACAACTACGTGCCGCGGGAGTAGCACGTGAGGGCAGCTCCTCCTCCTACGGCTACATTCCCCTCCGCAGATTAGGGGCATTGGGAGAGTGTGGGTTGTGGGACAGGAAGGAGTGAGTCGTCGGCCGGCTGTACGAGATTATCGGGCCACAGGTGGCGATATGTTGTCACCCCAAAAAAAAAAAAAAAAAAACTAGCCACTTAATGAGTCAGACCGACAAAATTCCATTTCGACCATTGACAAGGTTTATAAAGGTAATATATCATTATGTTTCTTGGGGGGATTTTCAGGAGGAGCAGGTGAAGGTAAAACTATAGCCAAAGTTTGCGGTGCAAATTAATTAGTTTGGTAACTAATTTAGGTTTGAATTAAGACCAGTCAAGATTCATTTGTTTAATAATGTACAAAATATTTGTATACCCAAGCAGGGTGTTATAATTTTAGTTAGATGTCTGCGAATTAGTGAAGGAGCTATTTCCGACCCTATAAAGTGCATATATTCTTGATCAGCACCAACAGGGAAGTTTTTCTAGCTATTTAGATGTATAAACATTTTCAAAACTAACACAGAAAAGCTTTCAGAATAAAAATTAATGCACTTATGGCTTATTTATGATCGATTTTTGATTCGGTTTTCCAAAATTCGCTGCATTTTATGTTTTTACTTCAAAAAAAAAAAAAAATATATATATATTATATATTTTACAAGCTAAATAAATTACTTATTAATTCAAGTAAACCCCCAATTAAATTCTTAAAATTTATAGAGATATTTTAAACTTCAACTGAAAGACAATGAAATTACCCACAGCCTCAAAAAAATGTAGCATACTTTAAAGCTGCCAAGACAATGACTCTCAAACTGTTCACTAGAAATTAAAATACAATAAATAAAACCTCTAAACTCACCGTGATAGGAAACAGTAACAAAGGATATTTGCACACAGGACTCGGTGCAGCCAATGGGCTTGAGTGTCCTCACAAACTGACCCTCCTGCAGCGTGTACACATTCACAGTGCCATCCTGAAAAGCCCAAGAATCAAAGATAAGTTTACATAACCCCCAGAAAATGAATTATAAATCCTTACCAGCGAGCCAGAGACCACCAGATCCAGCTCCGTGTAGATGGCCACACTGGAGATGGCATTGTCGTGGCCATAAAGCACGGTCCTTGGCTTGGGTGAGTAGCTGTTCTGTGTGTTTAGCTGCGTGATGGCCTGCAGATGCGACTGCCCTGTGAGCGCATGCACGGGGATGTTGCTGGTGGAGCCACCACCACCACCGCCACCCTGCTGATTCGCCTGAATGCTCCACACTATACAAGTGCAGTCCCTCGAACCCGTCACCAAATACGAGCCACAGTTGTCAAGGGCTATGCAGGTGATGATGTCCAAGTGGCGGGTCACCGAGGCCACGGCCTTGCCCTTGTTGAGATTGTAAACCCTCAGAGAGTTATCCCAAATGCCACCGGCATACAGGAGCTTGCCATCCGTGCTTACGGCAAAGAGCTGTGAGTGCGGCGGCTGTGAGGCGTGGAAGGGTCCAAAGATGCGCTTGCGGTTCCTGGAAAGAAGCTCATAAAGTTAAGAGTTTTGCAATATATGTAGCTTAAGTATAAACTTACTTGAGATTGGCCGTGGTAGCATCAATTTCCAGCAAGAAACCCTGATCCTTATCGAAGGACAGCCAGGAATTGCAGCCCAATATGGTGGATTTGGATATACTGACTAGAACATCGGGACTTAGCTGCAGGAAGGATCTCGGAGGACTGCGTGGAGGACTGAGGTACACAATGGGATCCTTGGGCGTGGACAATTCGCAGTAATACTGCACCACTTTGTCCAAAAACTGGGTGAGATCCGGTCGCCGAAGCTCGGCACGAACCAGCTTTAAGGCAGTCTCATCCTGGGTGAGGCGTCGAGGATGCGGTTCCCTTAGCAATTGGGAGGGCACCTGGCCAAAGTTGTTAATCATGCCTACAAAAAAATATGTGAAATTTGGAGGGAAGGGTAGGAGAAACCCCTGAAACTAGACCCACCTTCCACGGCCTCCCGTTCCACGGGATTGGTGATCTTATCCAGATCCACGGCTCCTTCATACGAGCAATAATAAAACACGTTCAAGGCCTCTGCTGCCTTGGGTCCCTTTTGCTTATAACCAAAGATCAAATCTATCCAGTGATGTAGATGCTGGCTCACATACTCCGATTCCAAGGCTCGCCGGTGTATGGCTATAAACTCCTCGGGCGTGGTGGCCCAGGCGGGCAGTATTACATCGTCCACCTTTTCTTTGGTGATTTGCAAGTGACCCAAGTCGAATCTGCAATGAAAATACAAATATAATCCCCAAGAAAAAGGGATTTTAGCTATATTCCCTACTTGTTCATGTTCTTGAGAAACTCCGGAAAGTAAAAGAACTCCGGAATCAGCTCCTTAACATCGTTGGGATTGTCCATTAGCAGCTTCCATGTCTGTGGTATCGAATGGAATTGTCTGTCAGCCACATCAAAGCGTCCGCTTTGCAGGTCAATGTGCAGCGAGGTGAAGGGTTCTACGCGCAGTAAATAGTGCAAGACGCCGGCTGAGTTGGAGTAGTGAGTGCCATAGTGGAACTTGGGTATGGCACCGGAGGGATCCTCGAAAGAATCGTACTTGCTGCGCACCTCAGCCTCGTTTTTGGGGTTTATCTGGGGGGAGAAAAGCATTTTCTTAAATAAAATTTAAAAGTAAGGATATAAAACCTAAACTTACACATCCTATGGGTTTGGACAGGTCACGGAATGACTTGGGATCGGTTAGGTCCAGGACATCACTGGTGTAGTCTGCCAGGATCCAGGGGAAGACGGGGTACTGGCTCAAATCATTATAAGATCGTCCTGCGATAGTGTTCAGGTACATCAGATATTCAAAGTTGGAGATCTCCCGATTGATCCATCTCTGGGTGAGGCCAGAGGCCCTCAGCAGCTCAGCCGGAGATCTGCCAGAGCCATACAATATATTTGGCAGAGGTAGACCCACGATTTTGGTAAAGACTTTATTGCGGGTCTGAAAAATAACCTGATAACTTTCAATCTCCAAAAACCTTAAAAATTACCCACCTTTGTGGTAAAGTTCAAGAAGTAACTGGTTTGATCCACCAGGAAGATTTCCAGAGCACTCCTGCGCAGATTGTACTTCCTTAGATGCACTTCGCGTATCTTGTTTGTGGAGAATCTAAAGTCATGCTTGGAGGCATCTTCCGTAGGTGGACTTAGATCCACAAAGGTAAACACGCTTTGGTTGACCTCAATGCGACCCTTGACCTTGGTCATCAGCGTAATGAGTTCACAATCCTGCGACATCACCAGCTTCTCCAAAGCCACATCCTGTTGCGCCTGGGTGTCTATCAGCTGGCGCAGCTCTTCCTCCAGCTGAGAGCTCTCATCGTCGGCCAGGAAATCGCGAACCACTGCATTCTTGATGGTGGAATCAAACTCGGAGATTTCCCTGAGGAGAAGGGATATTATAAGGTAATTTTGGTTAGGATTGGTTTGAGCTTACTTGGTGTCATAGGCACTGGTTGCATTGTCCCGCAGATTGGCGGCATTTTCGTGCTTGTTGGGATATAGTTGGGGCTCCAGTTTCAAACGCATCCTTGCCACATTTTCATGGGGAGATAATTTCCAGAATTCCTCGTCCAAATTTCTGGAAAGATAAATCAAGATTTAAAGTTATAAGATAAAAGATTTTTATACAAGGACATTTAAATTTTTAGATATTCTTAAGAGAAGAAACAGACTTAACATTTTCTCCACAAAATTCAGATGGTTTTAGAGAAAATAATAATATTTTCCCTTTGTTTTCAAATTTTCTGTTTATTTTTTTTATAAAAGTTGAAAATGTAAGAATTGCCCTTAGAAAAATCTCCTATTTTTCCCTCTTAGAAAAAATTCTACTGTATTTCTTTGTTTTCAAAATTTCTATTTATTTTTTAGGTTTTTTTTTTTTTTTGATGAAAGTTATTTTGTAGCTCGACAATGATTAATCGAATATGTACAGATGAAAGTCCTTTGTCGAGTTGTCTCTGTTTCTCCTTCTCTTTATCCTCCTCTTTAGACAACTATGGGTGCAGCCAGAGTCTTGGCAAAAACTGGAGCCACTGGGGCAGCAGCCACAACTGGAGCAGCGGCCACGGGAGCAGCCACAGTCTTGGCCAGCACTGGAGCAACTGGAGCAACGGCCACAGGCACATCCTTCTGCACGACAGCATTGAATCCGTTGATATCATCAGCGTAGTAGCTCACAATGCGACGAGAACCATCGGGCTCGATCAGGGAGTAGGAGCCGCGAACAACATCACCATCACGGGTCTCCTCCTGAGTCTTGGAGTCACCGGTCAGCGTATCCTGGACATCGTAGGCGTACTTGTACTGCGGGTAGGCATCCACAACCTCGGTGGCAATGGGAGCAGCAACTGGAGCAGCAACTGGAGCAGCCAGAGGAGCGGCAACTGGGGCAGCCAGGGGAGCAGCAACTGGGGCAATGGGAGCAGCCAGAGGGGCAGCAACTGGGGCAGCCAGAGGAGCAGCAACGGGAGCAGCCAGGGGAGCAGCAACTGGGGCAGCCAGACGAGCAGCAACGGGAGCAGCCAGGGGAGCAGGAACTGGGGCAGCCAGAGGAGCAGCCAGACGAGCAGCAACTGGAGCGGCGAATGGAGTAAAGGGAGCAGCAGCGAAGGGTGCAGCGGCATAGGTCTTGGCCACCAGAGGAGCTGGTCCAGACACCAGAGGAGCCGAGTAGCCCAGGGGAGCGGAATAGGCAGCCGGGGCAAAGTACGGTGCAGGTCCCAGAGGTGCAGAGTATGCCAGAGGAGCGCCCAGAGGAGCGGCGGCCAGGGGAGCGGAGAAAGGCGCCAGACCAGCCTGAGCCGAGAGGGCCATCGAGGAGATAACTGCAACAACCTGTGTAGAGGAGGAGATCTTTTAACCTCTTGAACGGGAACTTAATCCTCCTGTACTAACCGTCAGAGGATTCATTGTGCCGCTTGGGTTTTTGGGGGGATTGTCACCGTCGATTATCGAAAATGAACTGACATGCTTTGGCCAAAAAAACGACGACTTTATATAGCAGATGCGTTCGCGAAATTTGCATGCGTCGTCGCTCAGCTGAGGGAATATTGCGTACCAATTGCGTATGGGAGCCGGAGCCCAAGCTCCTGACCGCCGTCGTCTCCTCTTGGTCCTCCCTTTTGGGGTCGCTTCCTACCTACAGAGCGCGTCTCTCTTCAAAATTGATCCAAATTCCCTGCACGTAGTCCAATTTTCTGTCGCGGCTGCTTCAGGTTTTCATTTTTATTTGTTGCCACTGTATTTTTATTTTTTTTTGCCTTGCTCGGATCAAAAGTGAATGCGATTTGATTATATTTTGGAGTCCGAGTAGTTTGTAGTTTTTGGTAATTGTCATGCTAGGTCCATTCAATGGCAATGCTTTAATTTTCTTTTACAACAAAGAGCTCAGAAGCGAAGCTTAATTTAGTTATTAAATTGAACTCTTCAGAAAGGTTACATTTTGACTTTTTAAAAATAAAATAAAGTATTAATTTGGAAGACTTTTTCTGCTCTGTATATAATTATTTAGACTTGGGTGGCATTACAATAGGTTGGAAAGTTTTTTCTATACCGTTTTTATTGGTTAACAATTACAAATGCTAATGATTAACCACTTGTACATAATAAGGCTGCTTTTGGTTTCTCTTGGACAAGGGAAACTGGGTCAGAGAGGGCTAAGAATATCGATGAGGGTTTGGGGATCAATAATCATGGGTGGAGGATAAGAAGTTAACTCTAATATATCTCTAAATATACAACATTTGTAGCTCATGAATGTAATATAAACATCAAATCCAATCTGCAATGGCATGCCGAAGTTAGCTTCCTTTCTTGTTAATTATAAAATAATCAAGAAGTTTTTTAATATAAAAAATCAGATTTTATAATACAAAATAATATTTTTCAAAGTCAAGGAATCATTTCCGACCCCATAAACCATATATGTTCTTGATCAGCATCAACAGCAAAATCTTTCTAGACATGTCCGGAAGAAATCGATTTTTTGGCCATTTTTGCGAGATTTGATAAGGGGTTACATCATTAAAATTAGCAAAAATTTCAAAAAATTTTGATTTCTTAAAATTTTAAATTTGGTATGCAGTTTTTTTAAATTAATAAAATCTAACACAAAACTGCTTTCCGAATCGAAATTAATGCATTTTTGGCTTAGTTATGATATATTTTAATTGTTACCTGCAAGGGTATACAAACTTTGACTGGACAAAGTTAGCTTTCTTTCTTGTTTTATATTTCCTTTTAGCAATTCTGAGAACCTTAAGGGATATTATACATAATTTATATTATAATTTCTTAAGAATTTAGTTTTTTAATAAATCTAATTAATGAAATATTAAAATTACTTTATTTTTACTTTAAAAGACGTGGTTTGTCTCAGTTTAAGCCCTCTAAATCTTCCCCTTTTCCTCCAAAAAAAAACCCATAAAATTCCCTGTTCATAGTCTTTAACTTTGGAGTTTGGCCAAACCCGTGGTAACCATCTATAACTGATTATAGATTCCCCATCGATGCCATGCTGTAACTGGTGGCTGGCTAGTGAGTTCGTGACTCTTTTGCCAAAATGCAACCAACGACCTTGCGACTTGTTGGCTACGGATTCACTTTCAGAGAGTCGGAGAGCCAAGAGACAAGTCTCAATCTTTCCCTCACTCAAGAGAGAGCTGTATCGCTGGATTAATCATCCAAGAGTTAGCCACCGGAAACTGGTGCTTCCATTTTAGCTATGACCAATGGAATGCTCCAGCTGCCGTAGATGCTTAAGTTCCTTGCCCAATCGCACCGAGATGAGAATTAATTAAAAGTAGACGAAATACCAATTCTGGGCAAGGTCGTCGTTTGCAGCGCTAAAAGCTTACAATTGCCGGCTGCAGCAGTGTGTCTTGCCTTTTGGCCCGATCGAGGCAATTACGGTGGTTAAGTGGGCGCTGGTTGGGAGTCGTGGTGAGGTGGGAAAGGAGGGGAGGAGCAAGCAGGCCGCAAAGCAAATGCGTGTGCGAGTGCGTAATTGCGCCGGGCCACGTCGCCGTGTCCACTGTCCACCGCCCATTCCCTCCTCCTAAAAGAAACCCACGAAAACTTGCCATTTTTGTTTTCTAATTAAACGAGTGGCCAGCAAACGATTGATCTTGTTTCGATACTCTAAAAAAAGGGGGTACTATGACTATGATATGAGCGAAGTATTTATATATAAATAAAAATATAAAATATAAATAAATTTATATATAAATAAAAATAAATAATAAATGAAGATCCTCATTAATCATACGCCACGGTGTACTTGTAAAGTCAACACTGCGTATGAGTAATAATTTATACACCATTTACAAAATTGCATATTCTTTTAAAATATTAAAAATTGATGAATTAATTAATGTCAAACTGCTTTAAATGAAGAATATAAAATATATTTACAGTTCACTTTGATTTAAATCTCCAAAGAAGAACCTCATCCATCATACGCTACGTTGTCTGGTTAAAGGCAACACTGCGTATGAGTAATAATTAGCACACATTTCACAAGACATTTAGATTCATTTAAAAACTTAAATATGGATAATTATTTAATCATTAAAGGTTTTAAATGATTAAAAAATATATAAGCACATGAAAAATCTTGGAAACTGGGTTGTTTCCAAGGCTATAATTTAATTTAAAGTGTAACTAAATCACATATTAAGTTTTTAACTCTAGGTAATCAATTATTCAACTTGAAATAATTAAATAAAAAATAATTAAAATAATTCTAAGAATTTGAGTTGCTTTATATAATATTTTTCTAAAAAGAAAATAACTTTTCCTTCATATTACGTGACACACCACCTTTCTTACGTTATATTATAGATTTATTTTTCGTGTGGCAACTGCAACTGGCCCATGCCACATGCGGCAGCTATTACATCAGACAAAATTCGGCCTGAGAACCTGAGAATGTGCCGAAAAAGTGCAACCAAAAAAAAACGAAACCAGATTGGGCAGCGGAAAACGAGTCTGGTGCTGGAAGTGGTGTCTTGGTGGTGACTTGCCGTCTTGGAGCGGCGCTCTTGAACGGATCCAAGTGGTGAGTGGAGCTATTCCATTGAGAAAAGCCAACGCAGCTGAGCAGAGCACAGCAGCAGTGCAGCATTCATGATGAAATCCGCACCAGAAACACGAAATGCGATGAGGTCTGGGGTGCAAGATCGAGATCGAGATCGGGCCAGCTAGTAGCCAGGCCAAATGAGACGCCGCAATTGTCACTCTGCCCATTAGATTGTCCAGTTTTTTTGCGAGCGAAGGAATTCGGCTGGCGATATATAAAACTGAAGAGTTGGTGGCCAATGCATCTCACACTTGAGCTGAGTTCTCGCCGTGCAGACACCTCCAGTCCTCCAGTCACACATCCTTCGCCATGTTTGCCCAGGTGAGTTTCTGGCCAGGATTGCGGATTATCTTACAGAACTTATCCGTGTGTTTCGTTAGACTCTGTTCGTTTTGGGACTGATCCTGTACGCGGTCGTGGCCATTCCCATTGATCCCTATGGACTTTCGGCTCCCTCCATCTCCTATGCTTCTCCTGCTATCTCTTATGCTGCTCCCAAGCTTCTGGCTGCTCCTGCTATTTCCTACGCTGCTCCCAAGCTGCTAGCTGCGCCTGCTGTCTCCTATGCCGCTCCTGCCATCTCTTATGCTGCTCCCAAGCTGCTAGCTGCGCCTGCTGTCTCGTATGCAGCTCCTGCCATCTCTTATGCTGCTCCCAAGATCCTGGCTGCTCCCGCCGTGGCTGTGCAAAAGGTGGCCGTCGCAGAGCCTTACGATCCTAATCCCCAGTATAGTTTCTCGTATGGAGTAACGGATCACAAGACCGGCGACTCCAAGCAGCAGGAGGAGACCCTGGTCAATGGAGTCGTCCAAGGCAGCTACTCCCTGGCCGAGCCCGATGGCACCATTCGCAAGGTCACCTACACCGCCGACAAGATCAATGGATTCAATGCGGTCGTCGAGAAGAAGGGCGTGGCTGCGGTGGCCATTGCCAAGCCTGCACTTGCCGTTGCCGCCGTACCCGCCATCACCAAGATTGGATATGCCTCCGCGCCTGGTCTGAGTCTCTACCACTAAGAGGTATCTCCAAACTGGAGACGAACCGATGACAAAACACTCTGTGGCCTAGTTCTGGGTTTACGATTAGGACTAGGACCGTTGTTGAATAGTTTTAAAGAATCACTTTTAAATCCCAATTAACCCGTTCTTCTTACCGAGAAAAAAACGTGCCTGCTGTTGCCCCCCGACAGACGATGACGAAGATGATGAACCCACTCCGATTTGATTCGATTGGACCCACTCCATTGACTATGTTTAGGGATACCGTTCTGGGGATCGGCAACTTAGTGAATTAGTTTCTGCATTTTACTGAATAAAAGTTTCGGTACAAAAAAAGAAATACAAAAGAGTTCTTTAATTTTTTTAAGTGGTTCAATCAATCACCTTTTGGGGCAGGTTCAGAGACTCAGCCTGGGATTTGGCGCATCTGGAATTCCTATCACGTAGTGCCAACTATATATTTATTATCACAATTCATATGGTTGAATTGTGCAAGCTGGGTGCCCGTGGCTGGCACGTCCATTGGGGAAACCTCCACCTCTGGTTGGTCTAACACTGGAGACCGAAATGGGTTATGTTACGTCAGCAAGTGGAATCGCTTTTGGCAGTGCTGGGTTGCCACACTACTTCAAGCAGCACGCAGTAGTATGGGCTGGAGTGGCCCTTTATAACCCCGGATCCGTGGGCAGCCGAAGACAGTTCCAACAGCGTTGTCAAGTCACCATCAACACAGGCAAATCCAGCGAGCAGCAAACCTAGTCATGGCCCTGATCAAGGTGAGTGTTCCAGGAGTTATAACCAAGGATTACAACTAGCAGGGAACACTATATACATAATGGATAATCCCTTCCTAGATCACCCTCATCTGTTGTGCTTTAGTGGCCGCCATCGAATGCGCCTTGCTTCCGGCGGCTGTTCCAGTGGGTGTACCTCTCAACACCGAGGTGGATCCGCATCCACAGTATGCCTTTGCCTACAATGTGCAGGATGCCCTCACGGGGGACAGCAAGAGCCAGCAGGAGGTGCGTGATGGCGATGTGGTCAAGGGCTCCTACTCGGTGGTGGATGCGGATGGATCGCTGCGCACTGTCTTCTACACCGCTGATCCCATTAATGGTTTCAATGCGGTGGTGCAGCGCGGACCTGTGCCCGTTGCCGCTGCTCCTGTGCCAGTGGCACCGCGTCCTCTGGTGGCCGCCGCTCCTGCTCCCCTTTTTGGTTAGGCTTCTAGTAACCATATACCCCAGATCCTAGCTAGTACATAACTTATTGTCTGCTCCTTAGGAGGTTTGTAAAGTCGCTTAAATCAATTAATAATAAACTCAGTAAGCCAAAGAAGCAAAATTATAGTGAGAAACTAATGGAATCCGCCAATGAATGACTCAATTACACACACTTTAAATTGCTCTGTGGTAAAAACCAAACTAGTTTACATTTACACCTATCCATATTATTAATTAATGAGTTGATCTGGCAAGCTCAAGGCTTAAAATATGTTTACTAAGTTTAGTAAGTGATAATGAACTAAATTAAAGCACACGCAAAATACGAGTATAATAAGATACTAAGTGCTGATTGATAGTTTTTCAAGATCAAAGCTGGCATTAATTACAGTCTCTTATATTAAACAGATTTTTTAAAAGTTAAATAAGAAGAAGAGATAAAAAAAATAATAGCAATTTTTACATCTGAATTAAAAGAGTACTTATTTTAGTTTGATTTTTATAATAAATTAATTAAATATAAACCAAAAGAAATCAAAGTTTCTTTGATATTTCTCTTACTTAAGAAACCCTGCAATCTTGCTATCTTTGGTGTTAAATCTCCTCAAGCGGCTCCACGCCCAAAGAACTCTTCCATGCCAAATACATTCACTCGCTTGGGCCAGACACGCACTCAAAAAATTATTCAATAGCTTAATTGAAAGTAAAAAATCGGCACGAGATGCAATTTTTGGATTACGCAAAGCCCCAACCCGAGCATGTCCATAGATGTTTGCTGCCGGCAGTAACTGCGCTGCTAACTGCAACATCAACTGCAACAGCAGCAGTTACTGCAACTGCGACTGCAACGCCTAACAAGCGGCAGTACGCGTTGAAAATTAGTGATAATGGGCAAAATTGTCCCAATGGCAACAGCGAAACAGAACTATAACTATACACTGAGGGATAAAGTAAAATACAATTTATAAGAAGATTATATAACAGGATTTAAGGTGGTTTAACTTTAACGGATGTCAAAGAAGAGGTTGTACTACCTATAGGAACTGTCTTAAGTTTTCAATTTGACAATACATATGTATGTTTTAGGGGAACATTTTACTATTTATTATATTATTATGTATATAATTTTAAAATGTTATAAATATTTTGACATTATCAGTAACCTAAACGTACAGTTGAGAACTCTAAAGCAACGCAAAAGAACCTAGAAGTGACTCTATTTTAAACGTGATTTCAAAAAGATTGCAGCTAGAACTAGTTGAGAATTCTAGCATTAATTACGCTGTTTCTAAGAAGGCTCCTGTAAGCTTTGAACTTTGTTTTGTTTTGAATTTCTGAACAAATAATAATCAATTTACAAGTTATTTACACAATAATATATCATTTTTACAAGATTAAAAAACCTAATTCTATGACTAAGAACAACGTTTTTTGCCCTGTACAGTGACAGCGTCTGGCGGGGATTTTTGGGTGGGCGCAGCTAGCAGCTCTGCCAGCCAGTTTCGAAGGCTGTGCCCCAAACACACCTTTCAACAATCGACTGCCGCTGCTGCTGCTGGCTGGGTGCGTGAGCAGCATTGCCCCAATCTGGTGGCCATAAACCGAGACACGGACACGGGACATGGGTACATGGGTACATGGGGCATGGGGACATGGGGACAAGAGACCTGGGAGGCACACACAGGCCAACACACACCTGATCCACGGTGGTCTATGTCTATGCTTTCGAATTGAACTTTTTTGTCACGACGACGACGACGACGACCAGTTTACTTTGTCCAGTGGTTCACTGGTCCACACACAGTGCTCCTCCCATACCGCCCAGACATGCGTGCCCCACCTCTCCTCACCATCTCCTCCTCCGCCATCGCCTCTGATTGCCATGGGCAGCGGCGAAAAATGAATTATTTTATATTTGTCGCGATCGATGGCAGTATTTTTATTTTTTTTTTTTCGCAACACACGCATGCGCAAGCGCACTTTTTAGTTGTTTTGGGCTTTTTGGTTTTCTTATTTATTTTTTTATTTTTGCATAAATATCTGTAGCAGGCGGCTGCTGCGGATTGGATCGGATTTTTTGGGCTCGGGCCTCGGGACGGCCTATAAAAAGCAATTGTCGAGCGGCCACAGAACCACAGAGCGCGATCATTTGTCAGCCGAGTAGCAGCAGCAACAGCAGCAGCAGTAAGTTCTCCAAAATCTAAGGTCTCCATCCAGAATGGCCCAGAAGTTAATCCTCGTTTTGAGCGCCTTGGTGGCAGTCGGCTCCGCCGTGGTGGTACCCGGTCCAGGCCTGGCCCTGCCTGCCTACCCATCGTATCCCTCGTATCCGACACTGGCCAAGGTAGCAGCTCCACTGGCCGTGGCCAAGGTGGCCGCCCCGGAGCCGTACGATCCGAATCCGCAGTATAGCTACAGCTATGATGTTCATGTGAGTAAAAGGATAATGAAGGAAACTAAATAGCAGAAGGGATATTCCTCGAGAAAAATAAAAATTAGGAAAATTAGAATAGAAACACTTTTAAGAATTTAAACTCAGGACTTTGAAAAGGATAAGAAAGGAAGAAAGAAGCTTATAAGAATTTATATAATTTATATTTTAAATTGTATAAAGGATAATCTGAACTTTTGTTTTGGAACTTTAGGAACACTTAAAGTAAAACCAATATAAAATAACCCTTAAACATTGAAGAGGGAATTTAAGATTGAATTAACATTAACACTTTGTCTCAATTTAGATATCAAATATTTAAAGTTGTACTAAAAGGTTCCCAGACTAATATAATATTCTTAAATTTAAATATTTTGCGGAGAATGCAAATCTTTTAAATGCTTGCCTTGAGCGTACAACTTCAAAAGTTCACAATCATGTTCTGTATTCATAGTTCACTACATATTCCACAGACACCTCATAAAAAATAATAAAAACAGCTGCCAGAAAAATTACAATTTACATACAGCCCACCTACCCGCTAGGCTTTATAAATATTTAGTATTTTGGAGAGGTGACTACTGCACTCAGAACTATTAAATCACAACAAGGTGAATAACTCAATATTTGCATAACCAAAGTCAACTAAAATAAAATGTAAAAATATATAGATGATAGACTGTTTTTAAAAAGGTTTTTTCAGTAAACTAAACTATCCTCTTGAAATTTACAAAAATATATAATATACTACATCCTTTACTCATAATATTCCCCCTTCAAATCCTCCCCCAGGATGGCTCCACTGGCGATGTAAAGAGCCAGCAGGAGAGCCGCAGCGGAGATGTGGTTCAGGGCTCCTACTCCCTGATTGAGGCCGATGGCACCCGTAGGATTGTGGAGTACACCGCCGATCCTGTGCACGGATTCAATGCTGTGGTCCACCGCGAAGGTGCCGTTGTGAAGGCGGTGGCTCCAGTGGCCAAGGTTCTGGCCCCGGCTCCGCTGCTTCACTCCGCTCCGCTGGTGGCCAAGGTTCCAGCTCTGGCTCCCGCCTATCCGGCTCTGGCTCCTGCCTATCCCGCTCTGGCACATGGTTATGGACCAGCTCTGGGTCATGGATATGGACCGGCTTTGGCTCCTGCCTATGGACCCAAGCTGGCACTGCCTGCACTGTCGCCGCTGGGCTACCACTAAGTCAAAGGATACGAAAAAATACAAAACGGACGCCGACCTCTTGCCGCAAACCGAACCATGGACACATCGCGACCAACTTCTCCTGCCACGTGGCCTCCAGATCGATGAGGGATGATGACCTGGCTGGGCCACGGGCCGATCGTAGTCGATAGTAGTTGTTAGTATTAGTTGAAATGAAAGCGATTTATCGAAATATGTACATACGAATCCAAGGACAGTGGACTTGCGTCCATGTCCCCTCATCTACACTCACACACATTCTCGAGGCGCCTTTCATTTTTGTTTCTTGTCTTTTTAGTCTTAAGGCTGTTTGACCGCGATAAAAACTCTATAATCCCCAAACAAACAATCCCAAATTCTTATTCTTATTTAATCCGAGCCTGTGCACACCGAGTAGAACTCGCAGAATGAGAACCGAGATTGCAAATAAACGAACCGAAGCTATGCAAATGGAAAAGGTTAAGGAGTTTTGATGGAAATGGAAACCTATTAGTAAAACTGGGGAAATATAAAGATAAGTTAGGGGTTGGGGATATTCATTTAAGGCAGACATTTTAGAAACCTGAAAACTATATTTCAGTCTATTTAATATGACTAAAGGTAAGTAAGAAGTACAAGAATGAAATCGAACTATGGGGAAGCCGATGTTTCTATACCTTTCCACTGTGGAATCGGTTCAGGGTACCGAATCGAAAATAGATCATAACTAAGACAAAAAAGCATCAAAATCAATTCGGAAAGCTTTACTATGCTAGTTTTTTGTAGGTTAACAAATCTGCATACTGAATTTTAAATTTTATAAAATCGAAATTTTTGTCAATTTTCGAGAATTTTAATGATGTAACCCCTTATCAAATTTAAAAAAAATTATGAAATTTTAAGTTGTACCCAAACATGGCCAGTTTGACTCAGTTTTTGATGCTGATCAAGAATATATATGGTTTATAGGGTCGGAAATTATTGCTTCACTACTAAAAAGGTTTCTGACTAAAATTAGTATACCCTTGAAGGGTATAATAAGAACTAGAAAGAAGATTGATTAAATTAAATTTAAGAAACCCATAAGCTCAGCATTCTTTAAAAATATTTACTAAAAATACTCTGAAGAACATTTATTTAGTATAATACGGGGATTTTACTGTTTCTTGGCTTACGGATGTTGGCAATTAATATAATAATTCAATTTTTATAGAACTTATAAATATAATTGACAAAAAACAGCACTTAAATCTGATTGCACATACTTTAAATTATGAAATTTTAATAGCTGCTATTTAGAGCAGCCTTTGACCATAGACAGTTCATAAAGCCCAAGTAGATTTCAATCATAAAGTCGGGCAATTTAGGCTTAGAATTTCAGGCCGTGAGCGTGGATATGACCTTCCTTCGCCTCGAACAGGTCACCGCTACTGCCAGGCAGTAGCCACTGCAGTTTTGGCCGTCAATTGAGCGTAAGCTAATAGCTCAAGGCCCAAGCTCCACGCACTGCTAAAAACTAAAAAAAAGACCTGCGTAATTCGTAATTCGAGCAACGCGGCGATGCAAAGTGGTCAGAAAAATAAAATTTATGGGCTCAGCCGTAGGAGAATTTTGCTGGTCAATTGGCAATCGATCGGATCGGATACTTGGCAGCCGGCCACAATGGTTTGGTGTTCTCCAAGCTGAAACTGGATACTGGCCATCCGCCGCGCCTCTATTAGCTCTCGGACTGACCTCTATCCGCCGAGGAGAGGAGAGCAGCGATTGGGTGTGGAAGCCCACCACCTTGTCTGCACATCTGTGCAGGGGGGCGCCCAGGCATTATATGTGCATATTTGTTTATGTAAAATTTATGGCTCGCATAATGAGTTTTCGTTACATTTGCAATTGCATAATGCGACGACGCGACGAGGGGCCTTTTGTTGCATTCGACATTAAACGCTCTCTTGATGATTTAATAAAATTAAATTGAAATGTTAATCGCGACACGGGGGCATGGGCGGGAAAGTGGAAAAGACACATGTGGGGCGAAAGCGTAAAACAATGGACGAGGTGCAGCAACTAAAGAGGCGATACAACAATGGGCTTAAAACAAGAGGGAAATTCAAATGAAATAAAGGGAAAATGGATGAAGAGAGGTAGAGAAAGATGTTTTATATATTTTCTGTGCAAACTTTTATGATAAAAAATATTTAAGATATATATAATGTTTCATGTATTCTTAATAAAACTTTAAAAGAAAAAAGATCAATGAAGTTTTCAATGTTTTGATGTCATTTAAATCATAAAACATCAAGGTTTTATCAGCTCTTAATCCAAACACAAAATTTTCAAATAAATTTATAGATATCTATTGAAAAAATAACACAAATAATTTGTTCTTATATCATATTTATTTACCACAAATATATAAATAAATCTTTATCCCATGAAAGGCTATTATATTTCGCTTTCAAGCCTTAAAAATAACCAAAATACGCTTTCAACCAAGACTGTTTATCTATTTTTAAAACAGCAAGGCCTTTTCAGCATTATGTATTCATATTATAATCCCCAAAAATCGCACCACACTTTACTAATCTGCGGCATCCGATTAAATTTGAATGCGAATCGCAGTTAAATTTTCGATTATAACTAACGGACGCATATTAACGCCATCATTTTGTGGCATTGTTTTGACGGATTTCACCCATTGTGGCAGTGGCCACCACCAGCCGAGAGTGTTGATGATCATCATCATCATGACGAGCCGGGTCTGGCATAGCTAAAGTTGCTGCAGACTTAATGATTGAGAGGGATTTGTTTGCATTTTGAAGTGAAATTAACACAGAGCGCGACGGCAGCAGCGGCGGCGTCTGCCAGCGTTTTGTTATGTTTTGAGTTTGGGTTTGGGTTTGGATTTGGATTTGGGTGTTCGAGTGGGGGGAGCCTCATCCACTCCAGGTGATTAAGTTATCACGCACACATGTAATAACACGCCATCAAGCACGCTCGATTACAATTGTCGCCTCCGGAGAGGCATGCCAGGCGGGACAATTAAAATGCTTGCATTTCGCGTCATTTCATAATGGGATCGACGAGTGTGGGCTTTAATGTACACCGTAAAAAATGTCTAACTCTTTAGTAAAGTTTGCTTTATTAAAAAATTTTTAAATAAGATAGAAGAAAGGTAGTTTCGAGCGACAATAATGGAGCACAAGAGATTACACTAATATATTGATCTTAATCTTTATTTCTTAACCTGTTTTTCCTCTCCAGTTTCTTCCAGTGCATCTACTAATATTAAGAGCTTGAAACACTCACCCGGTATACCAGGGACCTCGGGGGCCGTACAAGAAACGCTTGGCCGTCTTCCACCGCTTCCGTATGTGACTGTCGACGGTCTTGTGGTGCACTGCCGCCGCCTGAAGGCGCTGCATCTCCTCCACCTGCCGCACCTTCCACGGCATGTAGATCTTCTGCTGGAACAGGCGCCGATTCTCTGCCTGATGTGTTGCCCGCTGCTTGGAGGCGGCCTTACAGGCCTCATAGCATTCCGCCCAGAATCGATTGATGGGCTCCCACAGATGCAACTCGATGTCGCGTTGATAGTGATCGTACATGGGTTTTACCTGTTGGAGAAATGCCAAAGAAATTGTTGAGTACATACAGAGAAAATGTGGGTAATTGTGGGTTATAATATAAATATTTATGGGGTACATGTTGTAATAATTTATGTATAAATTCTAAGAATCCAAAAGAAAAAGTTAATAGGCAACATTTTCTAAACTAATTCAGCTAGGAACATGTTCAGCAACATCTGTTGACATAGGGAATTTATTGCTAGGCAAGTGTTGATAGCAGCATGTCTAGCAACATGTATTGAAAATAACTAAATGTTGTTAGGCAAATGTTGATAGGAACTTGTTCATCAACATTCAGTGGCTTAAGGCAATTATTGCTAGAATATGTTTATAGGAACATGGCTTAAGGCAATTATTGCTAGAATATGTTTATAGGACCATGTTTAGCAACATGTAATGATAATAGGTAAATGTTGCTAGGTAAATGCTGATAGGAACATGTCTAGAAACATCTATAGGATCTGGACAAATGCCCAGCAAGAACCATTGCCATGAGGATATTATTGCCAGGCAAATGTGTAGATGGATATCTAGCAACATCTAGTGATGCTAGGTAAATGTTGATTAGATCATGTTTAGTAAGCCCCATTGATGCTAAGAAAATGTTATAACATATTTTAATTATTTTAATAACTTAATCGCAGCTTGAAATATTAATTCCAGATTAATAACAAACTAATTTTTCTCACAGTCCCCGCTTATGGCGTTGCAATGAAGAGCAAAACTGACGTTTATGGCAGCTTGGATTTGTTTTCGCTTTCATTCGATTCAGGGGCACACTCTTCGTGCGTGTTCGAGTTCCATCTGCTGGAGATCTACTTGAGATCACTGCCAGCTCCAACTCCAGGCCCAATCCCCGTCACGTCCGGTCAGGTTCAAGTTCAATGTGCACAGGAAGCGCTCGATTGCTCGAGTTGGAGAGGGGAAACCAGTTGGACGTGATCCGATCCTCGATGGAGCTGTATTTTGGGGTTTACTTAATACCCAACTCTGGCTGCTGATCCCTGGGCATCCGCATTGCAAGACGAGAGATTCTTTTGCATAATCTCCGCGCGCTCAGCGATCGTTCCAAGGCGCTGGGCACAAATTAAAAATGAATAGATAACACCAGAGGCAAAAGAGCGGAGCTAAATAACATATTTCTGGTAAAATCTCCACCTGGTGGGTGCATCGACGGCAGCTACGACGACGCCGCTTTGTCATTCGACGACTGACTGGTTCCAAGCGCTGCGCCTCTTCGAGCCACAAAACCAGACCACTTTCTTGGCGCTCAGCTCAGTTGCCGAAAGAAAGTCCGACGAGTCGTGACCGACCGGGAGCCGCCGCGAGGAAAAACTCTTTTGAAATTAAAAAAAAATCCAACTTGGAATCGCTCTGGGATTCGGACGCGGGTGCCTCCAATGAAAGTTTCGATTTGGGAATTTGTTTACTTGACTCCAACGCAGCGAAGAGCTTAGTTCGCGTTTAACGGCTCGAAAATGTGCAATTTGTTTTGGCTTTTGGCCTGTTTTGTAAGCGATTAAATAATATGCTATATAATTAATAATGCTGATCTCTTATGTGTGTGTTGTGTGGAAAATAAGATCAAGTGTGACTTGGTTTGCGGGCTAGGATTCTATCAGAAAGGGTAGTATCTGTGTATCAGTTTAAAGATTTGAGTTTGGGATTGTATCAGCAAGGATTGTATGTTATCTCTTATCAGTTTATGGATTTGACATGCCAAATAAATATGAAAATAAGGCATGATTATTAAAGGCATCAAATTTAGAGGATACAACATAAAATTCCTTGAAGTTTTTGTTCATTTTAATGGTCAGGTATCTAACTTTTTAAAGAGATAAAGTAGTAAATCAATTAAATTTAACAGAAATATAATTATTTATAGTTTGGAAAAAAAGTTTATGGAAGTATCTAATTAATATAGGATTTTTATTTGACAAATTTTATTGAAAATAGTTTCCTTTCCAGCTATAAAATATTAAATTAAATGGCTAACCCATGACTTTATAAAGTAAAGAAAATAAAACAAATTATAAATATTCTCCAGTTAAGTAGATAAAAAGTTAGTGTCTTAGATCTCCAGTTAAGGTCACACTTTACCTATAACATCATACCCTCTACAATCAACCAATTAAATTCCTTAATCTCTCCAATCACCGTCCAATTATATTCCTTAAAAGCGGCTCCTAAACTTCACCACAAGCAATAGCTAACAATTGTCAAGCCCCAAAAACAAGTCATGTTAAGAGAGCCGCTTTCTTGGCCAGCCGAGGAGCAGTAGCAGCTGCAAATGGAGTCGCGATTTTACACATTGAACCTGGCGACGATCAGGTTCAATGCTTGGCTCCTTTGACTACACTCGGCCAGCTCCTCCCCTGCTCCTCCCAACTTACCTGGATTGGTGGATTGCGTGAGAGCAGCCAGCCGGCAAGGCAACGATGCCAACTCCAGCCGCGTTACGAGGAGCCTGGCGAGCATAACTCGTGACTAGAGGTGTTACGTCGTTGGGAAGCCGGGGAGCCAGCTGCTGGCGGTGGGGCACTGAGGCGGAAGCCACTAGTGAGTCTTCGGGTGGAAAGTCAAAGGTTGGTCGCGTAAGACAAAAGCACACACAGAGCGCAGAGATGACAGCATTTAAGTTTTTTTTAGAGAAAGTTTGTTTGTCTGATGACATTTTCGCGGAAGATTAACCCACTCACCCTTTGCCATCTCTCCCTTTTCCCTTCCCCAGCTGGCTGTCTGTCTGCCCTTCGCCCTCGGAGGTGTCGCCGCCAATGCTAACAATGTAACTCAGACAGAGCCTAAAGCGGAGCTAGTGCCCGCGGCAGAGAAACTGATTCGCTATCGTCGTCAGCCGCCCTACGCTGTGGGAAAGCGCTCCAAGCTACGCCGCCGGACTAAGGGTCCGCCCAAGATCAAGTATGGACCACCACCTCCTTCTCAACATTTCCGGTATGCAAAGCCATCGTTTCCGGCACACTTGGAGGAGCCCAGCTTCTCCATTGATGACTTCCAGCACTTGAAATTCGATGGCGCCGACTTCAAGATACCAACTTCGAGCTACGAGGCGCAATCCATGGATCTGGACTTTTATAACCATGACACGGAGCCGGATCTGTATGGAGCGCACAAGTTTCCCAGCCTGGATTTTGGACTAGTGACCACACACAACGATCATGTGCCGCACCAAAAATACGGACTGCCGCCGCTTCATCAAAGCTTTAAGCCAGATCACTCGTTTGCCTCGCACTACGAGCCTCCTCCGCCACCCGCTCCGGCTCCGGCTCACCCACCAGCCACGCGTTATGGAGTGCCCACGGCCCCGGTGCCAGTGCCCAGCTATAAGCACCAGGATCTGCCGCCGCCCGATTCCTATTCCATTTACGAGCAAAAGATCCCCAATGTGAATTATCATCAGAACTTTGCTGAGCCACCGAAGCATGGCTCTAAGACTAATCCTAATTTTGAGATTGCCTACTCGCCGCCTGCTTTTGAGATCAGTACATCCTATCAGTCGAATCACCAGCAGAGCTATGCGCCACCACATCCTGGAGGGGATAGCCACAAGGGCAGCTTCGCTGAGCCACCTTCCACGAACTATGTGAAGCCTCCAACTAATAATTATGCTCCACCTCAGCTTCCTCATCATCCTCCCTCTTCTGGTTACGACCAACCTGCTCAGCATCCTTCTCCCAGCTATGATCAGCCACCTCAGCTTCCGCCATCTAACAGCTATGATCCTCCAACTAACAACTATGCTCCTCCACAGCATCCTCCTTCCTCAAGCTATGATCTACCTCCTCAGCATCCACCTTCCTCGAGCTACGATCAGGCTCAGCAGCATCCTTCTTCCTCTAGCTATGATCTAGCACCTCAGCATCCACCCTCCACTTATGATGGATCACCACAGCTTCCACCTTCATCCAGCTATGATCCATCACAGCAGCATATTCCCACCAACTATGCTCCTCCCGATTCTCAACCCTATCCTATCCAGAACTATCCGCAGGATGATTATGCACCGCCATCACAGGAACTGCCCCTAAATCCGCACCACAAATTCCCCAGCTTTGATTTTCCCAAATCCAGCTACGAAGTTCCCATCTACGATCCCATACCCTTCGAGGCATCCAACAGAGAGGAACAGGAATCGTATCCACCCATCCTATCCTTGTCGCCCGATCATCATAACGAAATACCATCAGATGCCCATGCCGCAGGAAGTTCTAAGAAGAGGAAAAGGAAGCGAAAGCCGAATGTTGGAGGAGGAGGAGCCATTGTGCCGGGTAAGCACACGCTAGATGTGCCAGAGCTACAGCATGCCTATGATGCAGACACTCATGTGGGAGACTCCAATGAACAAGTAGATGCAGATGCGGATGCCCATGGCTCGCATTATGTGGAGAGAAAGCAGACCTTTGTCAACTTTGTGACACCCACAACGTCCTCAACGACCACGACGCCGGCACCCTGGAGTCCCATGCGGGGCAGGAGTAGTACACCGAGCACGGGATTTATCCCCACCATTGTGACGAGTACGGCAGCTCCACGTACCACCGTCCGAAGTAGAGGTGGTTCGCGCTATCGCAGCACCCAGCCCGTGAGTCCCAGCCCCCTGGATCCCATCTCTAGCAGCGTTAGGATCGAGCAGTCACACTCCCAGAGCTACTACGATGGCACCATAGCACCGCCCACCCGGCAGCAGCAGCAGTTCTCCCGCGGAACTCGACCCACGCGGCCCAGCTATGTGAGGAACCAAAGCCAGGTGTCCCCGCTGGCCCTGCAGCCGGCGGAGCAGGGTAGAGGCGTCCCCACATCCAAGCGAACAACCAAGGGTGTCTTTGACACAACGTTGTTTAAGAGTCCGCTTACCGATCGCGAGATGGAGCGAAAGCTTCAGGGGATGCGTCCAAACTTGCCAAAAAACCACAAACTATACTAGGTTCTCAGACGTAGAAAGGAAGGCAGCAACGAACGAACAGGAGGCATAGCTTAAAGACTTGTTTGACTAGTGTGTAAGCCTTAGAAATAAGTTGTATTGCAAACTAGGCTAAGGAATATATATATAAATAAATAATAAAATAATAAAAACAACCTACAAAAATCTCTTAAGACATGTAAAATATAATCTTAACTCACCATGCGCTCAATAAAGTTTCGCCACTTTTTACTAGTGCTGTACATCTGGAAATCGTTGAAGAACACAGGACCCGAAGAGGTGGAAGGCAGATCCGGAAGAGTAGAGTCCAAATTGAAGGCAAAGCGGCATTTCTCCAGCAAAGCCTTCATCACAGGCATCAAGAAGGAGTACTCCTCCGGGTTGCCCACTAGAAGAGAATAAGAAAAATATTTAAAAACAAGAAAATAAACTAAATTTCAAGAACCCACCTTCAATGGCATTATCCAAGGCCCTGTTGATGCTGTACAAGAGATAAGATAGCTCCGTGGGATCCTCGGTGGAACGACTCTGGAGTATGGCATGCAGCTTGGCTGTGGCCATGGCCACAATGCCAGGATTCGGATGATGCGAACACTTGAGCAGCAGGCCCAAGCACAGACGAATCATATCAGACCAATCATCCGAGGAACCCTGCTGGAAGATCATCAGAGCATCTAGCAGAGCCAGAACTCCATCTAGAAGTTTGGTGGAGCACTTCTTTGATTCATCCTCATTGGAGCCGAGCACCACCAGTTCGTAGACCATGCGCAGGATGTGCGAGGCATTCTCCTGGTTCACCAAAGTCTGACTGCCATGCTCGGAGAGATCAAAGAGCGAGGCCTGCACGGCCATCTCCAGGATGCGCAGGCGCAGCGAGAGATGCGAGGTGATTAGCTCGTTATTTAAAGCCAGAAGATTGATGCAGCCCAAGACCTGGCCACGCTCCTGCCAGCAGTGAGGATGATCGTTGGGTATTCCCCGCCAGAAAATATTGAAGAGGGTATTTGAGACTAGATACACCAACTGCTCTTCAGTGTCCACATCGCCATCGGCCACAAAATCAAAGGCAGAAGAGCTCTGAAAAGGGGTTTACATGGTTTTTCTTGTTTTTAAAATTTAAAAGATTTTTTACCTCCAGGGAATCGCTTTTTTTGGGCGGTCCATGCGGCGATTGAGTGGAGCTATCCGAGCTCAGGGACTCCTCTCGCTGTATAGAAGGTGTCTGAGAACCATCGGCGGTGTCTGTGGAGCTACCCAAAGTCAAGGACTCAAAGGTGTCTTGGATGTCGTGAGTGGTTTGTCGGATGACAGAAAACAAGCTGTTGGCATTCTCCACCACAGCTCCGGAAACAGATTCAGCCAGTTCTTGGGGATACAATTATATTTAGTAAATAAAGAAATGAAGAAATCTCGTCATCCTACCTTTAATTTCACTCTCTATAACGGTGGCCGCCTCTGAAACACTCGCCTGAATCTCATTCAGTATTAAACCACTGTCACTGAGCTCCTCCTGCTGCTGCTGTTGCAACTGCGCCAGTCCAATCTCCTGCTCTGAAAAGGTTATAAGATCTGCCTGGGCCAAAAAGCTGGAGTTATCCTCCAGCACCAAGTCCATGTTGATGCCAAAGCTGCGCCGCTTCTCCTCATCGGGCGGTGAATTGGTAATGGGTTTGCGTATGAGCAGGCGAGCTATGGACTCCTGCCAGCCCGTTTGCTTGGCCATTGCCACAGTGGAGTGCTGCTTGACAAAGGTAGTTTGCAGCAGGCGCTTGGCTATCTCCAGTTTAACGGGCAGATCGCAGCTGCTCACATGGTAAACCAGGAAGATTAAACCCGCATAATCCGGTTGCAGACCCAGCATTTCATCTACCAGATGAAACAAGATGGTGGAGCTCAGGGAAAGAGGTGTAATGAAGGAGAAGAAGCCGGGGAACATGCTGTGATCTCTACCCGGATCGTACAAACGGAGCACTTGCTTGTATTTTTGATGGACGCGGGAGGTGGCCAGGAGACCGCTGATGAACTGAAAGAGAAGATAAACTAAGGTCACAAATTTATGTATTGAGAGGACTCTCACTCACCCTTATGGCCGCCTCCTGAATCTCATTGGTATAGCTCTTGTCCACAAAGAAATTGTAGATAAGATTGGCGGACTGGGGTTCATGCAAAAGCAGCACCATCTGATCCTTGCAGTTCTTTCCACGTATATAAAAAGTCATCATCTCGAGGAACTCCACCAAAACCACATCCTGCCTTACGGAGGCTAGAAAAGCCACCAAGGCATTCACCTCCTTGATGTTCACCTCCTTTTGCAGATAAAACTTGATGATGCCAAAGAGAGTGGCCCTAATGGTCTTGGCATCCTCGTCGCTGATGCTGTCCGGAGTGGAGTAGTACTGACGCACCACGTCCAGCACAAACTGTACGCCGTATTTCTTCCTGAAAAACTTCCTATCATTCTTGATCATGGCGCTCAGGTACTGGGCATGACCCAAAGTGATTTGGAACTGCAGACGCGACCAGATGGCAAAGTCAAACACTATGTTGGCATACAAAGCATCCAGGAGCTGCTGACCGCCTGTCTCCGACTTGTGACCCTGCAGCGACTCCATCAACAAATGGGTGGCCATCAAGGCATTCACATCGAACAGAGCAGGCGGACAGCGCTGGAGCATGGTTCCCACAATGGCCAAGCACTCGCTGCCGAGCAGCTGCTCCTGGTTCGTCTCGTGCTCGTGGGTGAGGTAGCGCAGCAGGCACAGAAAGCTGGCCAGCGGCTGGTGCAGCATCTTCCACTCGGTGTAGGAGTTTGAGGAGAGCATCTCCCAGTCGGTGAACTCCTCGGCTGAGGGCGTGGGAGCACAGGAAGCGGATTCCTCGCTCAGGCTAGAGATGGAGATGTCTGCCGCCTGGTCCTCGGAGCTCACCAAACGATGCAGGATGGGCAGTATGGCACTTACACCACCTATGCTGTTGATGGTCTCCTGGATCTTTACAATCTTGCAATGCTGGGCTGTTATCCTTCCAGGATACTTGCCGCCTGGTATTAGATCCTGACAGGTGCCATGCCAGACTGCTCCTGGGGCATAGCAGAAAACGAAGCGAGAGTTCAGCTCGAGTAGATCATTGTCTTGGGAGAATATGGAACTAAAGTTGGCGCCAGCATCGAAGATGGTCTTCAAACTGGTGGTAGGATCGGCCAGTAGGACTCCCCCCAGGTGACCATTTAGGCAGGTTTGCTCTCCAAACACCGTGTCCTGCATGCCAATGGGAAAGTTCTTGACATTGGGATCGAAAGAGGTCTGGGTTCTCATGGGCAAAGTGAAGTAGTTGGAGACCTGAAAAAAAGGAACAAAACTTTAATGGGAGCCACTACCTTCTCCTTTGAGAACTTACATTTGCTGACAAAGTTCGCTCTAAAAGGCTAGGCAACATGCTTTTGTAACCACTCGAGCCACTCTCCTGCGACGAGGATCTAGGCATAATTCCTGCCTTGGTTACTTCACCTGCTTGGGTTGGCGTCACCACAGCGCCAATGGAGCACACCGTAAAGGGTTCGTTCACAGCCTGCACTTTGAGTGTGGCGCTCAGTTTCTGCACAAAGTCCACATAGATGTTGATCTGGCTGTAGGAAAAGGGTCGTTTGGGTGGCGTTATAGCCACCGTTAGATAGTGCCACTGGCCATCCATCAGGGTCTTGGTGGCAATAGAAGATGTGAGATATTCCCGCCGGGTTAGAGCAGCCACCACCACATTGCCATTGGGCTGAACGAAGACCTCAAAGCCACTATTGCCACTAGCTGTTTGCAGGGTGAGCAGCATGCGGCGGTGACTGCTGCTGGATTGATCCTTCAGCTGGTTAAAGCGCACCAGAATGTGGAAGATGAAGCCATAGGAACCGGAAATTGTCCAGTTACGTATGTCTGGGACAACAATTCCATCTTCTGCCTGTTCTATCGAAAAATACTGAGCGCAGGAATTGCTGCCACGCAAACTTTGCAAGGCAATCACCACCAGAGTCTGGCCAGAAAGGGGAATATATATACATATATATTAGAGGAGACTCTAAAGCTTTATTTACCTGCTGAAGTTGCTTGTTTTGCGGAAACTTTGTTCCCTGACGCATTAATGCAAAGATGGCCTTAAGCTCTGCCGGCACAATGCTGACCTTACTCAGCTCCTCGATGAGCTTGATCAAGTTCTGAACACAGTTCTCGGCTAGGGACTCACCCTCCAAGAGGCAGCCACACACGGCTTTGATAATGTGGCTGCCACAAGCCACAGATTTTCTGCAAAAAAATAAAATAAAATTTAAAAATTAAAAATACTACTCCCCACTTCAAAAATCAATCTATGTAAACTCACGTTCCGTAGTTGTCCGTGCAGCCCTTGAGCACAAGATTGGTCACATGCAGCTGCTCTCGCTCCTGCAGCCCAGGCACCCAATTGAGCAGCTGCAGCATCACCTCGGGCAGCAGCAACAGGTGTTTCTTGTCATCGTAGCCCAGCGAGAAGCAGGCATCCAGCAAAGCAACAGTTGGACAACCAAACTCCCGCAAGCTGGCAAACAATCTCTCAATACGTTCACCTTGACGCAGCTGGGCAGCAGATTGTGAGGAATAACTGGTCAAGGTGGCCAGAGCCTCCATGGTGCTGCACAGCGAACTCGAGTGGGAGATGTGCCAAGGCTTTATGACCTTCGGCAGACCAATGAGCAGCTCCATAAGATTGGATTCACAAATGGCCTCATCAGCATCGCCGGTAAGAAATAGTTTTACAGCTGCCACTGAGCACGAGAGGGCGGCCATATCAATGACCACATCCTGGTCAGCATCGCTGGCTATGTCAAAGTTGGCATCGCCGCTGTCAAAGTGCTTGGTGGCCAGCAGCTCTTGCAGAGCATCACAATAGAGTTGAACTAAGGTAACTAGGTCTATTTGGCGCTGTTTGGGAGAAGGGTTATTTGAATAAATATATAATATAAAATATATAAATAGAGAATGAACTCACTTCTTCCGGACTAGATTTCTGCAGGACAATAACCATCAAAGCGTAGCAATTGAGGGCCACGCGCCGCAGACTATTGGCACTCTCCCACTGCCGCAGGATGCTCATGGTGATGGACACTGTGGCAGGGCAAATGGCCTTCATGCCATTACGCTGCCAAAATCATAAGTCACAAATTAAAAAGATGCGGATTAATGAACTCCGATTACGGGACAAATACAAGCAATGGCATGCAGGGGGCGCACAACAATGATTCAGGTCCACCACTCACCAAGTTATCACAGTCTAGAAGCAGCCCATCACCCATCACCGAGCAGGGGGCAAGTGAAGAAGTGGTTAGAGCATTAGTATTAGTCGAGTTTAGGGACTTTAGCACTTTCATTTGCAGCTGGAGATAGAGAGGATCCAGTGTTCCAGTGAAATGAAACGATAGCGAAGGACATGGAAACAAAATGACAGAACGCTTAAAACTCTATAATGGACATTAAGTAGCGAAAGCAGTGAGCAGAAAGTAAGGCTAGCTGTGGGATAGTGAGGTTAATCATCGATTAAGTTAGATAAAGGGACTAAACAGTAAGAGGGAAGAGGTGAACTGTAGGCGCTTTCAATGGCTACCTGTGAGCCGCAAATCACAGCGCCCAGGATGTTAAGCAGGCTTTCGCCTATTTCGGCATAACGAATCAGCTTCTCCTCCTGAAAGCAATCTGAAAGGATAGGTGAAAACCATATAATAACACCTTAAAATAAATAAGAAAAGCATACCATAAATAAAGGGCACAATTTCCACATGAACCGAGTGAGGCTTGTACGAGAGACGACTATAGTCTGCCGTCTGGCCGCGCACAAAGCTCCGCCATGTCAAATATGGGTCATACATGACCTCCAGGAAGGCCGAGAAACTCTCAAACAGATGACTAATTGCAGGCACGGCTTGAGGTAGCTCCATTTGCTAAAAACAACATCAACAACCGGGTTATCAGGGTATAAAATGTATGGCCTTGATGTCGACTCACCTGCTTAAAAACCCTCGAAAGTATTGCTATCAGATTAGGCTTGTACTCATACTTGATGACGGCCAGAATGTTGTCAAAGTGCCGGCACACAATCACCAGGCAGTCTATCAGCACAGCCACCCGTTCGATGGCCCCCTCCTCCAACTGGCCAGCCGTATCGCAGGCATCTCTAGCTATAATAATAAACTTGCCAATGGCGGGCAGCAGTTCGTCCGGCAGGCGACCCAAGTGCGGACCACTGTCTGGCAGGACCTCATGCCACATGGGGCAGGTGTCGGCACGGAAATCCAGCTGCAGCTGTCCCCGCCATATATCCACAAAGCGGGCCACAAACTCCCGGAAGTAGGTCTCATCGTTCTGCCGGGGAAAGAGAGAGAGAGACAGAGAGAGAAAGGGAGACTTAGCCTGAGCCTGTCTGGGATTATATAATCGCTGTCTGTGCTGCTGCACTGTTTACGCAGGTTTTGTGGAGCAGCTAGCTGATAAAGAACGCCTTTTGTTTGGCGGTGACTAATGCGTTGAGCATGTTGCGGTCACCCCCGCTCCACCACTGGCCCCTCCTCCTCTTTATCCATTAGCTGTTATCACCCGGCGGAGTGCTTTCCACCCCTCACCTTTGTCGTGTACTGCACCCACAGGTTGTAGATGTCCTTCTTCTTATTGTCCATCGTTGGGCCGGAATTCAGGTGCGGAAATTGTGCGGAAGCATTTGTTAATTACTCGCAGTGTATTTGTTTACAAAAAATTAAAAGAGTCGCCGACAAGGTCTGCTTCTCCTTTCCTTGCTGAGATTTGGCGCCGGGCGCCTTGCTTTTAGGGTTGTTGATAATATATCAAATTATCAATATATCGATATTTTTTGTCTGAAAACGATATATTTATATCGTGAAATTTTTTTGCCCAAATATCGAAATCATGATATTTTTTTTGATATTTTTTGATATTTTTTCTTTCGATGGAAAAAGGAAACTTTTTTTAAAAAAAGAATATGAATGTAAAATCTAATTACATAAACATAACAAACGGCACAGCGAAGTGGAAGCTTTGCGAAAAAGTGATTAAGACGAGTGGAAATTGGTCAAACTTGTCGTCGCACTTGCGAAATAAACATGCAGAAACTTGTCGTCTTCTTATTTAGAGTATTCCCTTAACTGTTGAAACGCAGAATCTTTGAAAATTCAAGAAAAATTGTCAACAGTTAAAGGAATCCTCTAATTGTGCAGAAAAACCATGTTTTTTTATTTAACAAAAAAATATCAAAAATATCAAATATATCGATATTTTTTTTTGATATTTTAAATATTATTATCATCTCTTCCCAAAAAAAAAAATATCATCGATACGATATTTTTTTCAAATTTCGACAACCCTACTTGCTTTTGCACTGGATTTGGATAGCTATATCTGTTAGAATATATCGCGATTAACTTTCGCCAGCCGAGCCTATGTTTTAAACAGTTTTTTGGCAAATTTTCACATTGCTAAGCACAGGTGAAAACGGGAACAGCTGATTCTAGTTTGGGCTGTGTGCCCAGATGGTTGGTTAGTTAAGATATTAGGTCACACTGTCACTGAACCACCGTCAAAGCAGTGTTGTAAAATGAGCGGGGAATTTAAACAGGAATGGCCGTTAAAACTTGTTAATTTTAATTTTATTTAAGAATAATATAAGAAAAATGTTAGATTAAGAAATAAACCAATCTGTAACTAGTGCAATAAATAAATAAAAATAAAATAAAAATATTAAAACATACCTTAAAATTGTACTTAATTTTACTTACTTTTTATGCCATTGTTTTATTCTACTTTCAAATTTTATTATTATTAAATATATTTTCAAAAATAAAAATTCCCAGTTTGTTGTAGGCTGCTAAATGCGTATTTATTTCGAGATTTTTCATGTATTTTTGGTTTCAATTCTAGTAGCATTTTATTTGTTGTTTGTTTTGTCTGTTTTACATGATATTAGCTAATAGTTGCGCATGTTTTCTGCCATCGCCTGACTCTCTCCGTTAACTCGGTCGTTAAAAACAAACGATTTCGACTTCGACTTCGATTTCCAGTGCAGTTCTTTGCCGCTTATCATTGATAAATACATTATTATGCGCAAAAGTGCAGTTATTGATGCGGATGCTGATGCGGATGCGAATCTATATGCCTAGGCAACGAATTTTGAGATATTCGCCTTTGATTTTAGAAATGTCTTGGTTTTTGTTTGTTTCTTTTCTTTTTTTTTTTTTTTGGTAATATAAAAAGGAAACGTTATTTTTGTTATTTTTAATTTCAGACCTAAATTATTAAGATTTAATGTAATATTTTATTTGTAAGTTTTGTTTTAATTGAATAGCTTGAACCATTTGTAGGACCTATAAATATTCATTATCTGTTAATAATCTTAATAAAATAAATATATGTAGAAGAAAAATCTTATGCCTCCGTTTCAGTTAGTTAAAGCTGTGAGTTTTTATCCGCATTAATTTGAAGGATAACAATTGTTAGTTAATTTACGTTAATTTATATTTAATTTAATTGTAATTTACTTCAAATATAATAGGCATTCGACTTGCTTTCGTTTATCATTACGTTTAAATTAAATACACGATGCGCTCGTTTAAATTTAATTTTCTTTTTTGTTTGTGTTTGGGTATTGAGTGTTCCTCGCTTTTGTGTGTGTGTGTCTTAAGGTGTTTGCAGCACTTGAATATGGGCAATTACAATATTTAAAAAACGTCAGCGCCTCGATTTATCGATTTGTAAATAAGTTTCGCGCAATGCTCAGATCTATTCTTTGCTTTATTTGCATATTTGGGCTTGGGTTCGGGATGGGTTGTTGTGGGGTCTCTTGCTCTCGAAACGAGACGAGGCGACGACGATTGTTGCGAATAGAAAAATAATTCAAGTAAATATTTGTATATGCAGTGTATAAGTAATATAGTTTCCTCTAGGTATATGTATAGCACTCCAGGCTTATTGTATTTGTACCAATCGCCCAAGATGTGGCACTCATCCATCCATCCCTCTATCCGTTTGCCTATCCTTCAGATATATCAGTTACTGTGCAGATACTAATGCCCGTGTTTGCAATTTTTTAGTGAGTGGCGGCTGTGAGTTGTTGACGACGTGAGAGGATCAGGATCCCTAGCGAGTAGTATGTGTGTGTGTGTGTGTGTGTGTGTGAGTAGTGTGGCTAGTTCATAAGGTAAATATATATAATCTATCATAGTTCTTTTAGGTGCCTCTAACAGCTCTGAAGGTATTCAGGTTCGGTCGCATTCGCTGCGTTGTTGTCGATTGTTTCGGGGTAGAAATACTTGGGGTGTTCGCTTTTTGTTTTCTAGCTTGGTGTCTCCGCTCCTATCTCCGATCTCCGCCCGCTGCGGGGTCCGTTCTCCGCTCGGCGGTCTACGAATCCTCCAGCAGCGGCTCATTTTCCGAATCGGAATCTAACATTTTCCAGACCATGCGCCTGACGTTTCAGACTGCCGCTGTCGGCCCAGGAGGAGTTGAGATACTCGTCGTCATCGTCTTGCTCAAGTTTCTGGAAGTGGAATGTTGAAGAATACATTATTAATGATGCAAGTTCATTAAAAATTCGTCAAGAAATTAGAAATAATTAGTTTTTTAAGGGAAGGCAGCTTATTGTTTGCTCATAAAAGTATGCTATAAAATTTAGGGTATCTTGATATCCTTGAACCCCACTATGTTCCAGTTGAAATTAAAAAGCCTTTAACATTATATTACTAGCTCCTATTACCCCCAGTCCTCCTGGCTTACCCTTGCACTGAGTTGGACGTGGAGATAACTCCGTTTTCCAGCGAATCCCTGGACAGCTCGTCGGCCATCTGGACCTTTAGTTGATGGCCGAACGAGTTTATTTCCGAGTTGGGCGTCATCTGCGAGCCCGCCGGACTCTGCGCAATGTACGGACCCGGTGTGGTGACTGAGCCACCCTGCGATATGGAAGCGGTCATCCCAGGACCGCCATTGGGCAGGACACCCTCCAGACAACTGTCGTTGGTGGTGGAGTCCATGTTGATTATCTGGCTGCCGGCTACGTTGTCCGCCAGGACGGCACCATCGCTGTCGTCCACGGCATCGATATCATCGATGTCCATGTCCTCGGCATTCTTGTCCAGCGGCGCCGTCTCCTCGTCCTCGTTGTAGATCTTGAAGTACGCGTACGTCAGATAGATCACCGAGATGATAAACGAGGGAATGGGAATGGCCATCGAGTACACCAAGTTTAGGGTGTTCTGCCAGTAGTCCAGATCGCTGATGACCAGACTGGGATCCACCTTGGAGTAGTAGCACGGGAACTTGATCCCGATCTTCGTGTAGCGCTTCAGCCAGATGGTGCAGTTGAGCATGGGCGGATAGCCGCAGCCCTTCACATTGGGAAAGAGCCGGGCGCCCACGTAGTAGTACATGGAGCGGTTGCCCATCAGGCCTTCGTTCAGCTCTGAGATCTCATCGAAGGGCCGTCGCTCGTCCGGTATGAGAGTGCCCGAGGCACTCAGTCCGTGCGTATCCTCCGAGTCCTCGATGAGATACCCATTGGAGCCGTCGGCATCGCCGAAATTGAGCTGCTCCAATCGTCCGCCTCCGAGGTCGATGTCTAGGCCGGCACCACCCACGCCGCCGCCCAGGTTATCGTACTCGTAGTCGCTACGCAGAGCGCGCTCGTAACGATCCGTTCGCTTCACGGGCGGCAGGATGCGTTCCGACTCCTTCAGATTGATGTGGTACTCCGTAAAGTTGAACTCATCCGTATAGTTGTACAGGTTGAGGCGATAGTTCACCCGGATCTGGGTGCAGGTGTAGATGTCCTTGGTGCATCCCTCGCGGCACGACGACCACGAGCAGTTCTTGGCCCCGTAGTAGATCTCCGTGTCGTAGGTCTCGCACAGCGCCGGAACCTCCTCGAACTGCATGAAGATCGTGGTGAAGGCCGGCTCGATCACGAACGGCACCAGGAAGAGGAAGGCGAACAGGCTGAACGTGCCCAGCAGGATGAAGAAGGCGGTCGTGTAGAACAGCAGCTTCTCCTTCCCCGTCCGTTTATCGGCCTCGTCTCCCATTGTTATCGATTTTCTTGGTCGGGCTTAGTTGTCTATTATATATACTATATATAATTCTATTATATCTCTCGGTTGGCGCAGGTCTGGCGACGGCGACAGCGGCGGCGTTGGCGGAGCAGAGCGGCAGCGAATGGTGTTCCAAAGGCGGAGGGGCGGTGTATGGGTATTATTTGCTTTCTTTTAGAGCAGTGCTGTACTTAGCTTAGAATTGCTGCGATTATTAATCGGTAACGATAACTACGAGCTAGATTACGATTACGGTGCAAGTTATATCACAGGGAGAGTTCGATTTCGATTTCTCGTTCCTTTTGCTTTTGCTGTTACTTTAGCTTCTTCTGCTTCTGCTTCCACTTCCGTTTCTGTTTCGGTTCCAGCTTCTACTTCTGCTTCTCCTTCTTCCTCGGTCTCTGTCTCTGTGGTGGCCTGGCTGTCCGGTGTCCCGTTATCTCGCACATTGCTGGCATCTGCAGCGCGGCAGGCCGAGGACAGTAGCGTTAGTGGGTGGGACTCCGAGGGGGTCCTGCATTTTTGTGCTCGGCATCACTCGATTAGGCTAAATACTCCATGGAGCCAATGGGAATCCCACGCATCCTGCTGCCTTTTCAGCCTTTAGCCCCGCTCTGGCAGTGCGTGCGTGTGTGTGTGAGCCGGGGTTTCAACCTTTGCTAATTGCTTTATGCGTCCCAGCGGAGATGTTTCGTCAACATCAGCACGTTGCAGTGACGCTGCTCCTGCCTCCTTCGGATCCTTCCTCTTGCTCCGCCTGATTTAGCTGCTTCTTGATTATTTTATGACTGCGGCAAAGCCTGATTTGTATGCGAGTGTGTGTGTGTGTGCTTTGTTATGTGTGAGTGTTGCTGTGTGTGTGTATTGTGTGTGTGTTCGGCCTGCCAATGGCCAGTTTTGAGGTCTCACTCTCGTCTGTGCTTATGCTTCTCCTTCTCCTTTGCAGCTATTTCTCCGTTGTTTAGCGCACTTTACATTCTTCAAATGTGTGTAAAAAAGAATGCTGGACGGACAGTTTTATTTGTTGTTTGTTTTTCTTGTTCACTTTGCTTTGCTTTGCTATTCGCTCACTCTCTCTCGCTCGCTCTCTCCCTATCTAGCCGTGCCACGTGCAGTCCAGCGCTGTGTGTGGGGGAGAAAGAGAGATGGAGAGAGAGCTGTGTAGTGGTTTTAAAATACCGTTAGGCCGCGTTTTGCGTTAATGCGTGTATTTTTAAGCCCAGCGGCCGCAATTAAGCCAGCAAAAGGTGACGACGGCCGCCTCGTTCGCGTTTATTTTTATGTAACCTCGAGTGGGAAAGGGGGGCGTGGTGGCGGCGGAGTATTACGAAACGGAAACGAAACACGCGGCACCAATGAGCTCAGCTCAGCTCGCTGTGGCTCGGCGTGTTTAAATAATAAAACTCCTTCGATGCACTCAAGGGGGCATAGGGGAGGGGGGAGACAGAGCGGAGCCACATGTAATTTTCAATTCATTTGGCACGCTTTCACACACACACACACGAGCCCACTAGCCAGAAAAAGGCCGTGCACATGCAAGCTCCAACACAAGCCCTCAACTCTCACGTACACAAAGGCTGAGCGAGAGCGAAAGAGAGCGCGAGGGGAGCCTGCTCCAATCGAAATTATGCGGCATAGGCGGCCACCCTAGCCCTATCCCTCTTGCGCTCCCTCGAAGGAGTGAGGAGACGGAGTAAGTTGGTGTGAGTGCCTTGGCAACTTCTTGTGCTTTGCACGAAACGATTTTTCAGCTGGCCCAAAGATTTGTTAGGCTCCCCTGCCCCAGGATTTTGGAGATCAATTAAATGTAGTCCAACTACGTTTTTCATGTATTTTTGTTTGGGCTACCAGGCCACCCTTCTGCTCCCCTTTCTCTTTCACTCTCCTCCTTCGAGCTCTTGTGACGTAGAGTTGCGTGCTCCCGTTAGTGTGTCGCGATAGTGTGCGTGTGTGAGTGTGTGACTTGCGCCTGTGTGTGTTTACTCAAGGTTCAGGTTACGCGGTGAACGGTGACAACGGAACGAGGATTACGCATTTTCAATCACACATCCCGAATCCGAATCCCGCACAGTTCCCGTTTTCGGTTACACTGTTTACCATGGAAGGACAATGGTGACCTGATTGCGCACGGGGTCAAAAGTTGCAAACGCTGAAAGAACAAAAACGTCACATTCACGCTCCACATTTCTTTCGTGGCATTTTGTCTTTTTGCCTCTTGCGTTCCTTGGTGGCAACAATGGAGCAGCGACAACGACAGCGACAACGGCAGCTACGAGGCGACGACAACCAAAGGAGCAGAGCGACAACACGACGGCTGAACTCTTCAGCGAAAGGACTGCCTTCCACTGGCAACGCTGCAGCGGAATTAAGGGTCCAAGTCTGGCGGAGCTTTGGAGCGGAGCTTTTGCCTGCACCTCCGCCAAGCTCGGGTCCAGGGTTCGCCTTTCAGCTAAAAGGTAGATAGATCTAGCTACTTCAGGAAATGGTGATTGAAAGTCCTTTTAAGCTGGGGTACTTGTAGCTATTTTCTGTCCCTATTCGGGCGCCATTATATAAATTTACTTTATTCGTTCTTAACTTGGGCATTTGGTCAATCAATACATAAAGTAGATATACTACAAAAATATTTAAATAAGTGTTTATATTCAATCAAAAAGGTGCCTAAAAGTAATCAAAACCTAAATTTGATTTCCAAACCATACTGATTTCTGGGCCTCCCCTGATATAGGACTCCCTATAACCTATTTGTTATAAAAAATATGTGACTATTTCCACAAACCTAGCTTTTTTAGGACGCAACACTTCCCAAAGCTCAGTCTCGCTCCCACTCTCCCACTGGGAGCAACAGCGGGCCAGCGATGACGTAAAGCGAGCCGACGCAGGCGCGGTCCGCTCCGCGTGCGACCAAGAGAGCTCCGCTGGTTGAAAGCTGAGAAGTGTCAGAAGTGGCGTAAACAGCAGGGAAACGTAACGAACGAGTGAGTTCGCCTGTTTGGAATTTTCTCGGCTCGCCCAGCCACGGGGAAATGGTGGAAAAGTGCAGAAACGCAGCATTCTTGGCACTTGGTTAGCTAAGGATCCAAGAGGAATCTGAATAAAGTGTGGAAACCCATCCGGGAGTGAGCCATGTGCAGATTATGAAACGATTTTGATGGCACACTGTGCAACTGTGACTGTGACTGCTGCAAGTGTATTGGTGTGGTGTCTTCAGCAATCCCCCGCAACCACTGCCAGCGCCCCCGCCCCGCGAGTGCGTGTCCCAGTGGCAGGAACGTAAATAAACCTCGACACTTGAAGCTGAAACATTCGTAATTTACATGTGAGTACCACTGCTGCCTGCCTGCCAAGGTAGCCACAACCAAAACCATATCCGGAATCGAAAGGGAAACGGAAATCGAATAAGGGATTCCTCAATGACCCTCAAAATCGTTGCCTACTTATGAGCGCATTCCCATTGATTGCCATGCAAGTAGAAATTCGTTCTGTGGCCATTGATTATTCCATTTGGGGCTGTGATAAAAACAAAAGTGGAGCGTGTCCAAGTGGTAGTGTCATCAGAACGACATTGTAGTCTAAACTTGAAAATACCCTGTGGTATCTGCTAATGGGTTCTCATCTTGGTTTCAAAAGAGATAAAGAGAAGGTGGCGTGGTTCTCGGGCCATTAACTTCCCTTAGACAATACTTTGTATATTAGGAAGGTAATAAAATCACTATGTGCAGAGTAATCAATTTTAAATTTTCACAATATTATTATTATTATTCCATAAACATAATTTAGGTTTAAAATAATTAAAACGTTAGATTTAATTTCGATTTTACCTAAACTTATTGGTAGGATTTTAAAACCAACTTATTAATAATTTCTTTATTAAAAATAACCATATCTTCGCAATGTTTAAAAAATAAAATTAATTTTATGCAAGGCGCCAAACCATTTGTTTGAGCAGTGCTGCAAGTGATTAACAGTGCGTGCTAGTGTTGGTCAGCGCACGACTGTGGGGATTTTTGGTGAAACGCGTTAGCCCATTATTTCATCTGCCACAGATGATTAAGAAAAACAAAAAACCCAAATTTAGTTTGACGCACAAGAAAATTTAAGCAACAAAGAAAAGAAAACAACAGCCGCCATGGAAGTCATCCTTATGATTATATTCGTCACCGCCTTCTGGGTAGCCGTGGCCAAGTTCGGACCCATCCTGTTCTCCAAGGCGCCGCAGCAAGATCTGGTGCGTTGCGTCTGCCTGCTGACCGCCGTTTGCTGCTGGCTCTTCTGGCTGTGCTGCTATTTGGCGCAACTGAATCCCCTGGTGGGGCCCAAGCTCAACCAGAACACCATCAAGATTATTGCCAGATCATGGGACAATCCCATATCCCAGGGATAGCAGGGGCGACGACCGCGAGCAGCAGCGAGGAGTAGTTAATCTCTGGCGGAGCACCCCATTCTCCGCAGCCACATCACTCAACCGAAACACACTAAATATGTACTTTAACACAATTAACCATATGTATTGTAACACCCACTTTCCATGTTGAATCCCTGTGCTATGTAGATTCTAAATCTTTGATCAGAATCGAGCTCTATACATATCCACTTTTTGTATTATTATTTGTATTGTATTGCCACGTTCGCAAATCCATTTTTGGGAAATATTTAGAGTTCAAAATATGGATTTATGTACATGTTCTTTATATATTTATATATTCGGCATTTGCACTATAATTTACTGGATTTTGTAAACTTTATAGCTTTAAAGCACCGAAGAGATTATCAACCATTTGTTTTCCCGTTTCTTTTGTATATAAATGTACTAATGAGTTAATGTACAAGTGAGCTAGTTATTGGAAAATATATAGACAAATCATAAATTACTTTTAAATGAATCATTAATGTTTGGGTTTCCTCGAATTATATGTATCTTTATATTTATGAGTAAGTCTAGCTTATCAGTTCATGCCTTTGAACCCTGTTGTACACATACATATATACATCTATTTTCCCAGCAAATTACCACACAAGTTCATCTAGAAATACTAGTAAATATAGTTTAAAACTTGCATGAGTCATTGCCCAAAGTTTGTTCGATAAATATCAAGCAAGGTCCAAGTTTTCTAAAAGCAAATCAAGACTCAATATGTTTGTGTTGAAATCTCCAGGATAATTCGAAAAAACACCTGCGTATAAACGCAGGAGGACAAGAAGGATTAGTTCGGTGCACTTGCACTGCTCTTGGCCATGTGGAGGACGACTTAATCAATGGAAGTCGGAATGGAGCCAGCATTGCGGGCGTGGGCGGGGCTGAAGGGGGATTCCCCAATGCCCGGAGAGAATGCGGAACTATTGATTTTGCAATAAAAGTGCGCGCGCAGAACAGAGATTTGTGCTAAAAAAGCGAGAGCAAAAATCCACACACGATGTGTGACATGTTGTCGACGGTCAGTGAGGGAAACCGGAGAATGGAGAACAGAGAGCTGAGAACTGAGAACTGAAAACTGAGAGCCAAGCCGAAGCCGAATGCAGTCGTTGCTAATCCAGAGCAGAAGCCTTGGGCCCCCAGTCACGAGCCAGCTGCCAGTTACTCGAAAAGGGAAAACCTAATTGCCACGAAAAATAATAGCACTGCTTCAAAAATTATAACAAAAATAATTCAAAAGAAAATAACTTAACAAAAAACTAGCCACGAATTGCTCGATTCGAGTTCGGAGTCGTGGCCACGGGAGAAAGATTCTTAAGGATTGATTCCGACCAGCAGCAGCAGCAGAGCACGTGATGCAACGTCGGAGTGCCGTATGGGCCAGTTGTGATTAAAGTGAAATTGTGTTGGGGTCAGCCAGTTAGTAGCGCTAGCCCAAAAATCGATAGGGTCGCCTCCAGAAAACGTGTCGTCCTCCAGCAGCAGCAGCAGCTGGGAAACGTGCGCACAGCCAGCGAAGAAAGTCAGTCCAGCGAAAGTCGGAGGAAAATCTCAACCTACGCAGGGTTATATAACACACAGCGCGAACCGCCCACGCAATTTTCTGTGTTGTTTTTTTCTTACTTATTCCTGCAACTAAATCGATAGACTAAAACAGTACCGACATGATGGTGATGACGATGACGAGCTCCTAATTGGATTGCACGCGAGGGATTAACCACTGGGCTTGGGCATTAGCTAAGCAGAGGAGAGCGACAGAACCGAAGGAGCAGCACTTGGGAGCGTCGTAGCGTAAATCCCCACAAGACCTTGGGCCATGGGCAAGAAGAAGGTGCCCAGCGAGGAGCTGATTGTCCCACCACAGGACACACGCATCTGCGGTACCATCTGTATCTGCCAGATGACCCTGGTGCTTAGCTCGGTGGCTCTAGTATACCTCACCGTTGCCATCTATATGCCATCCACGCGGGCCTTTAAGAGCGGCATCGATCCCACGCCGGTCATGTGTACCACAACGCGGGCGGTGAACAAGGACAACTGCGAGTGGGGCAGCTGCGGCGAGTGGTGCCTAAGCAAGACCTCCGGTGCCTGCATCCAGATCTACGTGAATCTGCGCAGCAACGGCAGCAACCTCATCTTCCAGAACTGCACTAATTCGGCCAACAAAACGTGCTATGGCATCGACCAGGATCGGGCGGACAAGGCGCGCTGCATCAATGATGAGTGTAAGAATCTCACCGGCACTTTTAACTGCACCGCCGGCCAGTGCCTCAACATCACCGATGCCTTCGAGTGCGTCTTCCACAACAGCGATGCGCCGGTGAAATGTAGCGGTCGGCGTGGAAAGATCAACTGCATGGACATAAGTGGTTTATTCTCCTGCAGTAGAGGCACCTGCCGGAAGATTCGTACGCCGTACAACTGCGACCGGCGATGCGTGGACATCCCGACCAGGAACAAGAACGTGGTGGTGCTCAGCGGGGACAAGGTCTATCTGTCGCAGTGCCAGAATGCCATCAATGCCGAGACCCTCGAGGAGGTGTGGAACGAATCCAACGACAATGTGGCCATGACTTCGTGCTATTTCATAAAGAATACCTCGGATCGGGTGGATGCAGTGGACTGCATCAATGGCTCGACGCTGGAGCATAATATGCTAAGTGATCTGACTAACTTCACATATCTGAGCCACCTGCACGTGTCGGTGGCCACGCCAGTGCCGGAGATTGCTCCGCCGGACGTCGATCTGACCATTTCCAATGAGTCCAAGCTGATGATCAATCTGGAGGGATGTGTAAACACTCTGATGGATGAGTGCAAGGAGTTCTTGAAGGATTTTGGACGCGATGGCAGCGACCACAATGCCCGGGCACGCTTCCCGTGCTTTTACTCGCCCGGCAAGAAGGACGTCGTGGTGGCCCGCTTTGATTTGGAGGTCACCTATCGCCAGTTTGTCTTCGCCTCGGTGGTGCCGTCCGTCTTATTTGTTGTCTCCTGCTCTGTGCTGCTCCTTTGCCAGCGCACTGTCTACGTGGGCGACGATGCCAAGATGCGCTTCAAGGGATGTGTGGACACGGAGACTATACTTAACAAGAATAATGTGGGAGCACCCACCAACGGCGACATGGGCGGGGGCGGCGGCGACGAGGTTATGGCCCTATGAGATCCGTCACGTAAGCTTCAGATTTGGATACCCTCGGGATTTGGTCTATAATCGATTTTCTACCGATTTTCTACAGTCCTTGCCATAGCCCACATGTGAGAGGTGTCCACCAAGTGTCTCTAGGTCTTTGGAATCTAACATTTAAAATCAATAACCTTGAAATCTGTGACAGAAGATGATATAGGAATAGGTCTCTGGAGCGTATACGTTATATATTTATCTAGAGCAGTGCCCAACAAACACTTTAGAGTTTAGATCAGAAATTGATTTAGAAAATTCCTATTATTCGTATTTCTTAATAAACCTAGGACCATATAGGCCCCTTTTAGTTAAAGAGAATAACTAGTCCTTCTTCTACAAATATATTAAAATTCCCTTGGTTTGGTTTCTTATTTTTACATTGACACCGAAAAAGCTCTGGATTTAAAATCAATTAAAATAATATTTGAAAAATGCTATAAATATTTTATTTATATTTTAAAAGAGCTTAGCAAACGTATAGTTTTTAATATAAGAGATTTTATTGATTCAGAAATAGCTCTTTAAATACATTTTAAAAGTATTCTAAAAATTTTTCCAAATATTTTATTTATGTTTTTAGATAGCTTAGCAAAATGGTTTAAAATCCAAAGCCACTTCTAGTTTTTAATAATAGTTTTGGATTTAAAATCAATTTAAATAGTATTTAAAAAATGATTCTAATATTTTCTCTACACTTCTAGACAGCTTAGCAAAATGATTTAAAATCCAAACCAATTTCTAGTGCAATCCTTATGATATACCCTGAACTAAGACATTCTCAAAATATTATTCCAGGCATTCCTCTGCTCCAAGAAGACAGTCCGACACACCAGACGGGAGTCTTTGCTTTGCAATAAATTGGAGTTGGGCACAAGCTGAAGTCAGAAACACAATCTTGAAATTCTTTGTAATCCTTCCATCGAACTTGTAACACCCAAAACTACACTCACACACACAGAAGACACACAGAGACACGGACCACATCTCAGAGGCTTTGCAAGGACACTCCTGAGCTAACCAAGTTAAACTGAAACCGAAACCCGTACACATGCGAGGCGCTTGAAATTCTCAAGATACGACGATCGAGAGATCTGAAGACAATATTAGTATAATTTTCGACCTTATTTTGTGGGAAAGAACTGTAGGATAGCGAGGATAGCGGGTGAGAATATCGGGGAAGGAACGAGTGTTTATATATTTAAACATACAAATTGTTGCTATTATGGAACTTAGTTTTATTTAGGGAATAAACGCACAACAACCCACACCCACATGCACGGCACATGACACTCACACACACACTAAGATACAGCCACACACATACGACACCACAGAAAGCTGAAAAGGATATATAGAAGAAGGATATATATAGTCAAGGGAGAGAGGGCAGAGAAATTCAAAAATGGCTTAGAGAGGGATGCGTGATCAAAAAACCTACGAGAAAGAAGAAGTACTACTTGAAGAAGTCAAAAAAGCAAAAGTTAACCTTAAAACAAAAGGAATAAGCATTAATTTAGATAACTCTAATCAATATACAAGAGAACTAAAAAAGAAAACACAAATAGTTTAAAAAGAAACCAAGAAGAAAACGTAAGAATAAACATTTTCCATTTTCGGCTCTACGAATAAGGCAAACTGGACAGAGGAAGCTAGTTAGAAGTGTAAGTTTAGGTAACCCCCAGAGAAAGCGAGTGGCCGGAAGGGACAGAGAATAGCTCTATTATTGTTGTAGAAGGCAGCGAGTGTTAGCGGTGTTCATTTTAAAGGCTTTTACTGATTCAAACTACAATCTAAGCACCACACAAACACACACACAGAACACACACACAAGAACTACAACCAACTTCGCCATGAAGAAGAGCTCCACGCTAACCACAACCACGTCGGTGCCGGCGAGTCCAACGCTCTCGGCCCAGACGCTCTCCGCTAGCAAGATCAGTCTGAATAGCAGCCGCTGTGGCTCGACAACGGGTTCGCAATGCGGCGGCTCTGCCTCCGGTGGATCGATGCGGTCCGCCTGCCAGTCGCCGGTGCGACCAGGAAGCGGTTGCGTGGACGCCATCAAGGCCAAGCGCGAGGAGATTGAGATGGAAACGCTGCTCGAGAAGGCAAAGTTCTATACCTCCGTGTGCCTTGGTAAGTGTACTTTTAATATGATAATAAAATATATAGAATATATATTATTGATGGACTAATTGGAGTTTGATTCCTAGGTACGACTGCCATTTTGTCGGTGTTCACATTCCTCTTCCTGATACCCTTCGTCGTGGATCCCGCCATCTCAACGATCATAGCTGATTATGATCCAGTGCCGGTGACCTGCATTGTCATTGATCACATCTATGCGGAGGGCATCAAGAACTGCAGCTGGAGCTCCTGCCGCGAGGGCTGCACCTCATCACTCACCAAGTAATTTGAACATTTAATATATTTATTGAATTTAATAACTCATTTCTCTCTCTCTTAAACCAGGTGCCATCAGTTGTTTGTCAACTACACACGCATCCCGTTTAGCGAGTGGGAGCGTAATCCTCGGGACCTGGACACGGTCAACTGGGATGTGAGCTACACCAAGTTTCTGATTAATTCAGAAGGCTGTGGCTATCCCCCCACGACCAACTGCAGTGTCTTTGCCAGGCAGTATGGGTGAGTAGCTGCTGGAACACACGAGATTATCAAGGAAACCCTTTAACATATTGGATTTTCAAATAGATTCTCTCACATTGGAGAACCATTCCCGTGCTACTACAGCCGGGCTTATCCGGAGGTGGTCATTGGAAGGTATTCGTGGGAGAACAACCTGTACCATTTGATCCTCTCGCTGATCATACCGAACGTGCTCTTTGCCATCTCAATCGGGGTGCTAAGCTATTGGTACTGTCCCTGCTGCGAGAAGGCGTGCAACAAGTCCTCGCGGGTCTACGCCGAAAAGTTCCCGACCAAGGAAGAGTGAGTGCCACTATTCTCAGCCTCTGTCCAGCATCTTGTTCTCATCATCTCTCGTTATTCCCCGTAATCGTAATCCGTAACCGTATCTGTATATTGTAGTAGACACTCACCCGCCCTCAGATCCATTGTGCCTTGTACTATATGAAGAAATTGTTGAAAAACCAAATCGGATACTAAAAAATTAATGTCTTGTCATGCTGTTAAATCCTTTGAATGTATCTAATCCTTATTTGTTATCCCTTAGGATATTTATATTGGAATGTAATCCTTTGTTTTGTTTCTACATCTCCCCAAAGCCTCTATCTCATCCGGCTCCTTTCGTTCTTTTCTCTCTTTACTACTCTATATATTACTTTCAGGATCGTTAACTGCATGAAATGTAACACGGAAAAGTCGTTGTCCTTGAATGTATTTTGAGAAATGATCTTATCAGTGAGAGAAAACAAACTATGTATTGTGATAGGTTAAGTGCGGTGTTGTTATTTTTTTTTTAAATACTCCCTGGATCTCTTTCGATCTAGAAAACTTGCACCAGCACTTGCATCCCGATAAAATCTAAACCCTACAAATTTACTCTGAAGTGTCCTTAGCAATAACTGCCTTTCTTAAAATATGTACTCTCAAATCGTAGTTTTAGAGACAAATCCGCACCCCAAGGATGTACTCTAACGCACAAGGATTTAAAATACAAGATCCCACTCTTACAACACTGATAACACTTAATTCCAAGTCTACAGATTAGATTATCAGAGGTTTCTTTCCAGTTTAAATCAATTAGTTGACAGATTAGTTCTATTATAAAGAGGAAAGATTTGTATTTTGTTTATTAAAAATAAACCCAAAAACTACTGTGCTGATTTTAAAAATTCTTTCACCATTAGAAAACTACATTCACCCTGAGTAACATAGGCTACTGCTAGAAAAGATTAAGAATTTATTAAAATTTCAAAAACAAGTTACTCCCCAGCTAGATTAGTAAATATACATCTTACTGGCGCTAGCTAAAACTATAATTAAACAAAACCATATCGAATATTTAAATATTTCTCCATTTTAAGCGAATTATCTTTAGAAATTGCTTTAGAAAATGTTCTTTGCATGCTTTCCCCTTATTAGTTTCTGTTCTAGAATGGCATGATGTGTTTTTTATAATCCCAATCTAAATGGCTTTTATATAGTAAACATCTAGAATATATCGCTTACATATAGAATTGATTAAGAACTCGTTTCCAATCGAATTCCAATTCTAGCAAACTTCTGTGTCACAGTGACGAAGATGATGAAATGGAATACTAGCAAAAGAGTAATATTAGTTAAAGCCCCAAACAAATAGCAAATTCAACTTTGTAGTCTGTACCAAACACACACACAACCTAGCTTATATAGATATATATATATACATAGACATACAATATAGAAATTCCATTCGCCATTTTGCCATCTCACATCGATATCGGACGATAGGATTAATTCCGAGCGGAGCATCGTCGAAGGATAACACTAAACTTTTTCTCTCAGCCAGATTTATTCGAAATTTTGCGCTCAACCAACAACAACAACAAATTTGTTAACATATATAAAAACTTTGCCATCAAATATTGTTACGCTAGTTATATATACAAGCATATATATATATATATATAGAGAAACTTTGGTTTGGAATACTTTACACAAACTTTGGCTTGACCCTTTTGGCTTTTGGAGGCGCGGCAACACGATGCTCCGCTACATCTCGACTTTCCACTAAGAAAATACCAAATACCAATTAAAAGAATTGCTTGTTTTCAACAAATTGTGATAGTAGTCATAAAAAATATTAAGTAAATTCGTAAAAACTAACTAAAAGACAAACGGAAAGCGATAACCAAAACAAAAAAAAACAAAAGACAAACCAATCAAACAATTGTATAGAACCGAATTCTCATAACGAAATCCTAGAACCTAGTTCCGCTCTGAAGCAGATCGGGATTAGGGATTTGGAAAACCAGAAGAAGAGCTAGATTTACCATAAATACCCAAACCAGAAATCCATAATGGGGATAAGCAGCGGAACCAAAAAAATAACTCACTCAAAAAATCACACACAGCCCCACAACACTCATTCACTGTCCACATTTTTGAAATAGTTTTAAAAACAAAATCTAATGTAAAAAAAAAAGAAACCAAAAATAAAACCAACAAACATCTAACGGATTATAACAATATATAATATAGATATAACAACATATACATATAGCTTAGCAGAACCGATATAACGCACGTTGCTTATGAGAATTTTTTAAATCATACAAACCAAACCGAAGAAGAACAAAAACAAACAAACAAAACAACAATTTGAATGCAAAACGATTAAAATTTTTTACTTAACGTGTCTTTATCAATAAACAAATTAAACCAGCTAACGGCCTATTTAATAAACAAAGAAAAAAAAAAAAAATGAAATGAAACCAAAACAAAAATGGAGAAATGCTAAACCAGAGATGTTTTCTTTTTTCGAAATTTTTGTGGGCAGAGACTCCAAAAGAGAGAGAGAGCAGCTAGAAATTGGGTTAGAGTTCCTCTCCAGGCGCAGGCGTGCTGGCACAGGATCTGGAACCATTTGTTGAGCTGGCTCCACATCCATCCCTGTCCCAGTCCCCGTTCCAGTCCCAGTCAAGGGTTTGTTTTGGCTTGGGCGAAACAACTTTCACTTTCTCGACACAAAAAAAGTAAGAGTGCGCAGTTTGGCAGCCCTGGCAACCCGGGACTCAGTCAGGACCCAGTTGCTGTTGGGAGCGGACGTGGTTGGCCTCCTTTTTCCAGCACAAAGCTAAACAGGAAAAGCAGTACAAAAACGCCAATAAGAGGACCTCATAAAGCATAGACGTCCCAGTTCCTCAACCAGTCTGAAACTCCGTCACTCCTTCACTCCCAATCCTTTCCTACAACTTCCAGCAATTAAAAAGTCAAAAGATATATAGGCAAGGCTAACTAATATAGAACAGCACCCACCTCAAACAAACAAACAAACAGAGAAGCAAACAAACAACCACCTATAACCACCACCCAATCGAACCCACCACCCACCATATCCTGTCCAGCAAAAGCACGAACAGAAATCACCTTGAAAAAGACAATCGTTGGCGTGGAGCGAGGAGCCCGAGCTACACCAAATCAACAAGTCGTAAATTAGCTGTGAATTAGCCCCCACACCCAGGAATCACTACCAGGATACGAAAATGGCGCGGCGCAAGGACAAGCCGCGCCTGATACCCGAGCAGGACAAGCGCATCTGTCGCGCCATCTGCCTCTGCCAGCTTACAATGGTGCTGTCCTGCGTGTCCATCGTCTACCTGAGCGTGGCCATCTACTCGCCCTCCCTCAAGTGGGTATATACCTGGCCACCACCTCCTATCATAAAAATATGTATTATATATATAGAAACCATAAATAATAATCCACGTTTTAGGGCCTTCAAATCGGGCTTTGAGCACGACCCGGTCATGTGCCAGACGGTGGACCGCCAGATGCCCAATAACTGTCCGTGGGCCTCTTGCGGTGAATGGTGTTTAACCAGGACCAGCGGTTTCTGCCCCCAGATTCACTCGGTGGTGCGAAGGAATGGCACGGATATTCAGCTGAACAACTGCACAAGGGTCACAAACACATCCTGTGCACAGGTGAGTGTTTCTAACGTTTTTGGGGGGTTATTTATAGAAACTAAAGTGGGAGTTATAAAGTTTAAAGTTCAAATTAAGTTTTGGAAAGGGAACAGCAATGTTTTAAGTTTAATAATGATGTTAAAGTTAACAGGAGCTTGAGGTATTAATTCAGATTAATTTATCTGATAAATCTTTGTGGGTTATTGATTGGGAAATAGTTGATATTAGATTGCAGGTTTTTCTATTAAAGTTAATGAATTCTTCTTTTAAAAACAAAATCCATGTCAACGTAGTAGTCATCGTTTTATTTTTGTCAAGTCCCTACAAGACCACCTTAACCCACACAACACCTAACCCAGTAAGCACCCACAACTGAAGACGTCATCGTCTTGGGCATCCGTATACCACCGCGTACATGACTCATCCCCAAGACCCACTTGAGGTTGTGGCCACTAATGGCTGGGCAGATGAGGGACTTCAAATAGAGCTTTTTATGTACAACTGGCGCCACGCGGCTTTAACGATCATTGAATAACCATTATCTTTTCCACCATTTCCCTTGGGCAGATTGACATGAGTCGCCTGAACAAGTTTAACTGCAACAATGGCACTGCCTGCAATAACATTCGCGGGGTCTTCAACTGCTCCAATGGTGAGTCCTCCTCACTCTCTTGAATTTACAATTTATTAACCTATTATCCAGGTCACTGCAAGAACATGTCCGAGTTCTTCCTGTGCCACCACAAGGCCGATGGACATACGATCAATTCGCAGAAGGACAACACCAAGCTGAATGGTTTCTTCGAGTGTCACGGGGTGCACTGCACCAAGATCAAGAAGCCCTTTAACTGCGATCGCTACTGCTCCAAGATAACCACCGCCAATGTCAACACCTTGATCATGCATGTATGTTATCAGACCTGAAATTCGAGATCCTTTAAGGTTCATATAAAAACCCTTTCCAGGAGGACAATGTCATTGCTGCTGATTGCGAGAACGCTGTGGCCTTCAACCAGGCCCGCGGTTCGGAGCATGGTGTGCGCATTGAGCCCACCGAATTCTGGAAGGAGGACGATGGCAACCTGTTGACCAACTGTGCCACCGTCACCCGCGAGTCCGACAACCGCATCACGTGAGTGGTCATCCACTTAAAAAAAGAAAAATTACCCTAATTCAGCGCTAATTAATTTGGATTTCAAAACAGTGCCACGGATTGCCTGAATGGAACCCTGCTGGAGCACGACACTTTGCCCGCCCCCTTCATGAACTTCACCCAGTTCTGGGCCATCTATGAGAACAGCACACGGTCGGTGGACCCAGAGCAGAGGTATCTGCCGAACCAGGCCAACCTGACCATTTACCCCTGGAAGAAATTGTTCATCAACCTGGAGGGCTGCGTTAATACGCTTCGCGGCGAATGCAAGGACTTTGTGGCTCGCTATGGCAACGATGGCGACAACAACACGGCCCAGTCACGCTATCAGTGTTACTATAACAAGGTATATTATTAATATTTCTCGTAGGTATCAGTTTACTTGAGCTATATCCATTTCGTTTTGCAGGATGCGAATGTGGAGTTTGTGGTGGCACGCTACGACCTGGATAAGGTGTACAGGGAGCTCCTGGTATCGCTTATAGTGCCCATTGTCCTATTTGTGGTCTCCTCCATTTCGCTGTGCATCATCACCAAGTCCGTCAAGGTGGGTGTAGCTATCCTGTTCTTTTAAATCCTTTGATTTCTATAGAATCTTTGAAAATTCCAGGTGGGTGACGATGCCAAAATGCGTTGCGTGTGTGCCGGCGATGACTCGGATAACGATGAGGTCTTTGGCCCCGGATTGGCCGGCAACAAGCCACAAGACCAAATGTACGACACGGACGACGATGTGGTGTGTGACCTGGAGCATCAGGCCGTTGGCGGTCAGGAGCTCTCGGACCATGGACTGCCTCTAGACAGCCACGAGATGATAGGCAGCACCAAGTCGCTCATACCGCTCAGTCCAGCCGGAGACTCCGGAAACACTGAACAGAACTTTGACCAGGATCAGGACCAGGAGAAGGCCACCACCTGCGATGTGCCCGAGAAGCCGCTGGTCATACTTTAAGCGAACAGAGAGGATGGATTCCTAGGAGGACCAGCACCAAACTTTAAGAACCTGCGACCATTGTACAAGGGGAACTGAATTTAAATTCTACTCAGCGCATTTATACAACGTTTACACGGCAGAGGATTGGAAAGGATCTTAACTTTTCTTGGTTAAAAATAAGGATAATCACACATACTCTATATATATATATACAGCGGCGAGAAATATGTATATCCCCCGGCAGACAACGAGGCAAAACTCCCAAGAGCTTTATTTAGAAGAAGAACCAAAATCGAGAATCCCCCATCTACTAACAGTTCCAAAAGATGCGCCTTAGACGATTTGCATTTATATATATATAGCATATACTGACATCTGCGGAACCAGAAATCAAAACACCAGGACAGACCAAAAAAGCGAATCTCCTCTAGAAATAGGATTCATCCGCCACTCGCCTTAACTCTTGACTTTGTAGCTATGCAATATTCAACATTTTCTTACTAGTTTAGCCGAAGGATGAGCGGTACCTACTTATATCTGATGTATCTGATACTTAAATACTCGTATTATAGCAAATAAAACACCACTCGAAACTCTCCTCTCTCTAGGACTTACCTTGAGCTCCTCCTGGCGGCGAAAGGCTTCGGCCATCATCTGGCGTCGTATGGGCTCGGAGATCACAGGCTCGCGTGCTGGGGGTCCTTCTCCCAATTTATTAAGCTTCACCAATATCTGGATGAGGATTAGGAGTTTAAAGAGGGCTCCTAGGAAGTAGCACTTAACCCACCTTGGTCTTGTCATTGTTGCCCAAATAGTCTTTAAGGAGTTTCCCGGTCAAAATCTGACGTCCGGCAAACCAGAGCTGTGCCTTCGAGGGCTCAATTACCTCCTTGGAGGCTTGGGTTCCGGTGAGATCCTCAGTGTTGGTGAACTCCATGCGAATGGTATCGTGAGGAGGCAACTGCATGGGATAGACAATGGTCACGGCCCCGCGTAGGAGATTTAAGGCCTCCTCGATTGTTTTGAGAGTCAAGTATTTCGAGGATTTGGCTAGTTTCTAAAGGGAAATATTGGTTACTTACTTTTCTATAGACTTTATATCTCCCTCAATGAGTACATAAACCTATTCCTTACCCGATCTATCATGGCCTTGGCATCGGTGATGGCTCCAGCCAGAACCTTCTGCATAGCCTCCGAAGGCTGCTGGCCGTTGCGGCGCAACAAAGGATCCTTGTTGAAGGTAAACCCACCAGATGGTATGCACTTGTCGGCCCAAGCATCCTTGAGCTTCAGCTCCTCGATCTGGTCCTCGTTGAGGCCCATCATCTCGCTTGGCAGCATAGTGCCGTGCTCGGCCAGCTCCTCAATCTCCATGCAAACGCGCTGAATCTTTAGCTGACCATTGTGTATGGCCACCAAATCCCGGATCACCACATCCGTTTGCTCATTGATGCTGGTCTCAAACAGGAAGAGGGTCTCATCGCCTCGTTTTACTTGGAGAAGAACCATTTTGACTTGAGAGAGATATAAAGTGTAGAATAGTAAACTCTAGACTGGAGATCAAGTTTGTTGTAAGTCTCAGAAAAAGCCGACAAACAAACAACTGGGTTGCTAGGTTACCACCAGGTTGCCTGGCATCAAGACAGGTGTGTTAGGAAACATCTAACTGCACTTTTATTTCTTATAATTTGTGTCGTGAGGTCGAGTTATTGCACAATGCTCTTACAAAGCTCCTTCAGCTACAATAAATACTATCCTAACTTACAATAAACACCTGCATCCTTCCTGGGCTGTCATGTTTTTCCTGCTTTTTGTTTGCTGGTTCGGTGTGCTAAAGTACAAGTAGCCTAGGGGGTCAATAGTTTGCATATATGTACAGGGAAGCTAATGCGGGGTGGCTAGCCTCTGGCCGGTCTAGAGGAGGGAGGTGGGGGGACAACCGCCATCAGGAAGATGTACTAATCACTTGCAGTCCCAGCGATGTGCGTTTGAATTAACTAGTAGGTTGAGCCGCGTTGCTGATCAGCTTCTGTGAAGCTTTCAGTCTGGATGGGTTACCTTAATTCTCGCCGGAAGTTTTCCATCTCGTATATGCTGTTGGATAATCTGTAAACAAGGGATTACCTTTAATATATATTCTTGCTTTAAAATGTGGAAAACCTCACCTGCCAAAGGCATTAAACAGCGCCACAATCTCCGTACGGGACAGCCTGAAAATGGGATCGGCCTCAATGTGCGGCATATCCCACAGACCACTCTCCGTGGCCAGATTTAGCTTCTCTGAGTATAAGATCTTCAGAGCTGTGCCCAGACCCTGGGTCTGCAGCTTGCCCCACAGCTTGCACTTGTCGCAGCCCACGCAGCTCATGATGCGGGAAATATTGCGGAACTTTTCCTTGTAGTCGTGCTTGAACTTTATAGAGGCTATGCCGCTGCTAAAGAGCGCATTCTCATCGAAGTGGGACTGGAAGTTTCTGGAAAGTAAACACAGAAATTAAAGTGATTCCACTAAAACCAAAAGAAGATTCTACTCACTCCACAACAGCCAGCAGATCGTTAATGGCCATTTTCACCTCCTCATCCTCTTCGGCTATTCCCGTATAATATTCCTCGCGTCGCAGATAGGGCGCTGCCTTGGCCAAGGCACGCAGCTCCACCAGGTAGATAAAGTACAGGTTGCGCAGCCAGTGAGGACCCTCGTCTGCCGTGGTCTCCGGACTGAATCTTCGCTTAAACTCCGTGACATTGGGACCCCAATGACCCTGTGGATCGAGAAAGTCCTTCGTCTCGGACAGCAGGTACTTGGAGCACAAGTGAATATTAATGCTGGAGTGAAGGCCAGAGATGATGCGGTAAAAGGCGCGCTGCTCCAAGCACATATCCCTTAGATCCAAGTGGCCTACAATGCTGGAGAACTTGTTTGCGGTTTCGTTGTTGCCACCGAAGCAGTTTTCCAGATAGATGCTCTTCCAGATGCGGTGCGCCGACTCTCCGCGATAGCCGGTATAGCGTTCTGGATTGAGAAGCAGATCCACATACTGGCTACCCTCCTCATGGTCGTCCACTATGCAAAAGTCCTCCTCCGCCTCGTCATGCTTGGCCCACAGCTCGAACTCCCGGTGTGCCTGGTCACTGATGCTCGTGTCCAGAAAGCCCAAGGCGCTGTCAAAGTCCTCCATCTCTGAGCAGGCTTTGCCCTCCCGCTGCGCCTCTCGGGTGTACTGCAATAATAATAAAAGCGATGATGAGGAAGTCAGTAAGTAAGGTAAGTAAGCAAGCCAGGCAGCTGTGCAAACACACAAGCGAGTGGGAATTGTAAGTCAGTCATTCATTTCATTCAGATAACTTGTTGAATAAGTAGATTTAATTATATAACTTCTTAAAGAGCAACAGTTGAGTTTTCTTTTTTTGTTATATAATAAAAGTGTTTGTTTCTTTCCAAGATGTCTTAAAAGACTCGCCTGTTAATGCTGATCAAAAATATATATTATTTATAGAATCAAAATGACTCCTTCACTGCCTTGTAAGCTTCTGACTTAAATTCAAATTCTCATTTCAAGATAAAAAGCCTAGGCTATATTATTTCACTTGGTTTCTTTTCTTAATCAAAGATAATTCTCTTAATTACCAACAAACAGCCAACAACAAAAAAGAGGCGTCAAAACCAATCATTGGAAGATAATAAAACCACGTCAGCAGTGCAAAACGTCCAAATCAAAGGCCACGTTCGCTCGCTGACTGCCTGCCTACGCTCAATGGGAGATTACAGATGTGCTTCACTATTATTACGGGAGCCAGCCGCAAACATCATCGATGGCGATGCGAATATAAAAATAAATCACTCGAAAACCCATTGAGCGTTCAGCTAGATAGTGGGCGTATCTTCGATAAGCGATATCTCACCTTAAAAGCAGCGGCCCTCTCCTTCTGCTCGCCCTTATCCTTGATGCCCTGCGGTATGGCCTGCTCCTCACAGTTCTCCACCTGACAGAAACGAATGGCACAACGACTATCGTCCGGCCAGAAGGGGCATTCCTGCTTCAGGTTCACCTTGTAGAAGCGAAAGAAGTTCTTTACGAGCAGACTCTGTAGCCGGGGATAGATCTTCATGTTATTAAAGTGATCCACGGTGTCAACATCGCAGCTGCAGTCGTTTATCGATCCCTCCAACTGCAGAAAAATATATAAATAAATACAATAATACAGTGAAGGGTGAGGGAATAGCAAACTAAAGTTTACCTAGCCTTGAAATAATTACTACCTTTGTGGGAACTACTTTAGTTTTGGAATTAAATATAATTTAAAATAATAACCAAAACAGGAAAGGAAAATCCCTTATGACTTATTCCCAATAATGGTGTAATTAAACCTTTAAATGATTTAATTTGTTAATCTCACCTCACAGAAGCAATTCTTGCTTGTCTCCGCCGCGTTGAGGGCCGCAAAGTAACCGCCCGTTGCGTCCGTCCAGTAGAGCAGCAGGATGAGCGTCACCAGGCCGGAGACCCAGAGATTCCTCTGTACTGTCATTTTGATGCCTTTATGGGAATGTGATCCTATTGTGTTGACTGTGACTGTTGCTGGCCCTCTCCGCCGTGGATGTTGTTGTTGTTGTTGTTCTTGCTGGTGCTTGGTGTTTTGTTTTTGAGAGCAGTGCTCGAATCACTTGCTTCGCCGTTCGCCGACGCAGTGCATCTGACCTGGTGATTTCGCACTTGCCGATTTCACGAGTTTAGCGAGTATTTGCGTTCCGAAGGAGCAGCATTGTATTGTTTTACTTTCGATTCATGATTTTGGACACGTACCTTGGCATTGGTGTGACCGCACACGAGGGGCTGGCTAAACGCACTAAAAAATACCATTGGGCGCGTTCATCAGCGCACATTAGGTGTCACTGTTTAGTGGTCGGTAAATCTGTTTTAAACTCCTATAACTTATGCTGCATTGTTAAAATCAATATAAAATAGTTTGTAAAATTATTTGAAATACGTAGTAATTTTTACCAGATTTTATTGACTCTGGAAAAACGTTATATGCAATTTTATATGCAGTCACATTTTCCTTTGCAGTCACTGGTTATCGATAAGTTGTCGTAAGTGTTGCCAGATCAAAGAAAAAAGATTTTGTATAGTGATTGTTACTTTTTAATTTCTTAATATTGGATTCTTACACTTTTCTATATCTTTTTAATTAAATTCTAAGATTAAGTGGAATAAATGTTTAATAATTACTTTTTTATAAAACAATTATTTAAGTATTAAATAAATAGAAAGCACCTAGAGCCATCTGTATACAATGAAATTTGAAAATAAAAATAGCAGTGCTTATGAAAGATGTCAATCATTGTCAAAACGTGCACCAAACTGTAACTAACAATTTATAAACCTGCTAAGTAAAACAACAATTTAATATATTTATTATAATCATGTCGAACTCGAACAATACTTCCGACAACCCGAATGACCAAAGCTCAGCAAACCCCACGGCCAATTCCATGGCTGAGAATGGACAGCCGTTCGTGTCGCCCCGCAATGGTGATGTTCCCATATTTGGACAGAGAAGCCGCACAGCTACAGACCAGTATTCTCATCCCTATCAGCTGAGAACCATCAGGAGATCCGCCATAGACAGGGTCAACAGACGGAAAAAATACAAAATAAATTTAAAAATGAGCCGAAGGGTCCTGTCTCTCAGCAACGATGCGAGAAAAACCTTGATTTCGGCCTTAGCAGATGCCCTGAGGACCGAATATGGATCTTTCCCGACGGCGACTTCACATCGGACCGAGGACGATCAAATATCTTACAACATTGAAGTTAACCGGTCCCAATATGATGAGTTAAGCCTTTATTCCAGAAGTACCGAATATACCGTAAATAATTCTACTTCTAACAATAATAATATTGGAAGTATTAACCACGATATGGAGGTCAATGATTCGGATAACGATTCCGAAAATGAACCACCTCGGAGGGGATCATTTATTTTTAACGTATTTAGTAACCTCTTTAATAGAAGTCAGCCATCAGAAGATCATGAATAACATTTAAATGGGATAAAGCAATATTTAACCAAAGGTAAAAAAAAAAGTTATTTTAAATTATTATGTTTGAAGAAAGATACCCGAATGACACGTTCACAGGTAAGTCCCTTAAATTGTAATATTATGTTTAAGTATATTTAACAATTATTATAATTTTAGATTTATTTTTTGATTTTTGAAAATATTCAATAGAGAAGCTTATTTAGCAAAAAAAAAAAATAATTTAATTAAAAAATCTAGATACACTAATGATACGAAGATGGAATGGAAATATATTTAACAGGTTTGCTTATTAAGTTGAAAATTATATTTATAAGTATATAATACTTATTTTAGTTTTTAAAAATTAAAAAAAAATTATGGGTTTATATTTTTATAAAGCTTCTATAAAATAAATGTCATACTTAACATACGACCCATATTTCCCAGGAAATACAAGATGCCAATATGCGCATGACTTCTGCTGATAATATTCAAGATAACATTGAATCGTCAATCAATTGACTGCTAAATGTGAATATTGTTATTGGTTTCTCTTTAGCAATATTGATGCTGTTAATTAATTACCTCAAATATTGATTTCGTCTATTCTTGGGCGCTGAATGCATCTTTTGTTCCCATGACAAACCCCTTTGCCCCGAAAGAGTGCACCCCTCGGTATGCAAATTGAGAGAACTCGGTCAGATTCCGGGATTGAATCCTTTCCAGCAACCCAAGATCGTCATCTTACATCACGCCGGGGGGTGAATTGTTTAGGATGCAGGGCACAACCATGCTGGCAGCTCGATTATTTGGGCATAAATCGTCTTGGGTCTTGACAAAAATATACTCAATTGGTAGAAATAAATTTAACCGCAAGATTATTTAAATTCGAAGATTATAATTTAAGATTTTGGTTGTTTTAAAGAGCAATTAAAAATATTTCAATATTTAAAAAAAAGATATAATATTTAAAATTCTTTAGCTCGCTGGAGATTGTAGACTACTTGAAGAAAAAACAATTTAAAATATTTTTTAAAAATTAAATTACTATTTGCGGATTGATCCGTATATATATATGTATATAAAAAACAATATAAACGATATTAAAACTATTTCTCCCTCCAACTACAACTCGTTCTGTTCCCCACCTGAGCAATCTATATCCTCTTTGTTTATATCCTTTCGTGTCCCAAGACTTCATACAAAGTTCTCACGGAAAAGTGAAATTACAACAACGGGATGACTTAAGCAAAAAAAAAGACAAAAAAAAAAGATGAACCGCACCAAAAACGGGGAAAAATCGTAGAAAAAAATATGTACCGAACGAAAGGAAAGGGTTTAATCATTTTTTTTTTCAAATAGGACGATTAAGCAAAAAAAAAAACGCAGACTCGAACATGTGTGGCCAAGGGACAGGGCGGCGACCCTCGGCATTGTTCGTTCGGATTGAAAGGGAATCATCGCGGACTCGGGCGAGAGCAATTTGCATACGCAGGACGAAGGACAACAAACCACCACCACCAACTCCTTATCTATTTGCCTTCGGTCCCTTTTGGGCCCAGGTATAAACCGATCGCTCACACTCACACTCGCAAACACACGCACGGAATGATAAATAATTTTTTTCTCTCAATTTTTTTTCTGAAGTTTTTTCACTTTTTTTTACCACTTTCAATTTTTTTTATGCAGCGTCTTATTCAAATTTCTATTCGAGCTGGCCGTGTGAAGTTTTGCCTTGAGAAGATTTTGCCCCGAAAACGAAGGATGCGACGCGACGGCTGCGTGTCTCTCGGGGAATCGGTTGATCAAGGAGCCTGGGAACATCCGCGAAGGAGGCAAAGGATTGTCTCCTGGCACTGTTCATTTGCCTAGACATTTGATTACTTGCAGGAAAAATCCCAGACAACTGATAGGAAATGGGTGTTGGATTAATTAGTTAGGAAGCAAGTTGAGGCCTGTATTTAAAAATAAAAAATATTTATGGTAAGTTCAATTTGAAGACTTATAAATATAAAAAATAAGTACCCTTGTCATAAGTTCTCATAAAAATTAAATCTATAGTAAAGTTTCTAATATTTTCCCTTAAAAATTATTCTAAAATATTTCCTATATGATATAATACTATATTATATCCCCTTACTCTACTTATGCAAAACTGAAGCACCGCAAATCCTCTACTTAACGGCTTAGGCGATCCTTCCCAGGCCTTATGCAAATGCACTTAGTTGCACATTAGATTCCCGCACTCGTAATTGCATTCGGCAATGTTTTGGCAACAGGACAACGTCAACAGCTCCTCAGGCAATAGGGAAAGGGTAAGGGAAAGGGAATCAAGGGTGCTGATTTCGCAAATTAGCATATGTAACAAGATGATTTTGCTGAAATATGCAAGACACGCCACTTGAGATTTGCATAGCTAAGCCGCGGAGGGATACAATGCAAATGTGCAAAAATTATTGGCAGGGTGTCTTCGAGGGATCTTTAAGGGTTCGTCAAAGGATCGCCAAAAGATCGCCCAAAGATCGTATAACGCTAATCCGGTAGAGTAGGCACACTCCGGGGGTAACTAATAAAAAAGAGGTCCTTTGACAAAATGGTGATGATGATGTGTAAGAAGGAACACCTATTACAGCTCATTTTATGGCTTAATATATAAGACAGGTATGTGGCCAAGCCCAACAGGTGGCTATCATAAGAGAGGAGAATCTCTCTCTGTCTCTCTTCGGGACGCTTTGCTCTTGCACACACTTTCTCCGGAGAAGGCCCGGCCTTGGCGGTTACCAAGAGCTAAGAACCTGGAGCGCTGGTCAGTCGGCTTTTGGCTATCGCAAGGTGCAGTCGCGTCATCGTAGTCTTGCAAAGAAACTAAGAAATATATACATAGAGAAAGACTTGACCCGAGGATCGTTCTAGTTATTGAAAAAACCATTGTGAGTGGCTTTGTGTTTTGACTTTGCATTTGACACGGTGAACCTTGTGGGGATTTCGGTACGGCATCTTCCAGGAGCTGTGTGTGGCTGCCAGCTCACAGTTATGCCACGGCCACCACCGCTTACCGTTATGAGCTGGAGCCAAGATCCCCCTGAGATCCAAAGAAAGCATGAAGAGAGGCCGCGACGAAGAAGTCGCCTAACTTGTTCGTCGAAAGAAGAATTCCTCCGCCTCTTCGACTTGGTCTTCTGCGTATCGTCTTTATGCCTCTTTCTCGGCCGGGACTTTTATGGAAGTGCTAAAAATGAAAGAAACCCAACCCAACTAAACAAAAAAAAATAAAAAAAACTGAGAATAGTTTTGCAAACTCAATAGTTGACCAAATCAACTACGATAGTTACAGTGTATGTGTGTGTTTGCCGTCGTTTACAGTTAACCCTAACCGTTCTGTTTGTTTTGACTTCTCAAAGAAATCTTTTCTTTGGCTGGCGTGAAATTCAAATTCGTATACTGGAATTTCAAGTGATTCCCACAAAACACCGAACAGAGCCGAGAATCCGAAAGCGAAGAATTGCTGGGGGAATCGAAGAATGAAGAGCGTAGAGCGAAGAACGAAGAACGAAAAACGGCGCCGATCGCCGTCGCGCCTTATGCATCTGACCTAGTTATCGGTTTTGGTGCCGGACTTGGTATTCATGGTGGCGTAGGCGTGGTGACTGACAGAATGGGGCAAAGAATGTTTTTTGGGGAGCAGGAGAAACCACTTGACCCAAAAATACGCAATGTCTTCAGGGGAGCAGGGGAGCGGTTCTAGACTGCGTCACTTTCTAGCTCTCAGTCTTTGCGAAAAGCTGGGAAATATGATCTTAAGATTCTCTTTTTATTTTATTTTTGATCGTAAATATTTCAAATTGATATAAAGAACAGGTACTTATTTGTTTGAAAATGAACTAGGCTATCTTTTTATGCAACTACTACTAAAAAAGGAAAAATTCCCATGCCTTCAACGATAGTCCTCGAATTTTCTCGTTATTTCCATGAACTTCATTAAATTAACATTAAAAATTCCTCTCTGAAACCTGGCTACCTTTAGTCGTGATTAATAAACATAATAATAATAATAATTAATTTCTATTGCCAAGAAATTTCCGGTTTGTAGAAAGCTCTGCTTACCACCGCACGTGATGGGGAAGTCCGATTCCGATTCCAAGTCAGAGTCCGTTTGCGAAGCCGATTCAGTTTCAGAAACTTACAGAAACTTAGTGCACTTTCCCTGAAGAGATCTCTATCGCTCTGGCAGTGGTTTCACATCATTTTCAGTACTAAGTACTTTCTATTTCATTCATTAAACGGTTTCGTTAATTGTGGGCCAAGAATGCCATGGCTTTTACCCGCCGCTCTTTGACTTCTTTTTCAGCTTGGCCATAATTACGAGTATTATTTGCATGGTTATATATATAAACTTTATTTTTTTTGTAACCAGTTTGGGGTCTTCCAACTCCAGTTCCATTCTCGTTCAACCCAGATACATGGATTATGGCCGGAATTGCTATGGGTTTCCCGTTAGGCATACACCGCTACGTATACGTAATATCAAAATGGGACACCTGCCACAGTCAGAACCAGCTCCAAAAATGAGTGTGGAAACAGGTTTCGGGGGCTTATCGCACACAGCCACCGTGGAGTGGCAAGATCATGATGATCATCACCATGATCTTGGCGGCGGCGGCGGCATCTCTTTCTAGGCCAATGATCTCTGGGCAGCCTCTCTTCCTCTGTCTCTCTCTTTTGGGGCAGAGGCAGAGGCAGATGCCCCAAGCTGCCGGATTACGTCACAGGGGGCTTGGGTTACACTCTGGTCTGACTCCAATGACGATGATTCAGCTTCGACTTTCACTTGACCAACGCTAATTATCTCACCTTTCTCTCTGCGTCCCGCTTCTTGCAGATTCTCACCGATTCTCGGCGAGCAATGAGCACGTGCTGACCATGTTGGACCATCGAAATAACACTATGAGCAGTTGGGTTTTGGCCCTGATCTTAAGCATTCTGCTGGCCAGTGCCCCAGGGCCAGCGAAGGCTCAGGATGAATCCCTAGCTGGGAGTTTTCTATCCGGTAAGAGTCCTTGCCAGAGAAGATTTATCATACTCAAATATAATTATATTTGCATTATGATTTTCCTTTAGGTCTCTTGGATACCATTACCAGTACTGCAGATGCCAAGGACTGCCCTGGCGTCTGTGTTCACACCTTGGCCACTTTGATTTGCTATGAAGTCCTCGACGATGTGCCCTGTCCTTCGCCCAGCATGAAGTGCTGCATTGAGAGTGCTCCAGGTAAGGATTCTTCAGAGAAGATGATTTCTTAAAATCTAACAAATTGAATCTCCACCAGCTGGTAAGAATGCCACAGCGGTGCGGACGACAACAACACCGAAAACCACAAGCACGGCCAGCACTACAACCACGCAGAGAACCACAACCACTGTGGCCACCACGAGCACCACAAAAAGGACCACAACAACCAGTACCACAGTAAAACCAAAGCCTAAACCACAAACCAAGCGACCAGCTAGCACTACGACCACAAAGGCCACAGTAGCCACCACAAAGAAGCCCAGCACCACCAAGAAGGTGACAACAGCCAAGCCCAGCAAGGATAAGGAAGAGACCAAGACAGATGATGCCAACAGTAAGTGGGGCAAAAATTCTAACAAAGATTAAGGATCAAACACTTAATATTCCCGTTTAACAGAGGACTGCACCGGGGTCTGTGTGGCGGATCGGATAGCGGAGTACTGTGAGGCCTATCTGACCAGCGATGGACTGTGCAAGGAGGGCACCAAGTGCTGTGTCTCCCTGGACGAGTACTCCAATGGCAAGCTGCCCAAGGATATCTACATTCCAGCCAGTAATAATTGACATAAATTTAGAAAACATTTTGTATTTAAATGAATTATTTCCCTTCAGAACACATGAGCAACCTGAAGCCCAACCAGACTCTCTCCGAGAAGTCTGCTCCTGCCAAGAGTGGCTCAAGTACCTCTACGAGTAGCTCTACGACGACCAGTACCAGTACCACCACCACGCCGGAACCAGCCAGGACGAATAGTTCTCCCAAGCCCAGCAAACACAAGAAGCATCCAACGACAACGACCACGGAGGCGGCTGAGGAAGAAGAGGAGGAGGAGACGGAGGACGATGGCGAGGAGGAGGAACCACCACTGAGCAACAAGCTCAAGTCCGGGCAGGGACAGGGTCAGGTGCTGAAGGAGTGCGAGGGCGAGTGCATGAACGGTATCTTTGCCATCTTCTGCGACGACATCGATTCCGATGCCTTCTGTCCGGGTGAGGGAAGCTGCTGTGTCACCGGAACTGCCTCCGAGTCACCAGCCTCATCTAAGCCAGCGACCCCCACAAAGCCGGCCATCAAACACGCACCCAAGCCGGCTTCCAAGCCAGCTCGTCCTGCCTCTCCGCCGCCGCCGCCACCATCATCTACATCAGGAGGAGGGGGAGGCGGTGGTGACCTTCTCTCGCAGATCATATCCTTTGCCGAGAGCACGCTCAACTCCCCATCTCCCCCACCGCCGCCACCGCAGTCACCGCCTCAGGTTCCTCGCTGTCCCGGCTTTTGTCTGCTGAATATTATGGCCGCCTTCTGCGAGCGTCCCTCGGTGCTGGTCTCCACACCCACCACGTGCGCCAAGGGATCCGTTTGTTGCGATAACTCACGATCGGGAGTGGTTAAGCCCAAGCTGCCGCCGCCAACGCCCTCGCCCACAGCTCCACCTACGGCCCCGCCTTATGTACTGCCCAATACCCCAAGTCCAGATCCTAGGGAAGAGTGTCCCGGCTCCTGCATCGTCAGCCTGCTCAGCTTTACCTGCTTCAGTGAGTCTACTTTGAATATTTTATATATATTGTGTTTATATTAATATCCTTTTCCCCTCCAGAAAACGCCGAGATGACGGATCTGTTCCGCTGCAAGCGCTCCGGCCAGATTTGCTGTGCCCCCAAGAGCAAGATCCTGGAGAAGCAGCAGTTCCAGACGCGCAACGACACCGCCTACTATCCGGCACCGCCTCCGCCTCCCATCGGGCCACCACAGGCTTATCCGCCACAGACGCCGCCGTACTCTTACATGAACAACCAGCCGCAGGGACCGCCTCCTCCTCCTCAGATGGCAGTGCATCACCAAAATCCCTACCAGCCACCGCCGCCAGCACCCAACTATGCGGATTACTATCCTGTGTCTGGACCCGGTCTTCAGGGTGGACTTCCGCCTCAGCCACAGCCACCACCAATGACCACGCCGCCACCCACAACGACTACATCGACAACTCCTCGGCCGCATGTCTACTCCAAGTACGTGTGCGGCGTGAAGGGAACCCTTCGGACAGGACGCTCTCCCGCTCTCTCATTTGTGGCCTATGCCCGGGCCAAGTATGGAGTCCAGCGATCAGCCCGGCAGATAACCTCCGCCTCGGGTTATTCTGGAAACTTTAACAAGTCCAATGAGCGACTGGTCCTTGGCTCGGCCATTGTGCCCATTCAGATTCACAACGACAAGCTGGGCGACCTCGTGGAGTCGAGCAGCCTGCAGAGCAACCAGTTGCGCTCCTATCACAACCACCGGGAAGAGACAGCAGTGGCTGCGGATCAGCCGGAACTGGTCTATCCGAATTACTACCACCAGCAGAAGCGGTCTCTGCATGGCCTCCAGTTCCAGTCCAATTCCAGTGGACGACGTAGGGCTCGAGTGGTCGGCGGAGAGGATGGTGAGAATGGGGAATGGTGCTGGCAGGTGGCACTGATCAACTCGCTGAACCAGTATCTGTGTGGAGCGGCGCTGATAGGTACCCAGTGGGTCCTGACGGCGGCCCATTGTGTCACCAAGTAAGTGGGAGCCTTAAAAAAGTATTAATTTGTAGATAAAAATGACTAATCCCTTCCAGCATTGTCCGTTCCGGAGATGCCATCTATGTGCGAGTTGGCGACTACGATCTGACCAGAAAGTACGGCAGTCCAGGAGCCCAGACCCTGCGCGTGGCCACCACTTACATCCACCACAATCACAATAGCCAGACGCTGGACAATGACATTGCCCTGCTGAAGCTCCATGGCCAGGCAGAGCTGAGGGATGGCGTGTGCTTGGTGTGTCTGCCCGCTCGCGGGGTGAGCCATGCGGCGGGCAAGCGATGCACAGTGACCGGCTACGGCTACATGGGCGAAGGTGAGTCCTTAGAGTAACCGCTAAATCTTCAATTTAAAAACCATATCCTTTTACAGCTGGTCCCATTCCTCTGCGAGTGCGCGAGGCCGAGATACCCATTGTAAGCGACACAGAGTGCATTCGAAAGGTCAACGCCGTGACGGAGAAGATCTTCATCCTGCCTGCGTCCAGTTTCTGTGCCGGCGGCGAGGAGGGACACGATGCCTGTCAGGGCGATGGCGGTGGTCCGCTGGTCTGTCAGGATGATGGCTTCTACGAGCTGGCCGGTCTCGTGTCCTGGGGTTTCGGCTGCGGTCGCCAGGATGTGCCCGGCGTCTATGTGAAGACATCCTCGTTCATTGGCTGGATCAATCAGATCATCAGCGTAAACAACTTATAGTGATCCTGTAGCCAGGATCTCTCGCTTGTGCGGGAGGAACCCCGCTCTCGTGGCCATTTTCAAATCCCGGAGTGGCCTACGATTGCCTCGGGGTTCCCGCTCTTCGACTGCTAACGTAAACCCATCCTAGTGTAATCTATTCATACCCAAAACTAATCCTAACTCTAATGGCCCGAGCCCAGAAAGCAACTACATATTAACTATTACGATTATCGGTAGCGTAGACGGCAATCTTCAAAAGTATTCCCCTATTTGATAAAGCCCTATTGTAAACTGTTTTTGTATATATACGAAATAAATACAAAAAATCTTCAGTTATATAAAGGTGGAGTTTGAATGGGGAAATTTGGGTATTGAAAGAGGGATTTTGAAAATTATAAAAATATTATGGTTTATGATATTTGAAGGCTACATATTCAAGAAATAATTTAACCTAAAGAAATATTACTTAAATCCTTTATTAATATACAGTAAAATTGAAAGAATTTTAATAGAATATAAAATATAAAAAACAAAATTTTAAAAAACCCTGGGAAAGAAATTATATTTCTTTGAATATTTGTAACGGAATTTTTATTCAAATTGAAGATAAAAACTCTTTCCCGAATAAGCACGCAATTACTTTAACGTTTTACAAAAAAAAATATATAAGGTTATATATAAATTTATTAGACATGGAAAAAGGGTTTATATAACATTTTTTTTACTCTAAAATGAAGGCACATCTTGCATTCGATAAAATTTAAATATTCCCAAGAAATTTAACGGAAATATAACCAAGAAAAAAAAAGGATCTGTGGAAAGGACTCTCTCTAGCGCACCCAAGCCTAATCCCGATCTGCGAGTGACTTTCGAGAGGCGGAGCAGAGAAACTCACTCAAGGAAAGGCTGCTCTGAGAGCTCTGCTTTGAGTCCAAGAGACTCTGCTCTAATAAGAGAATCTCGGGCATAAAAACGAGACGGCAGAAAAACTTACCCTCGCGATTGGAAACCTGAACTCCCTTCCTCCTGATTTGTTTTCGTTTTTTTTTTTTATTGTGTTATCCCTGAATGTTTTTAACCCTTTCTGCCGTCTGCTGCGTGATTCAATGCGCCGAGTTTTTCTTCCCCTCGCCAAAGAAATCGAAAGCATGGACTTCGTGTGCACTTCGTGTGGACTTCGGTTGAACTTCGGCCGAGGCCTAAAGGGTTCCTGAGTGGCTCGTTTTGGGATCCGAGAACAGAAGTTCCTCTGGCCTCGAGCTGAGCGGATCGCAGAGATCGTTGAAGACAAGCGCGACTCTCGTCACTACCGTGATCTTCTGAAATCCCAGAATCTCCTGAGAGATATATAGTGCTTAGTTATATATAGATATAGATAGAGAGTAGTACTCACATCCGATCCTAGATCCTTTGAGTCCTGATCCTAGTTTGCATGCCTTTCGTATTGGTTGTTTGTGTCTGTGCCTGGTTTCTGTTCGTTCTACCAACTCGCGTTAAGTTCAAGGACATCGTCTATCGAGGATTCACCAAAATGGAGGCGAATTCACCCACCAACACACCCACAGCCACGGTGGCCACCACAACATCCACAGCCTCCACTACAGTGGTCACATCCACGCCTTCGCCGGCTGCCAGCACCAGCAGCAAAAGTCACAGCCAACCCGCCTCTAGTTGCTCCGCATCCGCTTCCGCCTCCGCTTCTGCTACCGCCTCTGCCGCTGCAACGCCTCCTGGTCAGCAGCTGCTGGCCACCAGCCTGGAGGTGGCCAAGCAGGAGGATCTGTACAATCTGTCACTGGCCAGTGGACTGTCCGAGGGCCAGCGATCGCTTTCGGGCGCTCCGTCGGCTTCCTCCAGTCCTATAATGAGTCCGCAGGGCAAGATCTTTGGAAGGAATGCGAATGGAACAAGTAAGTAGCATTAATTATTTACATTTTAAATGTTGAATTAAAATTAAAGGGGTACAAATTTCTCTATGCTTATAAATTGAAAATCCATTAAACTAAAAATGAACCAAACCAAGAAAACTATCCACAAAGAAATACTCGCAAAATATTTGAAAACTTCTCTTAAGAAGAAATTATATATATTATATATATATTTTCCCTGTGAATTTCTGTGAGGTTAGTTTCAAAATATATATTTCATTAAATTATGTAAAAATTGTCTTAATAAGTTTAAAGCAAACATTGAATTTTAAGAGAATTCATAACTGAATTTATAACTTTGTTCTTAAAATGTTCTTTAAATTCCTAACTCAAATCCAAGGTCATATTCACTTGAATTTCTCTATAAAAAAAATAGGCCTACAAACTTGCAGATGTCTTCTTTATTTCAACTCTGTTATTGTTGCCCTTCCTGACCGCATCGAATCCTTTATTGAGCTTCCTCCTGCAGCCTTGCCAATCTCCTTCTGTCGCAGCCTGCAATTTTCGCGCTCTTTTCGCGAGCTTCATTTGACAAGCTTCGCCAGCCATTGTTCCATCAGCATTGTTTTCTTTATTATTATGTAACGGAAAACGCTTTCTGAGCCCAAGGAACCCAAGCTTGGTCCTAACGGACCTTGGTCTGATAACAAAGAAAAGTGGCCTTCATGCTCAAAGAATTGCGGTTCCGGTTTCCACTTCCTTGGTGCCAGCCCATCGCTCGGGGTGTCTTATTTTGCATATCTGCTCAAGTCTTAAGATTCCTCCAGGTAGCAATGGCAGACGGCATCCAATGAGATCTGTTCCAGGATCCAGGTAGGATCTCTAGCCTAGGCAGCCGTTAGATTCAGCTCATGGTGATAGGCCGTGTCTTAGGGGTGACAAGCAAAAACTATAAAAGGAAACAAGGAAAAAACTCACCCTAAAGCGATGAGGGTAGTAAAATTTGTATTTTAAAAAAAATCTCAGTTTGAAAGGACTCAACCAACGAGTTGCGTTCTCGCTGGGAAAAGTACTCAGCCTTTCAGAAAAAAAATGTCGTCACACGGAGAGAAAATCTACGATTCCAAATTATTAAAATCTTTCTTCTGATATTTGTAAAAGATCATCCAGTTGGATCTATGATCCATGATCTTTGATTCGAATATCATATATTACCAATAGTTCAAGGACCTATTATTTTTATTATAGGAATATATCGTTTGCCTATTAGATACAGGAAAATATAAAGGAATGGGAAGGATCTATTAATATCCGATCTATTATCTTTGACTTTGAGAATCCAGAGCATATAGAAAAAGTCTACGATATGTGAAAAATTGAGTTGACATTTATCTTTTTGCCGTGCAGGTTATGGTTATGGCCCTGCGTCTGTCGGGGGCCATTGGCACGGACGGGCCAAGTTATTGCCACCAATGGAATTTTGATCGACAAGAATTTGGTCGTTGAAAAACGTTGGCTTTTAATTTATCGTTGTATATGAGAAATAGTTTCGGTTACTTGCCCATTGCCGATGCCAACTTAAGCAGGGACAGCCAAAGAGAGGCGGAGGAGGTCTCGGTCCCAGGTCTCAGCTCCAGGTCCCAGAGCCCAGGCTGCAGGCTCCAGGCAGAGGCTACCTCCAGGTTCCGATTCCAGCTCCAACTCTCCAAGTCAAAGTCTGCAAAGTCCGGCGTCTACTTTTTGCCCATAATCGAAGCGATCGCACGATTGACTGCTCCGCACACGCACACATTGTCACTTTAACGCACAGGGTGCACTGAGAGAAATAAGCTTTAATTAATTTATTGAAAGGTGAACTTTAATTAAAATAGATTTTAAATAATGACTAGGAAAAGAGTATTTTCTTGACAAAAATTCAGAAGAATATAATATAAATATTTAAAAGAAAATTTAACTAGAGAGTACGCTAACTTTAGGAAGACGAAGTTTTTATACCCTTTTAATTTGCAATGGGATCAGAAGGAAGAATTCGAAATCAATCATTACTAAGCCAAGAAAAAGCATTAATTTCAATACGGGAAGCGTTTTCTTAATCTTAAATTAAAAGACTTTTTTATTATGAGAAAATACTTAATATTGAGTAACAACGTTATTTATTTTGATTATACGAAAAGAGTCTGTAAAAATTCCCTTTTCTCTTTTTCAAAAACTTTTAACACAAATTTTGTTTAATAATTTCAATATATTAATTTAAACAACATAAAATATCAATCTAAAATTGAATGATTTATTTCTGTCAGTGTCACCGATTTGTGGTCCTGGCTGCTTGGGCAGCTGCTTGGTATGTGGCGTCGAATGTCATTATTGCTGCCAAGTGCCAACTAAAAAGTTACTGCAGTTAATTTTTTGTCCATCTTTACCATTTGCCGTTCGCATAAAAACAGCATATTTAGCAAATGACAACAACAATAAGAACACCAGCAAAACCAGCAGCAGCAGCAGCAGCAGAAAAAGAAGAAGCTGAGGCAGTGGGGATAAAAAAAAAACGAACCCGCAAATTAAATAAATAAAAAATCAGCAACAATCCGCAGCAGCAGAGGAAGAGCTGGAGAAACTGGAGGAAGGAGAAGCAGCCAAGTGTCCCCAACTCTACCTCTCCCACTCTGGCGCTCTCGCCAAACTGCTCCAATGTCCTCTCCCTTCCTCCGCCTGGCTGCTCCTGGCTGCATTATTTGTGTATTGAAATCACGTCTCATTTATTTATTGCTGCAAAGGCATGCCCCTCTCGCTCGATCACCCCCAGACTCCCGGACTTACGCAAGTCTGCGTTAAATACCCGCAAGTGGAGCAGAGGGAGACAGAGAGAAAGAGAGTGGGGACAGGCCATGGTAGTCGCATAGAGCAGAAGTGTGGCCAGGAGTTTAACCCTTGAGCGGTCAGTTAAAGTTTGCAGGGATGATCTATAATTTCTCTAAGATTTATTTTAGAAAAATGTAAAGATATTAATATTTCTGAATTTTAAAATATAAATTAAATATTAATTTTCTGATCTTTATATTTATATTTTTAAATTTTTATATGATTTTGTCAATCAAATTTGTTCTTTAAATACTTTATAATCTCCAGATATACTTTTTCAAAAACTTTAAATATTTCTAAATTTAAATAATAATTTTTTAATCGTATATTATTGGCATTCTTATAAAATATTTTAACTGAAAATGTATTAATGTTAATCTAAACTTTGTAATGAATTTATTAGGATTTTATAAACACGATCCCCAAAACGGTAAAACTTTCACTGAATTAGTTTACCTCCGTTTCTAAACCAATTCCAAGCTTATTTAGTACAACCTTCTCGTCCAATTATTAGATTTAACAAACATTTATAAGCCATTTCAAGTCTCTATTAACGCTCACTTCAAGTGGCTTACCATCACTACTATCCAGTTCAGCCTGTTTGATATTTGAGTTCTCGAAAACTATTTATGATATACCCAATTAAGCGGATAGGAATGCGAATTATTCTTTGCCGCCGGCCATAAATTGTAATAACCACCAGCAACCCCCTGTCGCGGAGCGTGGGTTAATGACGCGACAAGTGAGAAGAGCGGATCCTCATCCTCTCATCCTTGGTGTTTGTCGTTGGTGGATGCGCTTGTGGTTAGTAGCAACAAAAAAACGAATGGAATCGGAGGATGGCAATCGATGTACGCGGCTTTTTCTGCCGCTGCCCTCAGTTTGTTATAATTTAACTTGGCCAGCAGCTCGTTTTTCTATTAATTAAAGCTGGCTGGCGGAGACGTTGTCGCCGCCTGAAATATTCTCACATAATTATTTACGATTTGACATAATCATCATCCTCGTCATCGTCATCGTCATCGGCGTCGTCCATTTAGAGCGCTGGAGCAGCAGCCTGCCATAACAGTAACTGCCTCTGCGGCGCGGGATTCATTAGTATGAGCAATAAATCGCTGCCTAGGAGCCAGGCAGGGCAGGCTTTCCAGGTTTCCTATGAAATTCTCGGTGTATGTCTTTCACACGACAATCCTTCCACCATTTTATTTTTCCTTTCCTTATTATTTATACTTTTTTTTTGGCCAAAAATCGAAAGTGATAAAACCAGAATAAAAATATTTAAATAAATGAGGCAAGATTAAAATGATCCTGGCAATCCTTGAAGGCATCTTGCAGCATGCGTGACGCATTTCTAACGAGTTTCGATCGGATCGCCGCGGATCCTTGGTCCTCGAAAAGGGGTTGATCTCGTCGCTATCGCTATGACCTATGCTTATGCAGATGAGCTGGTTTCCAGATCGGAGCTCTCGCCTCATCCTTTTTGTGTGCTTTTCGAGCTCTTTTTTTTTTTGCTCGCCCGAAAAAGGGTTTAGGGTCCAGACGGCGTCCGTCGAGTTTTTTTTTCTTCCTTTTTTTTTGGTTAAAAAAAAGCGAATTTAATTAAAATTTTTTTCTTATGGTCTCAAAACATTGTGAGAACGTCTCAGGCCAGAACTCCATAAATATCTTCCTTTTTTTTGCTAAAAGCCTGTTTGGTTTTTTTTGTGTCTTCCAGTGATCACCACATCGCGACCGGGCAACGAGGCGGAGGTGCAGCTGTACCGGGTGCTCCAGCGAGCCAGCCTGCTGGCCTACTATGACACACTCCTGGAGATGGGCGGCGATGATGTGCAGCAGCTGTACGATGCCGGCGAGGAGGAGTTCCTGGAGATCATGGCCCTGGTGGGGATGGCCTCCAAGCCCCTCCATGTCCGTCGTCTGCAGAAGGCACTGCACGAGTGGGCCAACAATCCGGGTCTCTTCCAGGGTCCCCCCATGCCCCACTTAGGTAAGAACAAGGACCAAGTCCCACATTATTTATTAGAAAATTTAAAAGATAAAATACTAATTAATCTTAATTTTTCAGGTCTTTGCGAGACACCACCCAAACCCGCGTTGATCTTCAATCCTGACACCACGCCCGCCTTGCCCCGTAGCCAGAAGTTTCCCTCCTTTAATCCCACTGGCACTTCCTTTCAGCCCTCGCCGGTTCCGCCACCAGCGGCGACTGCTGTTCCCAGCTCCGCTTCGGTCCCGACTCCTGGCCCTCTGATCACCCAGATCAGCTGTCCGGTCCCCATGCCCTTGGTCCTGCCCTCCACCCCGCTAACCAGCAGCAGCAGTAGTCCCCATCCGGCGGCCAACAGCAGCAGCCTGCCACCCGTGAGTACTGCCCACCAGGTCTCCTCCAGTTCGCCACAGCTTACGCCCGTGCTGACCGAGATGCAGATCCAGAGAATCACGATGTGCGCGGAGAAGATCGGTAGACAGCTGCCGCAGCGAGAGCCGCGGGCGCAAACTACCAGGAAGCGAACCACGCGGGAACTAGAGCAGGTCATTGCCATGGGTGAGCACGATCCGCGGCGCATGGACGAGATCCGTAAGTACTCGGCCATCTATGGTCGCTTTGACTGCAAGCGACGGCCGGAGAAGCCGCTGACCCTGCACGAGGTGTGCGTCAATGAAGCAGCCGCCCAGCTCTGCCGGAATCCCCAGACCATCTGGCTGCTCACCCGGCGCGATGAGCTCTTCCCGCTGGCCCGCCAGATTGTCAAGGATGCTGGCTTTGGGCACTCGGCTAGCATTGCCCGTTATGGTGGCCTGCTCACCCAGCTTCCGTCTCAGGGAGCTAGTGCTGGCGGAGGTGGACGAGGAGCGGGACCAGGGGGCATCCCGGCCAGCGATATGGACTGTGAGTCCAGTGACGCGGGTATGCCGACCAAGCGGCAGCGACTCTCCTCCACGGAAGCCGCTGGCCAGCTGCCGCTCGACGTGAACAGGGTAAGGAAGCTAGACCAAGTAGAGCCGTAGGTTTCATCGCCCGGTGCAGTGCTTCAGCTTCGCTTCAGAGCCCTCCAGGTCTGAGGGCTCTCTGATAACCCAAAATTTGCCTTGCAGCTTTCGCGATCGCCACAGAAACAATACTAACCCTGGTCGAGAGGTTCTTTTCAGAATATCTCGGGTTGTGGGAGGTTAAAGTCATTCTTTAGTAGACTAGACTAAAATATATATAGTGTAAATTATTTAAAATTTTATAATCCCTTTCATAACCTTCTTTTATACAGTTTCTTTTCATTTTTGTAGAATATAAATTTCATGAAAAGGTGGTTTTAAGAATGCTAAAAGAGATTTCTTGCAGCATTTCTTTAGGCCCTTTTTTAGGCGGTTATTCTCTTTATCGACTTAATATTATTAGCAATTAATTAGTTCTTTCTTAAATTTGCGTTGTGTTTGTATTTATATTGTTGATATTTGTTTGCTTGACACTCACTAACCTTTAGATTAAACTGCTACTAACCTTAGTCTTATTTCTAATCCTATGCTTGTTAGTTGAAATTGGTATGCCAAAGTTATTTAGTCGGTAGTCATTTGCAATATATATATTCGTGTACCTTTCCTATACCTGTTGAGTCAATAAATAAAATCCTACGGAATTTCCAACCAACGATCCACGTGTCTTCTTCCTTGGTCCCAAAAAAAAACTATCTACGCCTTTGCCTTCCTGCCACGCTTAGCTTCACTTTGGCTTATTTGCAAAAAAATAGAAAGAGAGAGAGAAAAAAACTTAGAGATAAAGTTTAATTCCTGATCTTGCTGATAAATCCCCACAATCCCTACCAAAATAAAGGAAGCTGTCGAGGACTCCCGCTACAATCTGTTTGCCATGTACCAAAAGTTTGCCAAGCCGCCATTTGATTTAACGGAAATTGCCAAGTTCTCGTGAGTATGATAAGTCTTAAATATTTTAAAATTAAATCTATATATTATATATTATAAATTCTTCTTTCCAGACTTGGCAAGACGGCTGATTACGAGGACAACGACTCGCGCTTCTCCTTCAGCAACTCCAGTTCCCCGACCATGCCAGTGAGTATGTGTTAGAGCTCTACCAGGGCAGTTCGCTCCTACGAGTAAGCCTTAAATAAAAGAGCCTTCTATTACCCTACTCCCCCACAGACGCCCTGCAATGGACTGGAAGGTGAACGTTCGCCGGTTGCCCGCCAATTGGAGAACTCCTCGCCGCCCAGCGAGTCAGTGGATCTGAGTGGTTCCGGTCCCGCCATCAGTGGTGTCCAGGTCATCTCCGCCGCGGGGGATAACATCATAGCCGTGGCGAATCCCGCTCTAGCACTGAGTCCCACGCTTAACGAGGTCCTATCGCTCAAGCGGAATGCAGCCTCACCTGAGGCCTAGCTGGAGGCGTTTTGGTTTCCGGAAGGATGTTCATCCTAGTGCCAGATTTGGACACATACAAATCGTTAAAATTTCAGTGCAATTCAATTAGTTTTTTAGAAAAAGAAAAGTAAACATTGTTTAAGGCATATTAAGTTGATAATTAGTTTGTAGTCTCTGTGATCTATTCTAAAAATCTGTAATAAAAGGATTATTTATCGTACAATAAAACGATCTAGTAAAGTTAAAGATATCTACAAAAATAATTATTTGAAGGGGGATATTAAAAAATAAAGCAATTTTGAGCCTCAAAATAAGAATTTTTCTTTCTTTTAACTTAACAAATTAATTTTCAATAACATTTAATTCACATTACCCCCTAAATAGAGCAATCAAAACCCTGAAAGGTGATTGCCAAAATACAAAAACCAGACAATTGCCCTCATTGATCATCTGGCAAATTGAAAGATCGCCGAGATCATTGATCACAATTGCACTCATATTGATATTGATGGATCGTGTTTACATATGCGATTGTGGGCAATTCCTTTGTTCGCCTCTTGACGCCGCAAAAGGCACAAAACCCTTTTGCGAACCCCTCTAATCCTTGCGAACCCTTGCCAATCTCTGAGAACCCTTTGCGAATTTCGATTAAGATATCTCTTCTTGGGAATCTGGTAATTAACACCCTTGTGTGGCTTGGGTTTAGGTATGCAAATTTTTAGCAAAAAATCTACGGCATGCAAATCTTGGTTGGCATTATTGATGATGATGATGATCGTCTGTTATGATCTTTATCCTAAATTGTAATGAGAACAATAATAAAAAAAAAAAACAAGGGGAATGAACTCTATATGCGCGCAGGCTCTAAATCATCTGCCAGATGCGATTTGAATCTGAATTCCCCCACAAAAGTAAGCCAGACCATGTGGCCACAAATGCGCGGGAGGCGTTGCTTTGACTTTCAAAAAGGATTCGTCTTGCATTGTGTTCTTTCTTTTCTGGGCATTTGATTTTAGTTCATCTGCTGTTGGAGAAAGGGAAAGGACTTGCAAGGGGAGCCTTAGCTCTTTGTTTCCTTTCAAGAGATGGCGCCCAGGAGATGCATCTTCAAGGCATCTTGAAGGCTGGCAGAGGGATGCTGCTGAGTTATGCAAATCCGCTTGTGGCTGCCAGAGCAATTACAATGCAGTTCATGTCCAGGGACGACGGCTGCCTTCTTACCCCGCATTTACATATATGTAGAGTAAACCCCTTTTTTTCTCGATCATTACCAGCATGATTGATGGACGTCTTGCGCTCGATTTGCATAAGGATATAAGCAGTAACCCTAAAAGGAGTCCTGCTGCTTCTAGGCATCTAACCCAGAGATTAGACATCCTGAGAACAAAGCCAGGAGTGTCAATATTTGCACTATAAGAATGGAAAGATCTTGCTCTTAAGCTTAGCACTTAGGTTACGTAAATTTTACGGGTATTTAAAAAATATATATATTAATTATATTATATTACATTTATGGCATGGCAACGCTGACTCCTTAGGACGTGTCCAGGACTTGTTGTGTGATCCAGTCCATGAAGTACTGTGTGCTGGTGTAAACACCGGGCACTTTTGGCTGAGCACAACCAATGCCGTAGGACACCACTCCGATCAGATAGTACCGTTTGTCCTGTTCCCGTATCATCAGCGGTCCACCGGAATCGCCATGGCAGGTATCGTGGCCACCGCCAATGTCTCCGGCACAGATCACCGCAGCATCGAACTGATCGGCGCTGAAGTAGCGCTTCTGGGCCGCATAGCTCTGGGCGCACACCTCGTTCTTGTAGACGGGAATCTGCAGCTCGTTAAGTACAGTGGCGGATTCACCGTCCTCCTGAGTCTTCCCCCAACCGGCCACAAAAGGCATATAGCCAACATATGTCTTGGAGAGCAGAGGCTGTGACTTCGGCAGGCAAATGGGCGTGACCTTGGAGGAGAAGGGTACATTTCGCTCCAAGTACAGAATGGCAATGTCGCTGCGTCCGTTGCGGCGATTGTATTCCGGATGAGCCACGTACTGGAAGGAAGGATCAAACGGAGGTCAATACCTTTCCAGTTACAACCTTCTCTAGAAGTTTTCATTTACCCTTGCCACATTGATATCTATGTGTGTGGTTTCCGTCTCCGAACTCAGATCATGTTCTCCCAGGCGTACAAACTGCCTAAAATCAAATGGAGAGTTCAGTTTAAGACCTAGAATCTTATAAAAAAAAGACTTTCTACTAGACTCACAGATTACTAATGATGCAATGGGCTGCTGTAAGCACATGTCTGGCGGTGATCAGCGTGCCTCCACACCTGAAGGTCGACAAAGAGGGATCATCGTAGCCCAAAAGCGCGATCCAAGGCCATGCACCTTTTTGGCTCACTTCCCCGCCGACTATCTTTCTGTAGTTGCGCTCAGTGATGCCGCACACGTCCTCCACGTTCAGCAAACGTGGCCTTGCCTTGGTGGTGGCGACCACTGTCCTTCCATTGGGGCAGCACACCTGGAAGCCCTTGTTTCCGCAGACCGTCCTAGAGGCACGCAGGAAATTTGCAAAGCTCTCATCTCGCTGCTTCACCCGCAGTTCATTCAGCAGGGAAGTACACGATTTGATATCTGGAGGATTAGGAAAAGGATATGGCATTATTAAGGATACTTTAGCTTAAAAGAAATAATCAGCAACTCACCCACACAATTTCCGGGTTTGGTGTCTGGTCCGCGACAAACATCGCCTCGTAGTTCGATGACAGGTGCCGCCGTGGTAACCGGTGGAGGAGCCGATGTGGTAAAGTAGGTATTCTCGTGCACTACCGGCGGAGGCCGGTAAGGGGAGTCTGTGGGGAAGAAGGGGTTAATGGGTCGCTCTGTGACCGGGTTAGTTCCGGGCTTAGTGCAGCAGACCTAAATCGAGATAAGAGAGAAAAACTTAGTGGGGATGAAGAACAGTAGGAGACAAACTGAATCCCTACCACCGGATCCCCGTAAATGTTGCGGGAGCCACAGATGCGCTGCAGGGCAAACACATAGCGTTGCGCCAGCTCCTCGTTAATGTTAATGTTCGCCACCTGGGGACAGTAGCTCAGGGTCACACAACTGCCATAGTAATTCTCCGGAGTGATGCAGTTTTGCCGAACTGGACCGAGAAGAAAGTAATTTAAAGATTACCTTGCCAAAGATTGCGATTTATTGTATTTTAAAATGTATTTAAAATTATTAATTGAATATTAGTTACGGAACATTTTAATTAATTTTTGAAAAGAAAATTAAATTTTGAAAACATTATTTATTTTAGCTGTTAATATGACTTAAGCTTCAAATTTAATTATGTAATTAAAAATTATTTTCTAAGTAAAAAGTTTAGTTTTTCGTTAACTAAATGGGGTTTGGTCAGGAAGTTATAGAAGCATGATTTATGATTCAAGAATTGTAGGTTCATTATGGCTTGTTTAAATATAAAAAGTAAGAGAATAAGATAAAATAATAACAAAGATTCCACATTCGTCTCAGTTATTTAGGATGAGTCAGTAATGAGTTAGTAAGACAACATTTCATTTTTCACCAAGTTAAACACCAAGTCGTTAGCCAAATCACAAAACTGTCAAGCCAAACCCATTAGAAAATACTCTCAAAAACATACAACACTGGTATAAGATATATTACATTTAAACAGCTACCAATATTGGGGTAAAAAGTGACATATTCCGAACAGTAGATTTTTTTTTTTTTGCATACACATTGCCCTATTAGAGGGCAAATCGAAAGACTTGAGCAGCGAACTTGCCATTAAACTTAAAGATTTCGCGTGAACTTGGTTTAGTTTTAGTGTTATTTACATACATATATGCAAAGCTATATTTAATTTGTATTATATAATTCCGCGATGCGTTCGATCGAGTCGGAGATCCTAAGCGGTTCTACACAGATATTAGTTTTTAGACAGATATATGGGGAGGCGGAGTGGGAAATATTTGAAAGCTGTTCTCCAGCAAATAATTACCTGAGCGGTGACTACCTCGCCTGCGCTGATTGAACTGGGCGGCAGTGGGCGACGGGGCGTGGCCGATCGCGAGGAGAAAAAACGTAATCACAGCGCTAACACCACACGGCGACTTCATCGCGAGAAGTTTATATTCGGAGGAGCGTTATCCGACTGAGAACTAGGGAACTGGTCAGCAGATGCCACAGAGAGCGGCGTCTTGACCCACGGAAGTATCTTCGGAGATTGCACTTCGTCGAACCCAAAGCCGAGCTTTATAAAGGGTCTTGATCGCAGCAAGCTCTCTCGTCGGAAAAGTGCACTTGGAAAATATTTTCTAATTAACAATAATAGAAATATTCAAAAATATCTTTTTAAAATTAGATTTCATTTGTCTTATAATAAAAATGTAATGTAATATTTCCCTCTATTAGAAACTAATTTTAAAATACAAAATTATTCATTATCTTTCTATTTATATCATACGCTTTTCTTTAATTTAAATATACATGTGTATATATTCTTTAACTTCTTTTCCAGTCACTATTTCTTTTCTGTGTAACTGAAGCTGCAAGCATTTTGTCTGGGATTTACATCTCGTCTCCTCTCTCGTCTCACTCAATTAGAATCGAACGAAAACCAGAATGATAAATGCCATTAATCAAGGTAAATTAAAAGGTATTCCTTTGACATGGTAATTGGGAATCACTTAACTCACTACTAGCATCTAACTAGGCTGACATAATATTAGATTATGATTAGAATTCCGAGGAGCTGCTGCTGCCGAAAGCCAATTGCCATGCGATCATTGCAATCCATTCTACTCTTTTGTGAATGATTCGGATCACTTGGCCATGCAGTTCAGGTATTGACAACAGGTAACAGGTAACAGCAGGGCGGCCTTAGCAGAAAAGTGTGGGAAATATCAGTCGCAAATGCCTGAATGTATTTAATGTTTATAGATTCGAAAAGATTAAAAAGATTATACAAGCGAAGTCTAGCCAGTTTCTTGTTAATATAACGTATTAACATATTTTATTACAGTAACGTTTTAAAAAAGTGGCATTATGTAGAAATAAAATTAGATTCTTAATGTTTATGATTCGAAAAGGTTAAAAAGATTATACAAGAGAGGTCTAGCAAGTTTCTGTTCAGTATAATGTATTAAGGTATTGTAATAAGGTAACGTTTTTAAACTTTTAAACTTTAAAGGGCCCAAAATATATAGGTAACAAATAAGTAAGTAAATCAATTTCCAGTTTCTTATATATTTATTTCTTCTTTTTAATAAATAATCATGCGGCAAGACTTTAAGCTAATGCCAGTGCTGAGCTTAAGCTACTTTTAGTGACTCAGATACAAGATTTATTTTTACTTATCATGACTTAGTACAACATTTATGGCATGGCAACGCCGGCTCCTTAAGACGTGTCCTGGACTTGTTGTGTGATCCAGTCCATGAAGTACTGTGTGCTGGTGTACACACCAGGCACCTCTGGCCGAGCACAACCAATGCCGTAGGACACCACTCCGATCAGATAGAACCGTGTGTCCTGGGCATTCTGTTCCGGTATCATCAGCGGTCCACCGGAATCGCCTTGGCAGGTATCATGGCCACCGGTCAGGACTCCGGCACAAATCACCGCAGCGTCAAACTGATCGGCGCTGAAGTAGCGCTTTTGGGCCGCATAGCTCTGGGCGCACACCTCGTTCTTGTAGACGGGAATCTGCAGCTCGTTGAGCACAGTGGCGGACTCACCGCCCTCCTGAGTCTTCCCCCAACCGGCCACAAAAGGCATATAGCCAACATATGTCTTGGAGAGCAGAGGCTGTGACTTGGGCAGGCAAATGGGCGTGATCTTGGAGGAGAAGGGTACATTTCGCTCCAAGTACAGAATGGCAATATCACTGCGTCCGTTGCGGCGATTGTATTCCGGATGAGCCACGTACTGGAAGGAAGAATTAAACGGAGGTCAATACCTTTCCAGTTACAACCTTCTCTAGAAGTTTTCACTTACCCTTGCCACATTGATATCTATGTGTGTGGTTTCCGTCTCCGAACTCAGATCATGTTCTCCCAGCCGCACAAATTGCCTAAAATCAAATGGAAAGATTAATTAGAACCCAGAATCTCCAAGAAGAGACTTCCTAGTAGACTCACAGATCATCTCTGATGCAATGGGCCGCTGTAAGCACATGTCTGGCGGTGATCAGGGTTCCTCCACACTTAAAAGGCGACGAGGAGGCATCATCGTAGCCCAAAAGTGCTATCCAAGGCCAGGCTCCCTTGCGGCTCACTTCACCGCCGACGATCTTCTTGTAGTAGCCCACAGTGGAGCCACATCCTTCTTCCACATTTAGCAGACGTCGCGGCACTTCGTCTGTGTTCTTTGGAAAGATCGGTGCCTTGGTGGTGGCGACCACCGTCATTCCATTGGGGCAGCACACCTGGGTGCCCTTGTTGCCACAGACCGTCCTAGATGCACGAAGGAAATTGGCAAAGGTTTGGTCGCGCTGCTTCACCCGCAGTTCATTCAGCAGCGAAGCACACAAGTTGAGTTCTGTAGGATTAGGATAAGGATATTACATTATTAGGGACACTTTTTTTAAAGAAAAAATCAGCAACTCACCCACACAATTTCCGGGTTTGAGGTCTGGTCCGCGACAAGCATCGCCTCGGAGTTCAATGATAGGTGCCGCCGAGGTAACCGGAGGAGGAACCGGTGTGGTCGTCGTTGTCGTCGTCGTAGTGGTTTCTCTGGGTCGCGTGAAGAAGGGATTCTCGGGCACTTCCGGCGGAGGCTGCGGTCCAACGAAAGAGGGTTCTGTGGGAAAGAAGGGGTTTACGGGTCGCTCTGTGACCGGGTTAATTCTGGGCTCAGTGCAGCAGACCTAAATCGAGGTAAGAGAGAAAAGCAGGACAAAAGCTTAGCGGGGATGAAGAACAGAAGGGGATAGACTGAATCCCTACCACCGGATCCCCGTTAATGTTGCGGGTGCCACAACTGCGCTGCAGGGCGATCACATAGCGTTGCGCCCGCTCCCTGTTATTGGTCCTAAAGATGTTGGCCACCTGGGGACAGTAGCTCAGGGTCACACAACTGCCATAGTAATTCTCCGGAGTGATGCAGTTCTGTCGAACTGAACCGAGAAAAGAGTATACCCAGAATTTAATTTTAAGATTAACTTGTCAAAGATTGAGACTATTGTTTAAAAATTGAATATTAGTAAAGGAACTTTTTAATTTTAATATTTGATAAGAATATTATTTTAAAAACATTATGTACTTTTGTGGATTATTTAAGTTAGTTGATCTTAATATGATTTAAGCTCCAAATTCAATTTAATAATTAAAGAATTATTCCGTAAGTATAGAGCCAAGTTTTTTGGTTAACAAAAGGGGGTTTGTTCAATATGTTATGGAGTCAAGCATGATTTATGATTAAAGAATTTCAGGGTTTTGTTAGTTTATATGAGTATAGAAAATGGGGGAAATAAGTAAGAATAATAAAAAGACTTCAAATTAGTCTTTGTTATTTTGTATGAGTCAGTTTAACAACAGAAACAGGGGATTTTGTTATGTTTTCATTTTTCACACCTTTAACCAAGTCAACATTCTATCATTAGCAAAAACACAAAACAGTCAACCCAAAACCGCTCTAAAACACTCACAAAGACACACAACAATGGGATAAGATATATTACATATTAACGCCTACAAATCTTGGGTTAAAAAGTGCCATACATTCCGAACAGGAGATTTTTTATGAATAAACCTTTCGTTATTAATATCTTACAAATTAAAAGTGCCCATTAGCAGCTGTTGGTTTATAAAAATGTATAATAAATATAAAAATATTTATAAAATAATGGCTTCATTAGCATTCACTGTTACGTGTTCATCTGCGTATATATCCTGAACTTTCTGATACCTGATCTATGGGATTTGCCGCCATCTGGTAATAATAACAGGTGCTTCGCTTCCCCATGTTCAAGTCGCTGTCCGAGTCAAAAATCTGACCTTGGTGACTGGTTTCGTGAATTGGATTTGAACTCGAACACGGACACACAACTGGCCGAAATATGTGTTGTTTTGTTCACAAACTTGGGGCTTTTTTAATTATCATTATTTTGCAGTTCATACAAATAGCCGCATTAGCGGGCAAATCGAAAGACTTGAGCAGCGAACTTGCCATTGAACTTGAAGATCTCGCGTGGGTGTTAGCACAAGCGTGAACAAGTTGACACAGCAACAAAAAAATAACTCAATTGATGATCAAATGGATTTAAAGTATCCAAAGATATATATAATCTAGTTGGTTATAGTTAATAAAAAAAGATTATTAAACACAATGAGTGCTAAGTCTTTATTTTAAGCCATCAATTATTATTACTATTTTATTTTCCAGCTACTAACTAAATTCATTTTACTTTAGCATTTACAAACACATTTAAACTTTGACAACTTTTCGAGTAGTTTTTCTATCACATTTCTAATACATGTTTTTAAGTTTCACTGGGGAATATCCACTTGAGGTCTGTGCAAATTAAGAGCCTAAACTCATCAGAATTTGGTTTAGTTTTAGTGTTATTTACTCATTTCAAATGCAAAGTTATCATATTCAATTCGTATTCTGTTATTCCGCGATGCTTTGTTAGTGGGAACTGGTTTATTTGTTAGCTCAGATCGAGTCTGAGGTCTCAAGGGGTTCTACACAGATATTAGGTTATAAACAGATATATGGCGAGGCGGAGTGGGAATTATTTGAAAGCTTTTCACCAGCAACAAATTAACTGAGCGGCGACTACCTTGCCTGCGCTGATTGAACTGGGCGGCAGTTGGCGATGGGGCGTGGCCGATCCCGAGGAGGAGAAGTGTAATCACAGCACTAACACAGCACGGCGATTTCATGGCGAGATCGGTTACGATTGAGGTTTTTATATCCAGAGACTAGCAGCGACTAGCGACGACGTTCACCGGCCGAGGAGCGTTATCAGACTGAGAACTGGGGAGCTGGTCAGCGGATGCCACAGAGAGCGGCGTCTTGACCCACGGAAGCTTCTTCGGAGATTGGACTGCGTCGAGCCCGAAGCCGAGCTTTATAAGGGGTCTTGTCTTCCCATTGAATCTACTCTCTCACTGTCTCATATCTCTGGCCGGCTTGGATTCTCCCGTTCGCAGCAAGCTCTCTCGTCGGAAAAGTGCACTTGGAAAAGTATTTTTTAATTATAAATATTTAAAAATATTATTTTATAATTTGATTTCGTGGTTTATGAATTAAAATCACTATTAACATTATTTCATTAAAAAAAACACTTGTTTTAATATCGAAAAATATTCATTTTGTACATTTCTATATATATCAGCTTGAATATGATAAAGATATACATTTGTTTACCTCATTTCCAGCCACTATTTCTTTTCTGTGTAACTGAAGCTGCGATCATTTTGTCTGGGATTCACATCTCGTCCAGCGATCACGCAATTAGCTTTCTAAGCATATCAATCAAGGCGGAAAAAGCACCAAATTCGCCAAATTCAGATTAGGAAATGATTTTCCCAGCACCCTCACCGAAATAGGAAACAAATATTTATTGTTTATATTTCCAGGCATAATAATATGGATCACACAGGCTTGTAATCATAGAGTACGAACCTGGCATTATTTAAATTGCAAACTCTTAAATTGAGACTCGACCTTGTGGGTCGCTCTGAATTTGTCACCGATCTGCTCCCGGGAATTCGGTGACTCAATTAGAATCGAATGAAATCCAGAATGATAAATGCCATTAATCAAGGTAAATTAAAACGGATCCCGTTGACATGTCAATTGGGAATCACTTAGCCCACTACTAGCATCTTACTAAGCTGACATTCTAAGTGGCTTTGGCTTCTATTTTTGCACTGCGATTAGCATTGAAATGCTCACTTTGTAGATTGTCAAAAGCTTTAACGCCGATCGCTGATCGAGCGGCTAAGATTACAGCCTCCCCAATGGGCATACGCAATTAATGGGGGTACAGTGAACATAGGATAATAAGATCCCCGTTTAAGTAATAAATTTTAGATAATATTTAAATTATATTAAAAGAACAAGGAACTCTTTATCTTGCAGCATGACTAACTAACTTTTGTGAAACATTCTTGCACATGGTTCTTGTGGAAAGCACACAATTATTTTACAATATAAGGAATTTCTGCATCGATAACGTTATCATAAGTAACCTAAAGCAATAAGTATTGTAAGTTATTTCTACGCAAATAAAATTATCTGCAAATGTTATCAAAATTAACAAGGAAACTTTTATAAATTTCTCATAACCAATGAAGACTGTCTAAAGATCTCAATAAAAAGATAGAGAGGGAGAGTTCAGCTATGACGTCATCGGTGTGTGCATTGGGCATTATCAATGGGTGTGCGATCACAGTTAGCACCTGCTTAATAGAACCCACTTAGGCCTCCTCGATCTGCCACCTCCCATTCCCTCTGAAAACCCGATCGGCAGTCAACTTGATTAGAATTCCGAGGAGCTGCTGCGGCCGAAAGCCAATTGGCATGCGATCGTTGCAATCCATTCTACTATTTTGTGACTAATTCGGATCACTTGGCCATGCAGTTCAGGTATTGACAACAGGTAACAGGTAACAGCAGGGGGGGCTTCAGCAGCGAAGTGCGGGAAATACCAGTCACAATTTGCCTGAAGAATTGCTCTTTTTGGGTTCCGGCTCGATAAACAGAGACAGTCCTTCAGTATGTGACATTCTCCACGTAGACATAAAATCAGATTCTTTAAGTTTATAGATTCGAAAAGATTACAAAAATTATATTCTCATGGAATATTCAAAACAATCTTGAATTTATATAAATTACATTCCAATAAACACGATATTTAAATTAATCGTCACAAGATAACCTTCTTGAAATTAAATCATTTGATTTATTTCCCCTCGAAAGCACGCTCCCTTAATTCCAGTAAAAATAAATTCAATTGATGCAAATGATACACAAAAACAAATTTAAGATACATTAGCCTTAAATCAAATGAGAACATAAAAACATGAAATTTATTGCGGAAATTCCGGTGGGTATAAAAGTGTATGTTGCATTTGGGATTTAAGTCCTCATGTGTGTTATCCATTCGGGTGACACATCACAATACAATGTGAAATTCTAAGCCAATGATAGGTGCTTCTTGATCCACGGAATATAGGAGGCCACTCTCGTATAAACTCCTGGGAAATTGGGACGAGCACACTCATAGCCAAAGGATACCAGGCCCAGTAAGTAGAACCTATAGCCATTGCTCTCCAGCTGAAAGTTATAAAAAATAATAGGTTAAGGAAGGATAAAAATCCGTTTAAAATTAGATTAAAATAATAAATAAATAAATGGTAACTCAAAGTAAAGTTAGTATTAATTGCTTAATGCTAAGAATGGGTTAAGGAATGTAGATTTTAGGCTATAACCAAGATTCTCTTGTCTGCAAGTCATCCAAGATTTTCGTTAATAAACGAAAACATATATCTGCGTCACTGACATGGCCAATTAGCGGGACGGAACACACCAAACCACCTTGGAGACAACAGCACTGCCCAAGACTTGACCAAAAAACTGGTTAATCTTAAAGTGACTCACGACGAGAGAGAGAGGGGGAATACTCATGTAACTGACCTGCGGCATCATGAGTGGTCCACCGGAATCCCCTTGACAGGCGTCCACGCTGGAGCTGCCCGCGCACATTACCTGCAAAGGATTAACGAGTTGTTATATATTTGGCCTCTCTTCCATTGGGGATTCCCCTTCACTCAGGACCAAAGTAACTTGCCTTGTCGCTGAACTGGACGAACTGGAAGACGGACTTGTAGCTCTGCTCGCAGGCCTGCCGAGAGACTATGGGCACCTGGGCATCGCGCAGCACCTGCGAAGTGGGTCCCTGATGCTTAACAGCTCCCCAGCCGGCCACAAAGGGATTCATGCCCACAAAGTCCTGCTGCAGAAACTTGGCTGCTTCGGGCAGACAAATCGGGGCAATGTTATCTAAAGGAAAATAAAACATTAATTATAATAATTTCTTTAGATTAAAAGAAAATCAATTTACTTGGCAAATTTCCATTCACTCCATTCAGTTCAATCAACGCTATATCATTCGAAATGGAGTTAAGATCAAAGTGTTCGTGGACCATAGTTCTGCGGATACGGAAATCCATTGCCCCCGGCTCCACAGTCTTTGAGAGATCATGGGCTCCTAAACGCACCAGGGTCAACATGGGATTGATGCAGTGTGCCGAAGTTAAAATATAATGTGTGTGAATGAAGCTGCCACCGCAAAGGAACTTCAAAGCATTCCGGTTGGCCCCCTCGAAGTAGCCCAAGGCAGCTATCCAAGGATAGGCTCCTAGAGAGGATTTAGTCACAAAAATTATTAAATTAATGATTAAAAATTCTTTTAAATTAAATTACTTACCCCTTCGAGCTTCCATACCACCCACAACTCGGTTAGAGGTAGTGCCACTTACTCCACAAGCACGTGGCGCTACCTGTGCTGCTGGAGGAGGAGGCTGCTGCGCTGCCGGATTAAAACTAGGACTAACCACAGGTTGAATCTGGCTCAGAGGCGGAGTTGGCTGAAATACCATTGGTGTGGCTGTAGATCCCCCGCTCAGTGGTGAGAAATGAAAAAACCCAAAGGGGGCAGCAGTGGTTGGCAGAAGATCCTTTCTGCTCCTGGCATTTCCACTGCGATCCGAGGCGCAGCACACCTGCACACAATAACACCCAATTTAATATTTATTAAGAACACAATTCTTTCTAGCAAAATATGATAAATGTAAGCAATTAAGATTTAACTTAGTTTAACATATTTTAGAATAAAAAATTCATGCGGCTGTTTATCAAATCATTCAAATCAATTTTTTGACTGTAAATTAAATCAAATTAAATGAATTTCAATTGCATAAAAATTACTTGGGTTGTTAATTGAATTAAGCGAATTTAATTTAATTCAAACAAAAAAATTACAAAAGCCTTGCCCCATTAAATTCTTTAAAAATAACAACCCAAAAAATACATGGGGGGAAAATGCTCATACATTATGTACAATAAAAGAAAATAAATTTCATTAAATGAATAAAACGAAACTTTCAAATCTCAATTTAAATAGAATTTCCAATTTTAATTCGTATTTAACAAATTTTTTACCAAAACTACTAGCTTACATGACTACCTATATATTCCCCATTAAATATAAAACTTGCTTCAAAAAAGATTACCATGAACGTGGCGCCATCGAATCCGCATATGGACTGGCCCAGGAAGGTGCTGAACTCACTGCTCTGGCCCTGATACTCCTCCATGAGTGGGGCGCAGGAGGTCAGGGGCAGGCAGCTGCCTGGCCGAGATCGGCCGTCGTAGCAGGATTGGGCTGTGGAAACGGAGAGAGCAGAGAGCAGGACATGGTGACTGGGTGGAGGAGTGGCAGGAGGGATTCTCCTTCTTTTTTTACATAAATTTAGTATGCCAATTCGGTTTGCTTTACATCAATTTTGTGATCGTTTTTATTTTGACTAATTTTTGGAATGTTAATTTAGAGGATAAGGTGTAAGGTGTGTGTTATGTGTGTATAATGTGTGATTGATATTTTTGGGTGGTGGCTAGGTGGTTATCTTAGAAGAGTATCCGGCGCTTTCGGCGACGACGCCGCCTACGTCCTGCATTCAGCGGCATGAACACCATTATATCCGAACCGACCTGCGGGCCTCCAGGGGGTGCGGAGACCAGCGGGGAGTTTTGCTGGCGCGGATCAATGCAGGGACAGTTGGGCAGAGGTCGGGCGCCACCGGGCAGGCAAACGAGAGGCTGAGATGGACACGTGGGCACCGGCACCGGAAGAGTGGTGCCAGCTGTACTAAGCGTGGTCACTCCAGTCGTTGTGGTGGTACTACTCGTGGTGGTACTGCTACTCGTGGTGAACAGTGGCGGTGGCACCGACGGCGTCTGCGGATAGGGTGGCGTTGGCTGGAACGTGGGAATCACTGCAGATGTGGACGGAAGCGGTATTAGTGGACCAGTTGGCTGCGGCGGCTGCGGTTGTGGGAATTGCGGTGGGAATTGCGGTGGGAACTGCTGTGGTGGCTGCGGCGGAGGCAGTGCGTAGATGGGATAGTAACCTGGCGGATACAGCGGGCACCAGCCCTTGATGCTGGCCAAATACGAGAGGAACGGCCAGAAATAAACCTTCACACAGAAGTCGTCCAGCAGCACCATGACCACTCCGTGTATCCGTGTAACCGTATCCGAAAATCCGTTTATCCGTGCTCACTGCTGGGCCACCAGGTGGCAACTGTTCCGCAACTCTCGCTTTTTTCGGCCAATTGCAGCCTGGCCAAGTGGAGCATGGCAGCCGGCCGTAATGACTTTAATTCAATTGTATTTTTAGTGGAGCACAATTATCCAAAGAATTGTGTGGAAGAGCATAGTTCAGGGGCGGTTTTAGGGGGTATGGAGGGTAAGCCTCTTTTCTTTCTTTTATATTTTCAATAAATAAATCTTAATAAATTATATTTAAAAATGCGGGTAAAGCCATAAGACTAACAGTGCAAAAAATGTTATGAAAATAATAATAATAAAACAATTAAGCATACCTTGTACGCTATAATTCCCAACTGGTTCTTACTTCAAACTAGTCCTCAGCAAGCCAAAAAGGGTGAATAGTCAAGTTGTTTTGTATTGTGGCATGCGTATGTACATGTTAGGCTCTCAATTTAATATTAGTGACCATGTATTGATTTGTTATTTATAAGTAACGTTGGTATTTATATATATGATTTTGTATATTTAAATCGTGTGGTAAATTGTTGTATTTTTTAGGAATTTTATAATTTGTTGTTTATATTGAGATAAGGTAGTTTTATTCTTATGAATTTAATTGAGTCTGCTTCGTGACTAATATTGTAATGGTTTGAAAAACTGTTGAGTATAGACTTTGTGGAGGTTTGAGTCTTCCATTTAAAATGGTTTAGAATGTCTTATTGGTTAAGGTCAGTGTTCTGGGACACTTAGTAGTAATCTTTCATCAGTGTATACCTTAATCTATACTATACTAAAACATGTTACCACACAAATCTTTCAATACTATTATTCAAAACAATGTAGAACTTTTATGGACATTACTCCCATCATAGAGACATTACCTCTATATCTACAATAAAAACTCTAATGATCAGCGGGAAATGCACATTCTGTATAATTGAAACGCTGCACCATTATTCAAACCCCGCTAATGGCAAGTCCAGCGACGGATTTACACCGAAATGCATCGTTAATTCTGGGGAAATTAAAATAACTGGGCCAGTGGCGCTTGACATCCGATTAAAAACATTTGACAACTCCCCATGTCTGCCTGCTGAAATCATTTGCTGCTATAGATGATGATGAACAGATGCTATAAGCTAGAAGCTATGTGCGGGGATTTGTTTATTTATGTTGACACATTAAGTGGAATGACACTGACGATGGAACTGACACGATCACATAATTCAAACAGATCTATTGGCACGATCTGGTGGTGGTATTTTTAAAGCAGTGACCAGAAAGATTAAAAAAGAACTTACACTTGACAGGCGAGGGAATGGATAGCGCCAGAAGAATTATTATTAGAGTTTCAAGAGCTTTCGAATTGGAGTTATAAATCACACACATTTTGATCCTCTGAACTTCACTGACGAACTGAACCCGTGGGCCACTGAACCACCGGAACTTAAGCCATAGCGGAGTCCATTAGGGGGGTGTCATCATGAGTCAAATGATTTAATTGTGGCAATTTTCGAAATGGAATTAAATTTAATTTGCGGCCAATAGCTGACTCGTTTTTTTCGGGGGATGAACTTGAAAAGTTGAAGGATGGGAAAAGCTAGAAATCCCCCCCTTTAGATAGGGCTAATACCAGTTTTGAACTACATTTTCAGATGCGCTTATTTATTGTTGTTTTTGTTGGGAAAACGAAAATTCCATTAAATCTAAATGCCGACTACGACTACCTTGATAACGTGCTGTATTATAATATATATGTATATATGGGTTAGAATATATGGGTATTGTGTATGTGTGTGCGTGTGTGTGGTGTGCTAGTTGGGGGGACATCGTCCTCTTCTACTCCCGGTGTTTGCAGTCGAGGAAGAGCTGCGCCTGCGACTGCACAAAGTGAAAGATCTCGAGCAGCATCTCGTTGGAGGTCCGGCAGTTGCCATGAACAGGCTCAAAGAAGGAAGCCGTAGAACCGCCATTAGCTCCGCCCACCGAGCGCTTGCCCCAGTCCGGAGAGAAGGTCAACTGGAGAGGATAAATTATTGATCGAGGAACTTAATTTAAAGGGTATAGCACTCACCTGACACTCCACACAGGCCAGCAGCATGAGGACAAGCACTGCTGCAACCAGGACTTCGCTCTTGGGATTCATTCTGTCAACTACTGCAGTTCCATCTCTGGCCAGGATGCTTTTATACCCCATCAGTCAGCTTCTAGGCCAGCTGTCAGCTAATTAGCTCGACACTTGCCAGGATTCCCCACGTAATTACTCCTGCCGCCATGGCAAGTACAATTCCGTCATAGACAATGAAACAGGCGTCTATGTGGAAGCGTTTCTGATTCTCCGTGTGTGTTTTTATTAGAATTGCGCATATGTTTAATATTTTAAATATAATTATATATTTATTTAGATACCATTAAATAAGTTCGTTAAATTAAGCATTGTGTAAAAGGGAGTTAAACGAGATTGCGGCTCAAGCAACAAATACATTGTGGCAAACATAGAATCAAAGAATATTGTCCTTAAGGATCTGAGCTGAGCTGGGTTTTGTGCGCCTGGCAGCTTACAAAAAAAGGTGAGTAGGACACGGAACTGGTTTAGCTTTCTACGCGCGTGAGAACGAGGCACTCAATGTTTTTTTTTTATCTCTTTTTTCGTTTTGTTTTTGTTACAACAAAATCGGATTGTAAGCAGTTTTTAGTTTATAATATGTATATACGTGTATATATTAGTAGTAAATAACAATACAAATTACAATAACACATTATTACGTTTTGGCTTAATCGAAACAAACGCTCTGGGGTTCAGTTATTGCCAGTTATCATATATAAAAAACAAATGGCCAGCGGCGGTGCCGGCCACGCACAATTGGTAATATAGTAATCATAGAAAACATTCCTCCTTAAATAATATTACAAAAATATATGTAGAAATATATATATATATCATTATGTGTGTGTGTACAATGTTATCCGTGTATGCGTGTGAATCTTTTGTATATATCTAACTATATATGCGGGCGTGTTTCCTTTACTTTCCATCTTAGTGTTTGGGCTTTTGAGTTTCTTCGTTAGCTATTTGAAAGTGGCGAAGCTTATTCGATTCTTTCGTTGCACCTGGCTCCTGGCACCTGGCTCTTGGTTCCAGGTAAAAATGCAATTCGTTTGGGCTCGTTTTCTGTTGCACGGCTACTGGTTTCGGTTACTGGTTACTTGGTTTGTGGTTTATCGTCTTCTCAACGGAATTCAAAGCTCAGTCGACGCGTGTTTCGAAAATTTGGTGTTATACTCGTTAAATGGTTTTTGGAGATTCTTCTTACATCAGGCAGCACTTCCTCTTGCCCTTCTTCTTGTAGTCCTGCTCGATGAACGGACGCTCGGCAATCTGGAATTTGCGCACGATCCTCACCAGCTCGTGGAAGGCCTGATCGACATTCACCCTCAGCTTGGCACTGCACTCGATGTAGGGCATCATGAGACTGCGACTGGTGTTTTGCGCCTCCTCCAGCGACACCTGCCGCTGATGCTCCAGATCGCACTTGTTGCCCACCATCAGCATGGGGAACTCGTCGCGGTCCTTAACGCGCAGTATCTGGCGCTGGAACTTGGGGATCTCATCGAAGCTGGAATGATCGTTGAGCGAGAAGACGAGCAGGAAGCCCTCGCCAGAGCGCATGTACTGCTCCCGCATGGCACTGAACTCCTCCTGCCCGGCTGTGTCCAAAACTGGCAAGTAAAAAAGATAAATTAGAGGATTTCAACACTAAGATCTCTAAGATAAACTCACTGTCCAACTTGGCTGGCACGTCGTCGATAACGCATTGCTTCGTGTAAGAGTCCTCGATGGTGGGATCGTAGTCTGTGACGAAGTAGCTCTGCAAGATTAAGATCGGGAATATTTATCACTGCGTGCTCTTCAAGTTTGTTTACACACGTCCAAGACGACGCCACTTTATCATCGGCCGCCGTGCTCTACATATATCTTTTTGGGGGAAAATCTACAGCATATTTGTGTGTGTGTGTGAGATGGATACAAAAGCAAAAGAAAGATGTGGGGGTGACGCAAATGCCTAAAAATAAATGGTATGAATGGTCGTGACCATGGCACAGCACACACCGCGCACACCACACCAAATCGATCGGACCAGGGGCACACCCAAAAGCCACAACTCCGCGACGCTTGACCGTACGTAGCATCCATCCAGTGCCCAAAATGGGGATACATACGGGGGCGTGGCCGCGATGATCTCCGCTCGGAACTATGCAGCACACACAGCTCGCTTGTTGCTTTGCTTTGCTTGTTTGTTGCTTTTGCCAAAACAAGGGACCGTCCCACTCCCCCCTCCCCGGGCCTACTGTTCCCTATGTCTGTTTGCTCCTCCTGCGTGGCACCGCCGGGCTTCAAGGAGGGCTCACCTGGATGAACTGTATCGTTATGGCCGATTTGCCCACGCCGCCGCCGCCGACGACCACTAGTTTGTACGTTTGCATCTGCATTTCAGCGTTAATTTCGACCAGTTGGCCAGCTAAATTCTTTTATTTTCCGCGACTGCCAGTGTGACTGTGCTCATAAACATTTTAAATCTTTAAAAATACCTTTACTAACTGTTATACGGAAAGGTGGTGGAATTGGATAAAGTGTCATAAATACCAACACTTAATACCAAAAAGTCACCTTTTCTTGGCGCCTTAACCACGGTCATACTTTAAACCCCACGCTTAATTTTAGCTGCAAAAAACTTTGTTTAGTTTGGAAAATTCGCAAATTACTCGAAAAATGCCGGAGGATACAGAAGTCCAAGTGGACGACAAGCGCAACAACTTGCCCTGGATCGAAAAGTACCGCCCAGTAAAGTTCAAGGAGATTGTGGGCAACGAAGACACCGTGGCGCGTCTCTCAGTGTTTGCCACCCAAGGAAATGCCCCCAACATAATTATTGCGGTAAGTACACGCAGAAAACTCTTGTTAAATCATCACTATTTGATTTTCCGCCTTCCCAAAGGGTCCTCCGGGCGTGGGCAAGACCACCACCATCCAGTGCCTGGCGCGCATCCTGCTGGGAGACAGCTACAAAGAGGCGGTCCTCGAGCTGAACGCCTCGAATGAGCGGGGCATCGATGTGGTGCGCAACAAGATCAAGATGTTTGCCCAGCAGAAGGTGACACTGCCGCGCGGCCGTCACAAGATCGTGATCCTGGACGAGGCCGACAGCATGACGGAGGGCGCCCAGCAGGCGCTGCGCCGCACCATGGAAATCTACAGTAGCACCACGCGCTTCGCCCTTGCCTGCAACACCAGCGAGAAGATCATCGAGCCCATCCAGTCTCGCTGCGCCATGCTGCGCTTCACCAAGCTCTCCGACGCCCAGGTCCTGGCCAAGCTCATCGAGGTGGCCAAGTGGGAAAAGCTCAACTACACGGAGGATGGCCTCGAGGCCATTGTCTTCACTGCCCAGGGCGACATGCGTCAAGGACTGAACAACCTGCAGTCAACCGCCCAGGGCTTCGGCGACATTACCATGGAGAACGTGTTCAAGGTCTGTGACGAGCCACATCCCAAGCTTCTGGAGGATATGATTCAACACTGCGCGGCCAACGACATTCACAAGGCGTACAAGATCCTGGCCAAGCTCTGGAAGCTGGGCTACTCGCCCGAGGACATCATCGGCAACATCTTCCGCGTCTGCAAGCGCATCAACATCGACGAGCACCTGAAGCTGGACTTTATCCGCGAGATCGGCATCACCCACATGAAGATCGTCGACGGCATTAACTCCCTGCTCCAGCTCACCGCCCTGCTGGCTAAGCTATGCAATGCGGCCGAAAAGCACTGATTTTGTTTTTATTAAAAGATATGTTTAAGAGGAAAGACGCTTATAGATGTGGGGTCTGAAGGAAAGAGTTAAATTTTGGGGACTCCTATTGAATTTTTAAAATTTATTTTAAAGCAAATAAAATAAGAAATAAGTACATTTTACTTATTTTGATGTAAAATTATCGATAAAGTGGTTCGAGTATCAGGTGTGGCTCGAATCGTAAAAATATCGATTTTTTAAAGTATTTTTTAGGGGGAAATTTCAACTATCAGCGATTTCTTAGGAGGACAGCCAAGTCTGGTCACACTGCTCACAACTTGAAAAAGTGAATATGGCGAGTCTTGGGGGCCAACACGAAAATATTTCGAATAATCCAGAAGGTACGCATTGAAAACAGGCGAAAACAGTGCGAAATCGAAGGACAAGGCCCGGCGCTGGGGCGGCGCGTCGAGAACGGCAGGGAAATACGTGTTTTCGGGACATTTGGCACGGCCAAAAGTGCTGGTCGACTGCGCAGCACTCACACCACGGCCAAAGCAAACGGAGTGAAGAAACGAGAAAAAAAAGAGAAAAAGCAAGAGGAGAGGAAGCCAGAAGAAGTGTCTGCCCCCGTCGAAATGGGCAAAGATTCGCTGCCGTGTGTTTTGGGCTCCCCCAATCCGTCGTCCGGAGTTTTGAGTTTATAAATAAGTTGGTGTCTCCAGTTCGCAGCAGCAGCAGCAGAGCGAGAGGCAAACACATTTTCTCGTCTCTCGCTTCGTCATCGCAGCTGCTGTTTGTTTGTGTGTATGTGTGTGTGTTCGCGTGCGTGTGTGTTTGTGTTTGTCCGTCTGTCCTTTTCGTTCGTCCGTGTTTTTGGTGTTCTCCTTTAACCGCTGGTTCTTCTGGCTGAACGAACGGCAATTGATTTTCCCCCAAGTTCCTGCGTGAAAACTCCGGAAAAATCAGACTACTCACCTGCCGCCTCCCCCTTCGTTTACTTTCAGTGGAAAACACATCCAAGCGACCGGAGAGCCGCGAGGGCAGCGCCGAGCGAAAAGGTAAGTAAGCCTGAAGGCCTCTTCCACTGGGATTATCGCGATTTGCGAGTTATATAAACAGTAAAATCAGCACATTCGCACACACTCACCTTGCTAATACATGCATATGTTTGTGTATACGTATACTCCGCTCCAATCAACTCCAGCCCACGCATTCGCACCTGCCAAGTCGGCGGTAAAGAGCACAACGACAACGGTCTGCGGCGCCGGCGCAACCTTGCATTGGTTTGCCCAGGTGGGCGGCGGCGGCACCTCGTCCGAAGAAGACACTCAAGGTAGTTGACATTCCAAAGCCACGCCCCGCCTCCCCCTGCTCTGCATACCTGCCGCATGATCTCACTAAACAAAAGACCGAACTTTAAGGCCTGTATGATGGGCCTCCTTATCGCTGGCTTAACCCTGCAAAGGCCCATGTGACAGGTCTGGGACAAGCCGGGAAATGTAAAATCTGAGAGTTATTCTTTACGTGACTTTGAAATACTTGATTTTGAAGAAAGCATCTGAAAAGATAGCTTAGAGACACAATTTCTTTTAAAAGTGTAATATTTCTTCTTGTTTAATATAGTAAATGTAAAAAAAATGTAGTAAGTAATGTTTTATGGCCAAAAATGCATAGGTTTAGTTACTTATCAGTTCATTTGACTTATCTTCTAAAAAAAAATTAAAGAATCACGCTTACTAACAGAGAACTCTTTCAAATGATTCGCCATAGTTTCCTTAAAAGCCGACACAAAGCCTACTTCTATAGGAGATACTTATCGATCTTTTGCAAATTAAAGAAAAAAGAAAAATTTGACTAAGAAGCCACACCTATTTTGAATAAAAATCAAGTTCTTTAAAGAAGTTTTAATAAATTAACAAAATGTATCTTGCCTTCTTATAGAGTTTTAGCATTTACAGCTAACCCTCTTTCTTCAATAAATTCTAAATTGTAAAATCAATGACATTCAAAGTGTTAAAATCCTCAAAAATGTTGTCTGCGACCTTGGCCGCTGATAATTTCTCATTTGTCTGAATATTTTCACACATGGATCGAAATAATGTGAAATGACAAGATTGACTTGCAGCAGTTGTTTCCTTTGTTGCCTCTCACTTACGTCATGGAATTCCAAAAATATCTTGGCCGATAACGCTGATAAGACCCAGTTCGATTATGCAGACATTTTCCGCAAGCCAACGGCATGTTTCTTAATACAAATATTATTATTATTTATTATTGTTTTCTTTTCGAACTGCTGCTGCCGCCAGCTCTCGAATTTTTCTCTGCTTGCCTCAATGTCATTTCAATAGAACGAGAAAATAAAAGGAAAAATGTGCGCTTGCATTTGCTTTCTATTTTTTCGCCTTATTTTGCAAAATGAGAGGGCGTTAGTGTCCGTGTATTCGTGCCATTTGTTATTGTTGCTCGCTCATGCCACACACTGGTCGTGGTTTTGTCAATTGACCCACAAACTGTGAGCGTACATCGTCGGTGACGTCAGCGGTGCGAGCTCTCTTGGTAAATATTTCGCCGGCAAAAGCCCCAAAAATGTGGCTAATAAAGCGAATTTTTTATTGATTATTTTTCGTTTGGGCCACAGGTAGAGCTTCCCGACGGAATAATTCCCACTTTTATTTGCCTGCTAACGTAACATTGTTTATCATCTAGTTAACCCCTTTACATCCAAAACAAACTTTTAACTGCGTGTTACTTTTTTTGTAGCGTCCAAAGACCGCGAGGAGAAGCTGAAATATGCACGCGACCGACAGAACGAGGAGCGACAGCGTAAGATCGAGGAGTTGCGCGCCCAGGCGGAGGCCGCCCAGCGGTACCGGGAACAGAAGGAGGAGGAGCGACGGCGGCGCATCGAGGAGATACGCGTACGTGACACAGAGAAGCGCCATCAGGTGGAGGAGCGCAAGAAGGCCATCTTTGAGGCCGAGAAGGAGCGTCGCGAGTACATTCTCAAAAAGAATCAGGCAAGACTTTGGAAGACCGTCTATTTAAAGGCCTTTTCTAAATGTAAAATCCGCTTTGCAGGAACGCGATTCCCGAATAGAAGTCAAGAAGCGGGACAGAAACTCCATTGGCTTTGCCTTTGGCTCCTCGACTCCTCGTCTGCTGGATGTGCCCGCGGATTATGGCCTGGTATCGCCTAGTGCCTTTTGGGGTCAGCGGAGGTGAGACGGCAATTAAAATAGGCTTAAATTGTGGGTTTAAATCTCTCATGGAGCATATATTTTAGCTTGAAACCATTCATGGCTATTTAGACTATTATTTTTAAACAGATTTCATCTGTTCTGTGGCAAATTATCGGTTTAGAGCGAGTGACATGCTAGAAATGAGAGCCTAATTGATAGTACAAATTATTTTTGGTTTTTAATAATTATTTGGTTTGAAATTTAGAGCGAAATGAAGTCATTTTTTGAATATTTATTTAAATGTATTTAAGAACATGAGCATTTTATAAAAATAACCAGCAAGACATTATTTAATTAATTATGTTGGCATTTACCAACAGTCTTAATAAAATCAAAACGCTAGCCATGGGTTTCATCAATGATTTAAGAAGGTACTAAAGGCAGGTCAGCTACAATTAAGACAATTGCGGGCTGATCAGTAAAGAGCTTAGCTCCTTTTTGAGATTCTAGTTATGAGAATCTTTACTTTATGTAATTAAATGCTTACGAATTGTTGGAATTGTAGGAGGCTTTCATTTGCAGTTCATTAATTTTTCTCAATAACAATATATTAGGAATTAATTTGTGACTTAACTGTCTTGTGTTGCATATAAAATAATGACCTATTAATTAATTAATTACAAGCATTAATAGTGAATTCTGTCCTCCCCTTCAGGTCCACATCTATATCGAACGTAGCGGGCGCCTCGCTCTCACGTCGAAGTTCAGAGCGTGAACTTGCCGACAGTGGTGCTAAGAAGCGTGCCTCCTCCTCCACGGACAGACACGACGGTGAGTACCCAATGCCCCTTGCCGGCACTTAGATTACCCCGACACAAACACACAATACAATATACAACACTCGCAGATACACCAGACACTGACACACACACACAACACACACCATAATGAGATTAAATTTTACTTTGCAGTTATCGTTATCGTTACCTTAGACACTCGTAATTGACCAGTTATCGTTTACATGTGTCCCCTAGAGATTTCTTTAACCTTATTCTCTACTGTGTTATCTCCCCTTGCGGGCGCTGACCGTGTACATGTGAATTACTATAATTATATAGATAAAACCCTTAAAACACCTTCTCACACGGCACACGATCACATTGTTATTTTCTTCTCTCTTTATTCCCTTTACGTTTTTTGTTCCGTTTTCGAATATAAATTTGATTTGCACCCAAATGCTACACCTCTGTAACAAAGTTCACTTCTCTCTACTCTCTCTCTGAAACGAATCGAACAACAAATACCGCGCATTCTCACACAGATCACCGACGAAAATCCTCGTCCATGTATGAGGTATTCAATTGGGGCTACTCCAATGATGAGCCACCCAAGCGCTTCTCGCTCTCGATCGCCGGCAGCGAGATAAATATCGATGGGCCGGCTAATCCGCCCAGTTCCTCCTCCAACAAAGCAGCAATAGCGCACAGACCCAATCCGACAGCTACAACAATTATCACACCAAGCACCACAGGCTCAGGCCACAACAACAACTATAACCATAACTCGTATCGTAAGGGTGAGGGTTCTTCTACTTCTACTCCTGTTCTCAGCTCGTTCCTGTTCTTAACTCAACTCGTTCTGACCCCGTTTTTTGTTTTTCTTTTGCCGTAACTCCTAACCCCCGTAATCGTAACCCAAGCTTGCAGTAAGCTCTTAACTCGTTGTCTCTACCCTCCCTAACCCCCAGTCAAAAGGCATGCCTTTCGCCCCCCAGTTTTTGCATGATCTCTTACCCCTGTCCCACAGTTTGTACAGATTGCTCTTTATGGAAGCTAACCCTTTGAAAGCAGCATCGGCCGTCTATAATGATTCCAATGTAGATTCCGAAAAAAGCATGGTTGTTTTATACTGAAAGTGTTTGCACGGGATTGAGATAATTCAGAATTATGTAAGGGAAATAGTTAGCATACACAAGAGGATCAAAAGATTTTCAGTGAATCGATATTCTTCAAAAAAATCTACAAGTAAATCTATTAAAATCGATAAAGGAAAGAATTAAAATTATATATGAATTAACATCAAAGATTCCATGAGTTTACATACGTATAGAACTATTTCGATGAAATCGATTTTGAAAATTTGTTCAATCTATCGCATAATTAAAAAATCGATTGATTATATATCGATTTTATTTCTGTTATGTTAAATAGTATTTTAAATATTAGCATCCAGTATTTGATTCCACCAAACTAAATATCAAAATCTTTTTTAACAATAGATTACTAAAATCGAATTAAAATCGATTAATAATAGCAATATATTAAAAAATATTTATCAATTTCACAATCAAAAGATCCCAGTGTAAACGCTTTCATTCCGTTTTCTTAAAGCTATTTTCGCTTTTGGTTTCTCTTGTTCCTAGTCTCGTAAGTTTTGTATCATTTTTTAGGCCGAAGAATATAGCAAGAAAATCATTTCGGCACTGCATCTCAAAATCCAAAATTATCAAAATCCAAAAAAGAAATTTGTAAAATCAAAAAACAAAAACCAAACAACCCAAAAACCGAATATTGCAGAAGATAGCGTTGACACATCACCCATGGTGTTCCGAAGCGTTTACCGCAGGAAAACGGACCTCATGCCGACAATACCCAGCCCCCGAGACGGGCATTACTACGGGTCGCGCAGCTCCCTGAGCACCACGCCGGCCAGAACCCCAGGTAAGACCCACCCAGTCGATCTTCCATCCCAACCAAACACACATACACACACCGCTCTTCGAATCAGAATCAGCTTCATCGTCCAGCTACTCCGCATCATCATCTATCAGATCCATCTTCATGCGACATCCATCTGTCCATCCAGTTAGTAGAGTTTTCTTTTGGTTTAGCCCATTCCGGACCAAGAGTTTGCCCCCTCCAAGCCAAGTCCCTGAATTTGCATCCGTCGATCCCCCGGGGTTCGCTGCTTTTGGGCAGAGAGAAAGCGAGAAAAAAGAAGGAGCACGCACACTTCTCTCGAAAAAGCACAACACACAAACTTTGTTCCTTGCACAACACAACACAACACACACACACGCTGTACAAAGAACACCAGCCACTTGAACACACACAAACACTTCACTTGTAAACACCATTTTGTAGGCCAGTTGTCCACATCTATTTGTGCCGTCTTCTTGTTGTAAACTTCAGTTGCAATCAAAATTGAGGGTATGCTTGTTTTTGGGTAGCTAAAAGAATCGTAACAATATACTATTCTAGTAAAGAATTGTCTCCAAAAACACATGCACCTTTATTTTGAGCGCAACCCTAAGTATAAATGCTACGTAGCTTCGTAAGGATCGTAAGCCGGGCTTGCAACGATTCACGCAAAACCAAATTCTCAATCAACACTTTCAACTGAACCGCAGGACGGGCCTACTCGATGAACCGCCTGGACCAGCTGGCGCAGCCCATACGCCGCAATGGGGAGCATGTGCGGGCCATTCTGGAGCGGGAACGCCGCGAACGAGAACTGGAGATGCTGGACGAGACCTCCTCGCTGGGCGGCGGCAGTGGCGGGCGGAGAGGTCCGTCAAGATCCCGACGAGCTGGAAGCGCCGGTAGCGGCAGTTCCAGTGCCGCTGGAATCATGTCACGCAGCATGACCCACCTGGCCGGAGGCGGTGGCCAGCAGCGGGAACGAGGAAAGTACTCGCTGGGCGGCGGTATATCAACCAGCTTCCGGCCGCTGGCTAGCGGTGCCGGCGGGCAGCGGGACACCACCAGTAAGAGCATGACACAGATTAGCAGTTGGTCGGTTTATGGCAGCACAGCACCACAACAACCCAATTACCACCACAACCTGCACCAACGCCAGTCCACACTCGGGCTGCAAACTGCAGCGACTAAGAAATACCTCCAGTCATCATTTGCCTCAACCTCATCCTTCAACGCATCCCTCCGCGCGAACGCGACTGGGCGTGGGCGTGGCCAGCAGCAGCAATATGCGAACTCTACTAACCCCCACCGTTTTTTCGATTTCGATCCCAACTCATTGTTGCTCATGAACTCTGCTAGTTTGTTAGTGAATGCAGGTGTGTGCGATTAAACAAAAGAACAAAACCCCAAAAAAAAATTCAACCATTTCGAACTACCAACAATAACCACTCCAAAAACACCAACACTCCAATACACCAACACACTAGCACTTGAACACCACACTAAATACTCGGCAGATTGCGAATAGCGTAACCATTTCCTCAAGTAGCTAGCGATAGCACAAAATTGGCTAACTTGAACTTTTACCACACACACACACCACAACACTCCAAAGAACACAGAACAACACCACATTAAACATGGGCTTTGGTTCCCCACATACATGGATCAATCGATTGATCCATACAAAGGCATACGAAGAACGACCGATCGGCAGTAGTGTCCTTAGTTCATTTGAGCAGCAATTTGTGATTCATTTCACATCTCATTTCCACTTGAAAGTCCGTTTGTCAGTGATAAATGACAGTTTTAGAAACCATTAATTCCATTATTTAATGTTTTATTGTTGCCTAAAATATTCACAATACCAGAAAAAGTTAAATTACCTCATTTGGTACTAGATATAAATATATACATTTATTGGAAGAAGGCTAAAATAAATTTATAATATTAAAGGCAGCAAGAAACTAGTTGCTTATAAAGAGACTAAGACTTAAAGCCATGGCTTTGAACCATAAATTTATACTGCATTTATTTTAGGAATGGCAGAAATTATCGACTTTTACATCCATAACTCATTCACATTCTTATGATAAAATCCTTTTGTTTGGGGTCTCCTTTGGTCCATATTGTTTGCTGCTTGTTGTTGCCCATCTGTCGGTCGATTCGTTCGTATGTATCCACATAGTTACACATTATTTTGTATCTTTTATAAACAATTATTTTGGTTTATTGGAAAATTCATTTACCTATTAATTTATTATATATTCATTACGATTATTATTTATATTTATATTTATTTATATAAAGCTAACAGTTGGTTTTAAACTAAAAACTAACTTATGTTTTATATTTCTAGATTTTAGACATCATTTAACATTATTCAAACATGTGTACTGGGTATTGTCTCAACTTGTGGTATTGGATATATGTTATTTTTGGTCCTTGGTTATACTTTGTGTCTCCTGCTCCTCCAGATCCTTCTTTGGGAATCCATTTAGTCTGTTGGTACTTTCTTGGTTAACTTGTGTCTACATTTGGCTTTGTGTTTTCCTTCTCCCCCTGTGTAACTCCCTTCAATAATGGTACACTCACACTCTGGTTACGGTCACAACAGAACTCACGTACGCTTGATTTGGTGCTCCACATTTAGCTCATCCATAATATATATTGACTCTTCCCAACCCCTGAGTGCGCATCCACCTTTTTTTACTAGCTCTTCTAATCTCAAATTGATTCTATAGGCTCGCGTTCGGGAAATGCCACGCCCGGCGGACACTACAACAGCAGCTCAAGGCCCGGCAGCGCCATGTCCACATCGACAAATGTGTCCACATCGGGTCTGGTGCCCAGGCGACCGGCAACGGCGCCAAGAAAACCCCGGCCCGCCAGCATCGCTGGCACTGGCATGTCTCTGGATGGTGAGTCCACGGAGTCTCTAGAGGATTACCTCGGTTTGTAAGCATTTGTAGCCCTTGCAGAGATCAACAAACTGAAGAAGGATCAACAGAAGCCGCCCGTTAAGACGACAGCCGCCTCGCCATCCGCACAAACGACCCCGAAACGAACTGCGAACCTAATGTCCACATCCATGATTGTGACCTCCAGCTCGACGCGACTGAGCAGCGCTGAGAAGAAGACGACAACGCCGAAAAGGGTAAGGTTTCAAGTTCCTTTCTTTCTTTATATATTATTTTTAATTTTAAACTCTTGTCTCACCCAGGAACCCTTGGCACCCAAAGCGGCATCCGCTTCCAAGGCTCTGTCAAGTCGCACGGCCAGCTCGGAGCGTATTAGCCGGCTCAGCAAGGAGCCGAAAACCAAGGATACCTCTGCAATGACCCGGTCCATGATCGTCACGAGCAGCAGCAGCAGTAGCTCCACTATGACGACAGCCACAAAGGCGGCTCCTGCAGCTCAAGCAGCACCTGCAACTGCACCCGCTCCCACTCCAGCTCCTGTTCCAGCTGCCGAGCAGAATGGTCTGGCCAAGGAGGCTGAAAAGAAGCCAGCAGAGGTCCCAGTTCCAGCGGCTACAGCGGAACTGCCCGTTCCCGTGGCTCCCTCTGTAAGCAAGGCTGAGAAGGAGGCCCTGAACTCCTCGGAGAAGACAGAGGAAGTGGCGCGTCAGGAGGAGCAGGTTACCACCCTGCCAGTGGACTCTCTGCCCGAGGCTTTGGTTACCTCTGTTAACGTCGAAGAAAAGGCAGACGAGGGCACCGAGAAGGAGACGCCCAAACAGCCGCAGGAGCAGGCTGCACCCAAGAAGCCGCGCAGCAAGGAGAACTCCGAGGTGCGGGAACTGACGCCGCCGGAGGGCGGAGACCTGATGACCGCTTCAATGATGGCCAAGAAGATCACAACCGAGGAGGAGGCAAAGGCCGCATTGGCCGAAAGACGACGCCTGGCCCGCGAGGAGGCTGAACGACAGGCGGAATTGGAACGCCAACGACTAGAAGCAGAGCGTCTGGCCGAGCTAAAGGCTCAGGAGGAGGAGGCCGAGCGCCAGCGTCTGTTTGAGGAGGAATCCACCCGCCTGGCTGAAGAGCAGCGTCGCGCTGAGGAAGAGCGCCTGCGCAAGGCCATTGAGGTAAGGAAACAAAGAAAAGTAAGACTTCAAATTACTTACTTCCCCTTTCTTTTTACAGGAAGCCCAGCAGCGCGAGAAGGAGGAGCAGCGCAAGCTCGAGGAGGAGGAGAAGCAGCGCTTGGAGCGCGAGGAGGCCGAGAAGAAGGCCAAGGAGGAGGCAGAGAAGCAGCGCGTGGAGGTGGCCGAGCGGCTCAAGCGTGAGGAGAAGGAGCGCGAGGAGCGTCGCAAGCGAGTGGAGGCGATTATGTCGCGTACCCGCAAGGCAGGAGGAGCTGCCAGCACCCCTGCCAAGGTAAGAGTAAACAATTTTCCCTATGAAAACAAATTCTAAAGGCTCATTTTAAGCAGGACTCCAACGACAAGGCAGCTAGCGCCACATCAGCAGCTCCTGCGGACAGCAGCAGCAGCAATAGCGACAGCGGCAGCAGCAACAACTCGGCTGGAGGCTCGCCCAGCAGCACTACAGATGCCAAGCCAGCACAGGAAGCGGTCACGGAGCCGCCAAACAGCCAGGCTATGTATGAGCAATCGGTGCTAGACAAGGAGAACTCGCTCATCAACAGCTTCTCCTCGATGATCATCGATGAGAATGCCAAGAACCTGCAGCAGGTGAGCAACGGCAAGTTGCTAGTAGACTTTGAGGGCAGCAATGCGGCCCCGGCGGTGGCCAATGGCAATGGTCACATCGAGAGTGTCAACAACAAGAAGTGAGCTTGAAATTATTTAATTTATTTCCATTTCGTTAAGGAAATCTTTGTAATCCTCAGCGACATCAATCTGCTGCAGGATGTGGTTGCTCCAGTTGCCAGCCAACTGATCGATCTGAGCATCGAGTCACAACAAGATCTGCACCTGAACAACAACAACAGCTTGCTGACGAGCACAGCGGCAACCACCACGCTAGTCACTGCTGATAGTCACGAGAATAAGGGTAAAGGCTAAAGCAATATATATAATATATACATGTCCACTAATTGATCCTTTTACAGATATATCTTTGCTGTGAATTGGATGATAGGAAACCAAAACCTGATTGTGTTTTCGAGAACCGAAATCTGGATATAGCTAAATGTGTGTGGAGAGTTGGAGTATTTATTTATAGGATGAGAGATCTATATGGGAATGCGAATGCGAATGCTAGTGTGGAGAGCGCGTGCGACAAATTATGGTTACTAAAGAACACAGGAAAACAAACGTAAAAAGCTTATAAAAACCTATATATAACGTACACCTTATATATACATTTATATAGATAGAGCTGAGATCAGAATCGAAAAGGGTTATGAAAGGTAGAGCGAAGTGAGAGAGCAGCTGCAAGTTATAATTAGTTAAGAACTAAGACAAACCCTAAAAGAGAAGGCTTGGAATAGAGGAGAAGTTGGGATCGGGATCGAGATCCTCCTCCCCCAGAGTTTGGAGATCGTTTGCGAAGCAATTCAATATCAAAGAAAAAGAAACATTTGATGCAATTTTTCGATTCGATTCGATTCGATGCGTTTCGAATCTAATTTAATTACGAACTCGCTTCAAAAGTTGAAAGTGCATGCTTACATTTGAGTATAACTTGAGCCAGACGCGAAGGCGGCGTATATAATTGAAAATTATATAAAGATTAGTAGACATGAAGCCCCCCTCTAGTTTAAAACAACGCGAGATTCAGCGCCGCAAAACGAGCAATAAATGGAAAAGAAAAGAAGACGCGGTATTGACATACCATTAAAACCCATCCACATCCACAGCGCCTCACTGCTTTATTTTTGCCCAACTTTTGCACAGTGTGTTGTTCTGTAAGTTAAGTTTACTACATACTACGTTGAGCCAACGAATCGTGCGGTATTATTTATTAAAAACAAAAAACAAAACAAACTAAAAATAGGAAAACTAAAATTCAATTGAAATTATTTGCTGATACTGATCGGAATCGAAAGCAAATATAGCTAGCTTCTGATATACACATATATTCAAGCATTGCAATGCTGTAATCACAGATCACAGAGTCAGTGTGCTTGATACACCTAGGAGATCCCTAGTGGAATATTATGATGATGTAATTGTACTATTTGTAGTAGGAGTCGAAAATCTGATTATGCTTATGTGTCTCGCCCCCTTTTTTGTAATTATATAGCAAAGTTCTCTGTACATTATTGTCTATTTTGCGTCTGCGTATATATTTTTTGGTATCACTTTTTTTATACACTTATATACACACACATTTATATTTGTAATTTGTATTTATCCATGTGCAACAAAAACAAAAACGAGAAAATAATAAATTATGATGATTATTTTTTAAAGAGTCGTCCCCCCATAAGAGATTGTAAAAATGAAATCAATTTAAATATAGTAAGAGAAAAGCATCCCATATCCCATAACCCATATATAGTCTACACCCACTTGTATCTGAGCGAAAGGGCCTTAAAAAACAGTTAGAACGATGCATGAGAGAGAGATGAAGCGATCGATGGGCAGGCAGGATTATATGGAACGTTTCGCATGCGGAAACCGTTGATAGATTAATATATATATTATGTAATGGCAATATGTGTATGAAACTAATAAGCCCTAACTTCTAGTTAATTACTGCTTTCCTATGTTATAAACCTAATGGCGATATAATCAAAACAAAAGACAAACCCCCACGTAATAAATCAAATGATTGATGCTGCATTCGAAACCCAAACCGAAACCTTTAAAGATCAAGCTGAATTATGTATTTTAATATTATATATATCACACCAACACACACAGAACACAAAGAACACGACAAACAGAACAACAAACAAATTATACAAGCAATTCCTCTATTTATTTTAGAACAAAACAAAAAAACACACACACTAGAAACACTAAAGAATTTCGCTTCTTATCGTAAATCCACAAAAAACAAAAAAAAAAACAATTGCATAATTTATACGATTACCTAAACAAAATATATAAATATATTTATGTGAATAAACTGTAACTAATTCTCAAGGCAAAACCCACTAACTTGTTGGTTGTCAGAAAAAAATACGAATGATGGTCATCCCATTGGAATGGCCCTTTGATAAGATGGGAAATATAGGAAGTTGGGAACATGGAGCTCCATGTTCCTATGGAATTTTACACTGACGGATTTCTATCTTATCTTTTAGTTGGCACCACACAAGAAAAAATTAAGTTCAATTTTGCAATGTTTTTGTTTTAATTTATTTAATACTAATTTATGGTAAAAAATTAAAAAGAATCGAAGGATTGGATGGTACCTAAGCATCTGAGGTCTGCTGTTCGTCGGGATTTATTTTACATAAACTGTGAGTATCAATTTTTATTAATATTGGAATGTGTTGAAACTAACCAAAAGAATTGTTTTTATTTTTCGTTAACATACTTTCTTCTAATCAAAACATATTTATATACCCTTTCAGGGTATTATAATCTTAGTCAAAAGCTTTTAAAGCGGTAAAGGAGTCATTTCCGACCCCATAAATCATGTAAATCATTATTTTATAATAACAAATAAATTTTTGGAGTGCTTTTTTTTTTCTTTTTTAATGGTCAAAAATTAAGAAAATTTAAATTTCCTAAAATTTTAAAATTAAATAATAAATAATAACAAACAAAGCCTTCTAATCTAAAATTAATGCTATGACAAACTGTAAGAGTATAAAAACTCTGGCTTCCCCGAATTTAGTTTCCCTTCTTTTTTCCAGTGCATTATTTCTTTTTTATTTTTAAAAACAACTGTTGTTAAAAAAGCCCTATGACATCACCAGTTTCAACATGGAAAAGACAGCTGACTGATAAGCCAGCTCGAGCAAAGCTCGGAGCTTTTTACTCGCTACGCTTGGGTTTGGGGGTATGTTTCTTCGGCTTCTACGCTTGGAGCAGCCATTCATTTCGCAGTTAGCTTTCGCCTCGAACGGACGTGCTTCGTGAACACTTAAGAAAACTTGGCTTTAACCCTAGCGCTCCCTACGTTCCATAACGCGGCATTCCAGTGCAACAGCCAAGAGCAACCTACATTTTGTTAACTCCCTGCAAGCCAAACCCGTTTCTCCAGCTCCAAAAACCATGGCATCCAACCGAGCAGCCAAGTCTGGGTTCGCCGCCGAGGCCCAGCGCAAAGTAAGTAAACAAATTGCCAAAAAAAAAGTTCACTGTGTTTGTGTGTGTGTGTTGTTGGAGCTGCATTGACTTTATTTGGTGCTTTTTGACGCCAACTTTTAATGTGCTCCACTCGCGCCAAATGCCAAAAAATTAGCTAAAAATGGTCTTGAAATTACGAGCGTCTAACGAGGAATGACCTCATTTCGTTGATAAGTTTGCTATATTCACACACACTTATACTCATGTATGTATGTACGGTGTGTGTATATGATGCATGCGTAATTTTTGAGCTTGAAGATGACTTAAGGTGATTTTATGGCATTGTTAGGAGAGGGTCGAAAAATGAGCGGTGATTCACTGTGAAACTAAGGAAATATATTAATAGAAAGCAATCAATTTTTTTATGATATCAAAAGTTAAGTGGGAAATGTAATGGCAAAAGTTTATGAATAATCAACTTCAAATTATATTTTAATATTTCTAATACTATGTAGAACATGAGCAATATTTACCATAAATTGTACCATACCTCTTGGTTCCGTAAAAGGTCTCAATTTCCTAATCCCGAATAGATTAAATTAATTAAGTTCAATTTATTGCTATTACTAAATATTATAAAAAATATTCAAAGGGAGACTTACTTAAAAAACGTTGAAAAAATTGTAAGAATTGTCTTTAATATTAATAATTATAAAATTCATTTTCAGATACTATTGAATTCCCATTTTTCTGATCTGGAACAATCTATAAACCTGAAAATGTTTTTATTAATCACTGAACTTTGTTCTAGAAAACCCTCAGATTTTGAATACTATTATTATATTCTAATATAGTCTCTAGCTTCCTAAAACTTCCCCTATATCTAAGAGAACTAAGCCTGGCTTCAGATAATCCCTTCTCCACAATTAAGTAGCCCATGTACATAGCTCTAGCTCCCCATTCTTCTCCCTTAAATTGACAACATTAGTTCCGTCCATTAGCAGCACTTTGCATTAAATGCACTCATACAAATGCATTGGTTTTGTGTGTTTTTTTTTTTTTATTTTTTTGTTGTGGGGGAAACTTGTAGGTCTCGTACCCTTCGACAGTTTAGCCCTCGCCAAGTCAAGTCCGGGTTACGCAATGCAGGCCGCCCCTGGGCCAAAACAGAGTGAAATTGTATATGTCGCCCGGCAAAGGGGATTAAGTGCAGTCCAACGAAATCAACAGCAGTGGCGACTATATAGCTTACAGATACAGTTACAACATTTGCCCAAACAAATAACAAAAAAAAAAAAAAGGAGGGGGGAGGGCAATATAATAAATAACCATGAGCATAGCCGAAGTTGTACATACCCTTGGTGGCTTTGATTATTTGTATTTCGTTCTTATGTTCTTTGTTATCTTGAATTACTTTTCCACGAGTCAGCCCATTTAGTGAGAGGCCTTGTTTATCGGCATTATCTACACATTCGCACATTTTTTATGCACGTTCGCGGTCAAAATAATAGCATCCGGTGGGTTCTCTTATCGGTGAGTTCAAGTTTGAACTTGGATTTATTTTGTTCTTTATTGAAATATTAGATATTCTCAGCTCAGCTTTAAAATTCCTCCAAAAAGGGTTAGTAAAGTATAGAAAACCCTTAGGAAAGGGTATATGGGTATTGTAAACAAAAAAATACCTAGACAGGCGATTGGTACCTAGTTGGACGTTTCAGTTTTCAGTCGTTCCGAAAATGCCTGAAAGCCCAGCTGCTGGCTGACTTCAAACCGCGATCAAATGGCTCCCCAGGAGCCGGAGGCGATGATGTCATCTCTCCAGCTGCCCCTCTCCCCTCTAGTCCACTCGATTCCTTTCCTTTTCATTCCTCTCCTCACGATCGTTAGCTTTGAGCACTTTTTTCAAATGACGAGACTTTGAATGCGTTGCCGCTCTCTCGCGGGGAATCGCTCATATCTGGAGGAGCAAGCCGGGTGCTGGGTGCCGGGGTAAGAATAGCAGCGATAGCAGCACCTTTTTCCAACACACATGAGCACTTAAGAGCGGGTATGTGGCGTAAGCAAACAGCAAAATATAAAACAACAAAAGTGAGGTAAAAATGTAGGAAAACAAAAATTGGTTCTTCTACACAAGCTTTGTTTTTGCCTTGAGTCGAGTGTGTGTGTGTGTGAGTATCTTGGGGTCGGTTATATTCAACCGACTTTATGGCAGTCAGTCCGCGACAAAAATACATTTCAGAGATCTCAAATTTCGGCCAAGGGTTCCGATGGTTGCAACCCTTCCATTGAATCCACGTTAATTACAGGCCAGCAGCTGCCATTGGAGAGGTTCTAGATACTGAAGTTACAGCTAACATAGAAGACTCTCGGGCCCTTGATCGGTTACATTTGTTGTTGCTTTCATATTTTTTATAAACAATTGAAAAGAGCAGGCTTGCTTAAACAGCTGTTTCTAGGAAGAACCCCTCACTCAGTATGAGTAACCGCCAGGAATTTAAAGTCTTTCGAAGATCAGTCACAAAAAAAGAAGGTCAACATAATGTTTATGTATTTAATTAAAAAAGAATTTTATATATTCAAGCTTAATTTTAGGAATCTTGTGTGTACTGAAAAGGTTTTAAAATGTTCAAGTAATAAGTGATACTCCTCAGTTATTTTTATAGGTTTTAATCATAGATTTACAGAGGATCTAATACTAAATAAATAATAAATAATAAAAATATATTAAACAAAACTTTAAATTACAAAATTTGCAATTTAAAAACTTCACTTTACTAAGTCGTTAAAATCACCCACAACTTAAAACCCTTTACAAATCTACTTAAGGGGGGGGTAAGGTTAATTCGGTGCAAAAAAGGCCACTTTTCAAAAAGTTATTGTGGCGGAATGGCTAACGTTAGCTTAATGAATTAAATACCATATAATAACACAACATTTGAATAATTTTTAATAAATTTTGTATTGAAAAATATTTAGAGGTAGAGAAGTTATAGGGAATCTCCCGAGTCGCCTCCAAAAAAAGTTGTTTTGCGGTGTACATCCTAACAGTCCACAGGATCATCCGATCTAAAAAAATTATACCTCATTCGTTAAAGGATAAGTGTCCCGAGGTATTCACGAAGAGTTTTTATTTTTAAAATTTTTTCCCTATTTTTTATCAAAATTTGAAGTCAAAACCCCGATTTTTGACAAAAAAATTAAGTTAATTTGTTAAATAAAAAATATAAGAAAATTAAAAATTAAAAAAAGCTCCACGTGAATACCTGTAGAATTATCCAAAGAAGTTATGTTCCAAATTTCAAACCGATTGGTTGAGTAGATTTTGAGTTATCGTGTACACCTATTTTCAAAATGGCATTTTTCAGGAGAGCGCTTTAAACTTTGCGATTCTCATGCATTGAACACCAACCGACCTTCGTTCAACTCCGCATAACTTTGTCAATATTCCTATGATCGATGTAAAACTTGGACATAATATTCTTAAGATGTTGAACTTTCAAAATAAAAAATAAAAAAAAATTTACGAAAAAAAAAATTAAATACCTTACCCCCCCCTTAAAACTCCCCTTAGTTAATCACTTAAATAACTCAAAACATTCTATTTAGGGAAGTAAACCTGTAATTGTTTTTTTTTTTTGTCCCATTCCATTTGTGCTTGCCGCTGTGTATCTTATCCAACGGAGCCATGGAAGCCACGTACTAATCACCTGGCCGCTTTTGGAGCTAAGAATCCACACTCAATTAGCGGCGAATATATATACATAGTGTGACGGTTGTACATTTGTACATCCGCCGCACGCAATATACCCTTTCTCACCCTCTTACCCATGAAACTATCAGTGCGGGCGGCACCTAAATGGAACACATTGGCCCACATGAACTCCGGGCTCCCTGGAAGCCATCGAAACACTT